GCGGCAATCTCTCAAGCTACTCGGCGAGATCCTCCCGCGGACCAGATTCTACACATTTCCAGACTACATTGAAAAGACCACGTTCGGCATCAGCTGCGACGCTTTCGCCAATTTCAAAGAGTGCCTCACCAAGCACAAACCGATGGTGGCGGAATACCTGGAGCGGAATTACGACAAGGTACGTCTGTTGCACCTTACCCGGATGATCATTTCGTAGGCCATTTTCTGATGCGTCTCCCCTCTCGGCGCATTTTCCTTCGGGCAGTTCTTCGCCATGTACACCGGCCTCCTGCAATCGCCTAACTACGTGACGAAGCGGCAATCTCTCAAGCTACTCGGCGAGATCCTCCTCGACCGGACCAACTTCAACGTCATGACGCGCTACATTTCCAGCGAGGATAACCTCAAGCTGATGATGAACCTGCTCAAGGACAAGAGCAAGAACATTCAATTCGAGGCGTTCCACGTTTTCAAGGTCGTGAGTTTTCTCTTGCGTGTCGTATTCCTTGGGGGGATGTGAAACATGTGTCTGAATGTGGTATGTTTCCGTCCATTGTGACCATTTCTTTCCGACCCCGGTATTCCTTCGAAAACAGTTCGTCGCTAACCCGAAGAAACCGCCTGTGGTGGAGAACATCTTGCGCAGGAACCGTGAGCGCCTCGTCACCTTCCTATCCAATTTCCACAACGACAAGGAGGATGAGCAGTTCGTCGATGAGAAGCAGTACGTCCTTCAGATCATCGAGTCGACTGGTCAGCCAAAGGCGCAAGCAGCATGATTCAGTCAAGAAGGCCTAGTCGCCGCCTGTGCGTATATACGTCTTGAGTCGCATAGCCCGGCTACTTTGTCTACAAGCACAGCGTCCCTACTAACCTGGGCATCTGCCTGGGCACATCCTTCCAGTCTCGCTGTCCAACATCCCTGTTATCACCGCTTGCATGTCTTCCCATCGTCCATTCCTAAGGTCCTACTCCCATCACAATCTCAGCACATGTCTTCACCTTCCCCTGTACTAGAAGCATTGGTTTAATTGTACAATCATGCATTGCCATTGAGTGACTACGTCTGTACACCGAGATGGCGGCCTCATTGGTCGCCTGCGCCACGTGCCATCTGCTCAAAGAGGCGGGGGCGGACCTCTCAGTTCGGTATAAGTCGGCATTGGGACCGGCGTCCCTCGCGGGGAGAAGATCGCATCGACATCTTGGCTGTAAAGCGGAAGGTCAGGAATAAATGCCGTCAATACACAGGTGGCACGGAATGCTTCGTCGCCCAGATGAAAGATGTCAGATATATCGAAAGACCTACCCTAGTTCCAACGTAAGGACTTCTTCCAGCACGTCCGTCTTCTGCGCACTAGCCTTCGCCTCCTCTTGCAGCAACTCCTTGATCTCCTTGCGGATCTCGGCATTCTCCGCTTGCAAGAACTTCATCTTGGCCTTTTCGATCAGGTAGAGCTTCTTGTACCTCTGATCCGGCGTAGGTTCCAATTTCTCCTTTGGAGAGGCGGCGCCGGCGGTGCCACTGCCTGGGCCAGGCATGCTATTTGTGATCAAGTCCATCGGACTCGGCTTGAAGCGCTTCGAATTTCGCCGCGTATTGTGCGAATGCTCAGTCGCTGCCGCAGCAGCTGCCGCCGCCAAGTCCTCCTCATCTGTCTCTGGGTCATCTTCTTCTGGTACGATTGTGCCTGTCCCGACATCCCAGTATTGCTTGAGGACTTCAGCGCCTTTTTCACGCATTGAAAGGAGCACCTTTTCATCCTGCTCGTCGTCGAATGGATCACGCTCAATGCCGAGCTGCTCGTCGGTGAAGGTTTGATGATGACGAACAGGCGGCTTGTCGATCGGCTCGTAGTCAGACAGACTGACCATATCGTTGTCCTCGCCTTCTTCCCCGTCATCATCGCCGGCTTTTACGATTGAGCTTCGCGCTGCACGACGTGGTTTTCCGCGCCGAGTGCCCGTTGGGAGCATCTGGTGCTGCAGGCGCATGTGCTTCGCCAGCGCATCAGATCGGGTAAATGACTTGTCGCATTCTGCCAAGGTACAAGTCAGAGTCAGTAAGTCATTCAAGCACTCACGCATGAGAGTCCGGCTGGCTTGCTCACCTGGTAAAGGGCAAGTGAAAGGCTTCTCTCCTGTATGACTTCGAAGATGGCTCAGCAGCGCAAAGCGAGATGTCTGATTCTTGCCTTTCCTCGGGCATCCGACCCATTCGCACGTGTACCTGGCCTTGTGCGTTCCAATATGATCTATGCAACAAAGTGAATTCACACGTCGCGGAATCAGTGAGCGTTCTCAATATCTCGCCTCAGCTATCTCACCCGTGTGCAGATGGTCGATGAGTGCGTTCAGCGCGGTGAAGTGCTTGCCGCAATGCTCCCACATGCACTCGACGGTAGCAGCCCCAGGTGCTGCCTCCCCATCCTCATCATCTGATCCCCCTTCAGCCTTGGCCTTGCCCTTGGCAACAGGTAAAGGTGAGACGCCAGTCAGCTCTGCCTCCGCTTCGACTTCATCTAAGTCGGTCACATCACTGTGAGAATCGGAGTTGTTCGCGTCGCGACGCGCCGCCTTCGCTTTTCGATCACGATGGTGCGCCTCATCTTCTCGCATTCGCTCTTCTGCTGAGTGATCAGAACTTCCCCCGTCGAGCAAGTGAAAGACGCGCTTCTGACCCGTGCTGAGATGCGCTAGCAACGGTGAGCTGCTCCCTGTTTCGTCGACCATCTTGATGTGTCTCCAGGCCAAGCAGTTGAGTGTTCTGCGCGTGTCCCGTTACCCTTATCCACTGAGTCTGCGTGCTTGACCATCCACGGCGGTGATGACTCTTCTCGGGGCATCAAATCCTCAGCAGCAGCGTGGGTCGAATGAATAGGTAAAGGGAGTCACGGTGTCTCGAATGAAACGCGCCTTACGGCGATGAGAGCGACTTCGCGCGGGATGCGTTTTAGTGTGATGTGTGTGAGGTCTTCATCGTTCTCCACCATCTCACTTTCCGCAGAACCCAAATTGAACGTGTCAAGGCTAAGAACGGCCTCAACTTCCATCAGCTGCGAATAAATCAAAACTACTTCCTTATGGCGCCGTGATTCCACATGTACCTACTCCTGACTTCTTGCTGAGGTCGTGAGCTGCAAGTGCCAAAATGTCGACTACCAACGCAGAGAGCTCATCGAGTACGCACACCAGTTTCTCCGCGGAGGACTTCTTTGCAACCCAGCCTGCGCCTCCGCAGCTGGGAGAGTTTGGTCGGAAAGCGCAAGAATTCGTCGCAAAACATGTTCAAGACGGCCGAAGGGTGGTCTTGGTAACGTCTGGAGGGACGACGGTACCCCTCGAGAAGAATGTCGTTCGCTTTCTCGACAACTTCTCAGCTGGTACTAGAGGGGCGACTTCTGCCGAGTACTTTCTTGCACAGGGTTACGCAGTTATCTTTATGCATCGACAGCACTCCTTGCAACCGTATACAAGACACTATTCACATACCACAAACCCATTCCTTGACCTCCTGCAAGAAGATCCACAGCCGTCCTCGCCAGCAAGGATATCCGTCGAAGAGGATCAGTCATTCCACCTCCTTCCCGTGCTCAGGGCATACCACAGCGCACGGTCAAAAGGCACTCTGCTCCAATTGCCTTTTACCACGGTCACCGAATACCTCTTCATGCTGCGAGAGATGGCCATCGCCATGAAACCTCTTGGGCGGCAGGGCATGTACTACCTCGCCGCCGCAGTCAGCGACTTTTTCATTCCTAGTACTAGGACGGTAGGTGCCCGAATGCCAGAAATCTTCGTGCGCACCTGTTCATGGTCATGACACTGACACTTTCATGAACTTCATGCACTCTAGTCCGAGCACAAAATCCAGTCTGGTAAAGGGTCCCTTCTGATAGAGATGGATCAGGTTCCGAAAGTGCTAAAGCCAATGGTCGAGCGGTGGGCTCCAGAAGGGTTTGTTGTCAGCTTTAAGGTGAGCACTTTCCTTCACTTCTCAAGGCCTGGCAGGGAAGCTCACAATGCACCGCGATGCCGCATTGCCCCAGCTCGAGACGGATGAGAAGCTGCTAATACCCAAGGCGCGACAAGCACTTCAGAGGTACGGGCACCAATGCGTTATCGGCAATGAATTAAATCATCGCAAGTTCGAAGTCGTCTTTGTCGAGCGTAAATTTTCAAAATCAGATTTGGCACCGGTACCCAACGGACCGGCGAACGACTCAAGCACAGATGAATTCACCGAAGCCTGGATCCGCCTGAGCGAGGAAGACAAGAAGATGAACAAGTCGCGTACATTAGCTGGGTCTGCACGTCGGCCGTCCCATGTGTTTGAGCCACATGGTAGCAGGCCATGGCGGGGTAAGTTTTTCGAAAAGGAGATCGAAGAAGACATCGTAGAGCAGCTCCTCAAGAGGCATGATCAGTGGATCGCCGGCGGGGAAGCACACAAAAGCAATGATCGATAATTGTGTTGCCTTTCATTTCCATACAACAGGAGACTCCAGGCCTTGTTGGCGATCAGAAGCCTGACTAGTGGCTGGCTATGGCTCTTTCAAATTTCATCCACGCAGCTCCTTCCAGCCCGGGTTGTTGGAGACATGGTCGGTGGCGCCAGTGTAGACGCCGTCGACACCGAGCGTAATGGAGCTGATCGCGGTAGGCTTGTCGACAGTGTTCCAGAGTGAGATGGCGATCGTGTTCTTGCCGTTCGTGTTGAGCACACCGGGGGGGATGACGAAAGCCGTCTGAGGGCCATATCGGGTGAAGCGACGACCGAACTGCCAGCCGTTGACGTACAGCAGTGCACGGTAGTCAGTGCCCTTGTCCTCGGAGAAGTGCACGCTGATCGGGATGTCGTGGTCGGTAGGCATGTTGAGGTTGAATGTGGTGCGGTAGAACGCGACACCTGCGCCCTTGATGCCCTGCTGCGGGCTGCTGCACTCCCACTTGCTGTCGTCAAAGCCGGGTAAGTGCCATCCTTGCACTTCACCGTACAGGCCGCCCTCGTTGATGTACGTGCGAACGCGGTCTGGGGCATTCTCCCCGCCCTTGTTGCCCTGCACCTTCCAGCTGACTTGGGTGTGCTTCGAGCCGAGCAACGAAAACCCCATGATACCGCGCGGCATCTTGAGGGTCTGCAGGTTCAGCTTCGAGTCCGCATCGGCCTGGTCGGGACGAAAGCCAATCGGCATCGGGTAGCCGCCGTCCTCCTCAAGACCAGTGTTATCGTGGAGGAAGGTGAGGATGTTATCCTTGTGCTTCAGTGCTCCCGCTGGGAAGGTGAAGTTACCGAAGGCATCCGAGTAGGATGAGTCTGCGTTCAGGGTGCCGAGGAATTTGTCGTTGAGCCATAGGGAGCCAGCGCTGAAACTGCCGCCTTGAAAGTGGAAGTAGATTCCGGTCTCTTTGAAGCTTTTACCCTTGGCAGGCATAGCGTCGAACTTGCCTCGCCAGACGATGTTGTTCGCGTGGTATCCGTAAGCATCGGCGAAGAGCACCTTGCCCTGCGTCTGGACGACGGGGTCCTGGAAGTACTCGTTGTGGCTCGAAGTGTGGTCAGCTTTGGTCCAGTGTTTGTCGTCAAAGTGGGACGAGATCTCGGGCAGGGAGTCGGCGTACTTCCATCCGGTCAGCTTGGGCGGCTGGAACGAGAGTGCCTCGTCAGTGGGGCCAGGGGAAGATGCCTTCACGGAACCGTACTCGGTCTTGGAGCTCTCGAGTGCTTTGCCGTTGAACGAGATCTTGGACACCTCAGGCGTGGTGAAGACCTCGAGCGTGGAGGCTTTGGTCGTTGCACCGAAGAGCTCGAGAGTGTTGCCAGAGATGGTGGCGTTCCGAATGAGGTAGACACCCGAGATGAGCGCGAGCTCGCCCGTGCCGGCGTAGTTGCTCAGCGTGCCGGCCTTGGTCGTTGGCGGCGAGTAGGTCTCGTAGGCGGCGAAGGTGTCGGCGAGCACGGCGATGATCCTGATGTTGCCGGCGGTCAGAGCGACGTGCGAGATACTGTGGCTCGCCTTCTTCCAGTTGAGGCGGACCTCTCCGGCTGTGGTGGTGTCAGACACGACCTGACCCTTTCCCTTGTCGTACGTGGTTACGGTGAACTTGGCATTGGCGTCATTGGCAGCAAAGACGGCCTCGTGGGAGACGCCAGGGTCACCGTGCAGCAGGACGACGTCCGAGCCGCCGTACGAGCGGACGAAGCCGATTTGGGCGGTTGAGTACAGCAGCGTCGAGAGTTTCGACAGGGCACCGTTGACGGCGATGAGCCTTGAGTCACGGCCGTTGAGCGTGAAGGTTCCCTCGGCGGGGGCGGAACGCTGGCCACGGACTGTGTCGAGGGTCATCTTGAAGGTGGTCTTTTCCGTGGAGGTCGAGTTGGTCTGGCGGACGACGTAGAACGTCTGCTGCGAGTTGTCCGTCGCGTTGAACTTGGACGCGTAGACGGATTTGTCGTTGTCGACAACGTCCGTGCCGGGACCGAAAGCGACACGCTCGGCGCCGATGAACTCGGGGAACGCCTGCCAGAAGCCAGCCGTCAGCGCGTACTCGCGGTGCTTATCGCGGATGATTCGGTTCTCTTTGATGCCAGCGGCGTAGTCGTACGACGTATACACATGGGGGTAAGCGATACCGGCCCAGCTAGTACCACCTAGGCCCATGTAGTAGCTCTGCATGCGCACGCCCTCAGCAAGAAGCGATTGGCCCCAGACACGAGCAAATTCGACACCGACGAGCTGGTAGCACTGCTCGTAGCCGTAGCCTCCGTACGGGTCAAAGGAGCCACCCTGGTACTCGGGTAGGAAAACGGGTTGGATGCTCTTGATCTTGTGAAACTCCTCCTCGAGGCCGGTCTGCACCCCATTACCCCAGTTGGTCGGGTTGCCGCAGTCGAAGCCGAGCGGGTAGCCGTCCTGGCCGTACAGCTCTACGTCGTCGGCGTACGCGCCGCCGGCGGGTGTGCAGCAGGTGTTGAAGCTGAACGGCACGGTGATACCATGTTCTGTATAGAACTGTTTCAGATCGTCAAAGTACGCCTGACGCTCGGGCGTGACTGAGTATTCGTTCTCGACTTGCACCATGATGATCGGTCCGCTCGAAGGGTCGACCTCTCCGTCCGGACGAGTGGAGAGCTGGTACTTTTTTGCGATATCGGTGATCGCGGTAAGGTATGGGATTTGGCCCTGGGTGTACGCAGTCGAGTTCTGGCGCATGATGCCCGGTTCGTTCTGAAGCCACGGCGCGATGCCGCCGTTCGTGGTCTCGGCGTTGATCTGTGGAGCGGGAGGAGGCAAGGTGTGTCGGTCTCGTGAATACGACACGGTCAGAACACCAAGCGAAGCAACTATGCGGCCACTCACGTAGGGTCCAGGTCGCAGAATGACGAAAATGCCGACCTCCTTGGCGACCTTGAGGAACTCCTCAAGGTCATTGAAAGACTCGAGGTAAGCTACGCCTTTTTTGGGAGAGATGATGCCCCAGCTAGTGTAGATGGACACGGTGTTAAAGTTGGCAGACTTAATTTTCTGCAGGGCGTCGCGCCAGAGACCAGGGACCGGGTTACGGTATGGGTGCTGACGGTGTGTGCAGACCAAGGCGAGGCGGCGTCAGTGCCGGGATCCAGTGTGTGTACTGGTCACCCACACACTCACGTATTCCTCTGCGTAGATCATGATTCTCTGGCCGCCGATGACGACGGACCTGTCGTCCCAAGACAAGGGACCCTTGCTCTGCAGCTTGGAACCGGTGCCAGAACGCATGGCAATGTCGAAGAAGTGCTGTGTGCGCGCGCTGCCCGGCCGGCGCCCGTGGGCGGCGCTGGCGAGGCCGCTGCTGGTGAGCAGGAGCGCAAGCACGACCGCCAGGCTGAGCTTCAGTGTGGCCCGCACCATGATGACAAAGAAATATGGGTGCCTGCACAAAAAGGAAGGCGTGGACAACGGAAGAAGGGGACAGGGGGATGGAGAGGAGGAAGGGGAGATGAGGTGAGGGGCAGGAGAAGGCAGAGAGGACGGAGGGAGCGTGGGAGGGAGACACGCAAACGGCAATGGCTAAGCGAAAGGATGGCCTGGGCTTTTATGGAGGCCCGCTACGCAACAGGCGAAACGACAACATGGATCGTACATCCTATCTTTGTGCGAGTCGGCTTATCCTGCACATCGTGCGAAAGTGTCGTGGTGATTGATGAGCGATGCTGTGAGGACGGTATGGCTGCCATGCAACCTTATTATGTGGCTTTGTGGGGAACTGGAAAGTGACGATTGGGAAAGGAGATTTGCGCGCACGCCCATCCAACAGGGCGGCTGCATACCGGCCACTCCCCTCTTCTCGGTGCCTGAAACCATCACGCGTTGCCGCAGGTGCCGTACAGAACAATGATCAAGAGGGAGGATGAGGGACTGCGCTCTCTACCAGGTGCCAACCATCGCGCATCCCTTCACGCGCAACTGATCGACGTGTCCACTCCTTGTCCACGCACCGCACACTGTTGCAGATGCAGATCATGACGCCTCGCTTTTAGTGCTAGCCAGCGCTTCGACTGGATTGCCACAGATGCCCGAACGGAAGGCGCAATGGCGGCCACATTGCTCTACATACCTTTTGAGCGGTCTGCAATCCCAATCCGGCCTAGAATCTAGATAGGACGGAGATCTTGCCACCTGTTTGTGCATCGGCTTGGTTCATTCTCCTTGTGAGCTGGCGAAGATGCTGAAGAGACCCAGACCGGGCCTTTATGATGCTCTCACTTATTATTTCCTATCCCCAATGATCCGATCGATCAACATCCTTAGACCTAGAGGCACCCACAACACGATCACAGGCGTGAATAAAAATGTGTTTTTTCCTGCTTCATGACCCTCCGGGCTTCATATATCAAGAGTCTCCTTCGAGTCGCACCTGACAGGTCATGTCAAGCAGGTTAGGCGTTCAGCTGTCAGGTGCTCAGTTTCGGTTGCTTCATGGATATACCAGGGACAAAGCGGTCCGAGGAAAATGTCTGATCGCTTTCGCTCGCTTGCGCTTGGTTCGCCTGCGTCCCTGAACCCTGACCCTGCCCAGCTGTGTCTGCCAAATTGAAATGGAACTGCTTTGTGCGACTTTCGGCCAAACGGCGAATGGAAACCACAAGTTACGCAGAGCGCATACATACCCTGGCCCCGGATTTTGGAATAGAGTAATGATTAAAGGGAAATGTTGGAGGCCAGAGCAAACCGAGGCACAGAACGGACGTTGACGATTGAGCTCGAGAATGCAGAGCTTGGCGGGCCTTGTTGGTCTGCTAATCTGCATAATTTCGAAAGAATGGAGAGAGGGAGTGAATTGAGGACTCTTGTTTTCTCTATCGCTTTTGTTGGGACAGAACACATGTTACAGCAACGAAGCACATAATCAATAATTAAATGGAATGGCTCGCCTGATCTAATATGGAATGACAAAAGCTTCCAGGCCCGTGGCCACGACCGCCAGCGGCGATTTTGGCAGCTTCCTGTCAGTGTGGCGTCAGTTCCAGGCTTGCCAGGCTTTTCCAATCTTTCCAACAACGATTGACAAGGCCAGAGAGTATCTCTTGCGGTGACGAAGGAGAGCAGCGAAGAAGGCCGGCTTCAGCAGGCTGCAGCCATCAACTCCATCGCGCACACGGCACACCTGTTCGTACACAAGGCTAGTCGACGAGGCATACAGAAGGGCATAGAAATGGTACGCCATCGCCGCATCTCTTGTCTCGCATGCCATCTCTGTGAACTTCCGAACTGATCCTGCTCCAATCACCTTGACACATTGGAACACCCCTCGACCCATTGAAACACACCATATGCAACAAGTCGTTCAGCGGCCACCCCGACAAATCATCCTCGGTATTACTGGAGCCGCCGGGCTAGATACTTAAAAACCGCCATGCATGTCGTGCAATGGTCTGGTGATACTGCATGCTGTGTGACGCACTTGTGGCGGGCGAAAAAGAGCAAAGTTGGAGTCATCACATTTTCATGCGTCATGTGTCATGCACACCACACACGGTGCAAGGAGTTACGCATGTGTTCGATGGAATCAATTGTCTCCGCTGATGAGAGCGCTGAGCCGAGAAGAGGTTGCTGGCCACTGAGTGCCGAAGGGGCAGGCGATCAAGCTCAAATGATGAATAATTGACATGAGGAGTAAGACCGTTGCCTACTGTATTTTGGTCAGTTGACGACCAGCTGAGTGCAGTGACCATCTGCCAATAAGTCTATTATGCATAACACGTAACATCATGTCCTTGCTTGCTCGTGTGTTTACTTGTTTGCGGCAGAGCAGCCGCAAACTGTCTGGGCGTGAAGTGCGCATAAGCACGAAGAAAGTAACAGATCCTGCTTGCTCTTTGGTTGCAAGTAGCTCCGCGAGTTCAGAAGCTTGACGGAACTGCGATTTTATCCTTTTTTCGTTTCTCCAAACGAGAGTTGTCCAGTTACTATATAGTTGAAGGATGCATGGACTGGTGAAATGGAGTCGGTGAACGCCCGATACATACGCAGGCTGGAAGGGTGAGCTGGGGACTTTTAGCGCGGCGGATGTGAGGCGCAATTTTTCGGATCATCTTTTTACATCATCGCGCCGAGGGCATCAGAGGGGAAAGGGAGATGGATGCACAAATATCCCGTCAATAGCCTACAGCTGCTCAGCCACGACGTAACTGATGAGCATGTGACGATTTGCTTCTCTCTCTATCGTTCGACTGCGCATGAAACTCGAACCTTCTTACGGTTCATTCGAAAGGAGACCTCGGTCGTAGGCTGCTGCGAAAAGAGCAGAACCTTGAAATGGGTTTCCATCCGTATTCGCGTGACCAGGAGCAAGAGGAGAAGAGCTACGCGATTAAACATCGGTAACGAAGATGCCCTGCCACCATCCTGAGCGCCACTGCCCCTTAGCTGAGCAATCTTGGTCGACAAGAGGTCCTCTTCGTCCTCTCCCGCTGGAGAACCCAGCAAGATGCAGATGGGGGATTGATCATTGTGGAGATCATGGCGGTGCAGATGTTCCGGCCGCCGGACTCACCACGCGCGTGTGATTTTGCCGATGCAGGAAGATCAAATGCAATAGGGCCAGGCTGGTGTGTGACCGCTGCTAGAGCTTCGGGAAGCAGTGCACATGAATCACCTCGCTCCTGAGCAACGACCAGCGCGCAGGCTGGAGATGCACTTCCTCCGCCAGGAAGGAAACACCCAGTTCGAGTATTTTTGAAACAGCATCAATGAGGATGTCGTCAGGAGCGCTGCCGCGCGTGCTGGCCGGGATGTCGCTAGCGACCTCGTTGCTGCGGGTGTTACCCACTCCGAGGCATCATGGGGCTCGAGCTCAGACTCGGGACCAAGTAGCAGCGACAGCATCAAGACAGCTCCACTGCTGGCTTCCGTCAGGTTCTTCGCACCGATGATGCATCGCTCAACCAAGCAGTTCGTGTGCATGGCGAGAATACCAGCCGGGCCCCCTGACGCCAACGCAGCAACGCAGAAATTGGTAGAGCTCCCTTTCAGCATCAGCTTAAAGCATAACCCGAAAGCCGTAGAAAACGCAGAGACAGCCAAGCCAGCAGCAGTGTACGGCAAGCGCCTGTGAAAGCCTCAAAGCGTGGTCGTGTCTAGGGAAGTGCTGAAAGTGATGCTGCGCTCCGAGCACGCCAATATCACAGAGCCGCCACCAAAGAAGCCCCGAGGCCTTTCCATGGGAGGGAATCCGCGGCTGCAAGGTCCTGAAACACGGGCGTCCTTGCGTCCGAGATCATTCCAAGAGCCACGTCCTTCTGATATCGTAGAATGATTCCGCATCTCCGGCCTCTGTGACAATACTCCAGCGTTTCTTTTGAAACGGCTGTTAACATATACGCCTCACTCCATTTGACAGCCTCGAAACCCATCTCCCTCTTCGCTACCATCCACCCGGCTGCAGCTCTTGCAGACACCAACTGAAGACGAAGGCCCCGGTGGCAGACAGCTAACGGTAAATTTTGGAGGCAAGACGTCCGAGGAGATATGGCCGCTTTACTCTTTCGAGAAAAGCAATTTCGACCGTATTTTCTCGCGGGCGCTGGAAGTGGTCCAACATACGCTATGCGACATCGGAATCGAGCACCTGTCCAGTATGCCGTTCACGAATATTCTCGGCCATCTCGATCCTGTCGGTCAGTTCGAGCAAGATTGCATCATCCGCGGTCGCTCCGTCGATGCGCATTCGCGCGCTTGTCAGCGACACGAGATCGCCTAGGCATTCAACAACGCCGTCTGGACGCTGGAGGCGCCATTGTGGATCGATATCGACAGCGTCGCAGCCGCAGCGGACACGGAACCGTGGGAGAAGCACTCGATGAACCTTCTGTGGCTCCTACTCCAACCATACGAGCGCTTTCGCATGGAGAAGCTCACAAATGAATAGTAGATGACCTTTCCAGGTCTGCGCGTCTACCGGTACGACAAACTGCATTGCACCGCTTAAGTCTGACGATATCCTGTGGTGCATTGCTGCCTTCCTCGGGGTTCACGAGACGATGATCACCTCCACCGAGGGAGAAGATTGAATGTGTACAATATTCATTCAGCATACTTGGTGCCTACAACTCATGTCTTACCCTTGGAAAAGGAGCGCTGTCAAGACGTGCCGACATCCGCCGGGCTCATGATTAGTGTGATCTTGAACAATGTGCTTGGCCTCCAGCTCTGGAACGACGTGGCACTGCCCGATCGCTTCTGCCGTCGCATCATCTCGCTGGGTGAGTCTCTTCGCGGCGGAGGGAGCAGGCAGTCGTGAGCGTCCAACATGCATCTGACGCCTTCTTGCACAACGCTCGTCGGCAATTATTCAAGCTGGACCCAAGAAGCTGCCCGGCTTGGCCCTGGTCGACAGCGGGGATTGAAACGAAAATTGGAGGATGTGGCCGTGTGACCTGTGCTTGATCGGTGATGCGCTTCTGAACAGCGACATTATCAGACCGCTGCCGGGCAAGTCGGACGAAGCCGTCTGGGAGAAGGCCGCGATGGACCGGGAAGCCTAAGGGAATCAACTGTATGATCGACTGTGAGTCGCCCTGTTTGGAGCACGGCCAGCGTAGGCGGCCTCCTTCGAGTCGCATCATCTGATATTTGGTACTGTCTTTCCCCACCGCAGGCGAACATGGAAGCTGACGCAGGAGGGTGTAGAAGAGGCTGACGCGGACGAACCGTGCTATGAAGACCTGCTAGTGGGCACGCGCGCGTTCGTGAGTCGCTTCCACAGCTTTTTCCATCTCGTACCTGCCTCGCTGGACGAAGTTGATCATTAAGGCTTGCGCTAGCGGGCGCAGTCGCTGGCGGGAGAAGCATCTGCGGAACGTAAAAAGCCCATGGCGAAGGTACAACAATGAGTTGCAGAGCTCTATCCCCAAATTTATCAAGCGAGCGACTCAGGGCAAAGGGAGCTCGCTAGCAATGCTTGATCACTCTGCTCGCTGGGTAACAGGTGACTCGCCGGTCAGGAAAGGTCAATCGACCTCTTGGAGCCTTTTGACGATACCACATCTGCGGGCTGCACTCTTCGTGTTAGAGCTGTGATGTACGCTGCGATACCAAAGTCACGCGCTTGGGCCTTACATTCCTGCACTTTCCATTGCAAGATTTGCTATGATGTATGGGAAACGCAATTCATATTAGCACTTCCTATGTCACGATCAGTGGTCAAGAACTCGCCCTTTAGTGATTTGATATGTTACAGGTCGTACTAGAGTAAAAGAGGCACAAGTTTCGCCAACAATGCAGGCTTCCCACAAGAGTCGCTTATAACACCAGTGAAGGAGTAGATCGGCGATTGTAGGCTCCCATTGCAAAGAAGCTTACGCATGATCGCCTATTAACACCATTGCGCGGCCAGATGGTAGCTTTGTACTGAGCTAAAGACCGAGCGAACTTTCGTCAGTGGCATTCTTGCTGCAAGCGCCGAGCGACGAGGGCTGGTGCACCTGCATGCCTTGAGGCGAAGTTCGTGCTACTATTAATGTTGACTCGTGCTCTGCGCAAGCAACAAGGATGCGAGCCGTGTGACTACGGGGATGATGCATGTACCTCGACGCGAAGCAAGCGCCTCTCCATGACCCTCGCCTAGGCTAGATATATGAGTAAGCCTTCAGTTGACATCAGTATAAGGGATATTGAAAGGCTTGGCGAGGTCCTGCGACTGGCGACTCCGCGAGCCGCGATGTGGACAACTCCAAGGATCAATGCTCGTCACTCATGTTGATTTTGAATCAGGTTCCTGCAGGCCAGCAGGTAGCAGGGTACTGGTAGTCAGTATGTAGGTGCGTGAGTTTACATGGAGGTTAGGCGGCAAAACAAGGCCACAGGTGTATCTCCGACGAGGGCCAACTCAACCAAGCCTTGTTACTTTGAGTGCTTGCCTTTAAATCCGGCTACAGGCAATTAAAAGCCCGATCAGCCTTTCAGCTCATCAGGTTCAGAAATCTCCAATCTATTATTCCTTGTGGGTGTTACCTTGCTCTCACTGGAGGCTTTTTGGCTCTTGCACTTTGCAAAGCGCACATGCTTACTGCCGCAACTGCGGATCGAACTCCGCTCTCCATGTACATACAGATGAAGCTGTGCGCGAATGAAATCCAAGGAATGTTTTGTGAGCAGTAAACCCAAATCTTCGGCACCGAAGAATCGAGTCATCAAATTCAATGCACATGCAAAAATTGTAAACGAAGGGAGAGTCGCAGGGTGCCGAACGGAGGTAAGGTCCTGGCTTAACGTGCTATATGGTACCACCGGTCTAACTTTCTTCCACCGCACCTCCACTCGTTCTCACCAAGCGCTTCTCACTTGGAGTAAATTCCCTAGATACATGGCTCAGGTGTTCATTCAGTCTCGCTGTTCCCAGGCAACTCTGTGGGTCAGCCAAACAACATAGATCGTATAAAGAGCGCTGGTCGCGAGGTCCAAGCTGGTTCTGTCAGCTCCTCCCCATCTTCGCGAGTAAGCGATCTTCTGCCTGCGACCTTTTCCTATGGACTTGGATCTCATCTTATAGCATATAATTGCTCTGCCAACCCCAAAGACAGGCTCGCTCACAATGCAGTTCTACCCAAGCACACTTCGCGACTCGCCCGTTGGACAGGTGGTCAACCGCATTTCGCATGGACGATACCTTCCGTACTTGGACCAGCAAGTAGGTTTCCAGCTGCCAAGAGAATGGTCTGACGCACTCCAAGCTCGGCAATGTAGGTTTGGCACAAGCTCTTCCTCGAGTGCGGGAACCTTGGAAGAACGGCCGACTTCGACGTGCCCAACCCTCTTCGGCGACTCGGAGAACAAGTCTTCGAAGCCGCAAACCCCGAGCGAATCACCGTTGGCAACTCGTCGACAAAGTCTCGCTGTTCCACCCTCGGCTGCTACCACCACCCCTTCCATGGCCCGCCAATCAAGCGATGTGGAAGCGGATCCAGAAAAGCAGAGCCAAGCGTTGCGCGAAGCCATTCGTCCTCCTCATCTGCCAATCAAGCTGCACGAAGCGTCGGCTGCGAACAAGGACGTTGTCATCGTCGGCTGGTATGATGCAGACGATCCTGAAAACCCGCAGAATTGGCCGCTTCGTCGCAAAGTCCTGACTACCGTCCTCATCAGCGCTTTGACATTCAGCGTGTACAGTGAGTCGCGCACCCCGACCTATAGATGGAGTTTCGCTCAACAGCAGCTGACGGCACGTACCCTTGTGTTGCCTTGCAGTGGGCGCCGCGATATATACACCAAGTATACCCGGTATCATGGCGGAGTTCGATGTCTCGCAACGTAAAGCAGCCTTGGGGCTGTCACTCTACATAGCCGCGATCGGTCTCGGCCCGCTCGTCCTGTCGCCTCTGAGCGAAATCCCAGCGATCGGTCGCAACAAGGTCTACTTCGTCTCGCTTTTCCTCTTCGTTGTCTTCAGCATCCCGGGTGCTCTGGCAAACAACTGGAACACACTCATGGCCATGCGCTTCTTCCAGGGCTTCTTTGCGAGCCCTGCACTTTCGACTGGCGGTGCTACACTGGGCGAGATCTGGTCGCGTGAGTGGCAAACGCATTCATTCTATAATTTAAAGTATGAGCATGAGAAGCTAACGTCTTTTGTGTCTTTTATTCTTTTATGCAGCGCAAGTCATTGCGTACTTCATCGCCACCTGGGCCGTCGGTGCAGTGTGCGGCCCCGTCATGGGCCCCATCATTAGCGGCTTCGCAGCGATGAACTCCTCCTGGCGCTGGTCGATGCGTCTCCTGCTCACAGTCGCCGGTGTAGCACTCATCGGCCTGTCCTTTAGCTTACCCGAGACCTACCCTGGCACGATCCTACTTGAGCGAGCCAGACGGCTTCGCAAGCTCACCGGCGATGACCGCCTAAGAAGCCAGAGTGAGCTGGACCAGGCTGCAATCAAGCCTGCAGAGCTTGTCAAGACAGCACTTATCAGGCCGCTCGTACTCTCAAAGGAGCCGGCACTCCTGTTCGGCAACATCTATCTCGGCCTTTCCTACGGCATCTTGTGAGTTTTGCACGAAGACTGCTCGGATGTAGAAGATGTGGCATACTGATATTCGCTTTACCCTTTGTGTGCCGGACACCACAGTTACCTATTTTTCGAAAGCTTCCCGCTCGTATTTGCCAAGTACAACTTCAACCTCGGCGAGAGCTCGCTACCTTTCTTGGCCGTTCTGGCCGGCGCCATCCTCACCCTGCCACCATACCTCGCCTACCTGCGTTACGTTGTCGAGCCACGGTTCCGACGTGACGGGAAGATCGTCCCCGAATCGCGACTGGAAGTCGCACTCGTCGCAGCGGTCTTCATCCCGACAGCGCAGCTGGTCTGGGGTTGGAGCGCCAATCGAACGCACTGGATCGTCCCGCTCATCGGCGCAGCGCTTTACATTCCCGGGCTGTTCCTCCTATTCCAGGGGTTGCTGTCGTACCAGCCCATGTCCTATCCTACCGTCGCGGCATCTGTCATGGCGGCAAATGCGTTCGCACGGTCCTCTATCGCGTCCGCCTTCCCGCTCTTCGGCGACCTGTACTACCAACGCCTTGGCGTCGACATTGGGTCGACCATCCTGGCAGCCATCACGATCGTCATGATTCCGTTCCTTTACCTGCTCAAGCGATACGGACATGTCCTCCGCGCAAAGTCCAAGCATGCCACGGCTTAGGCGGCACGCCACCCCTTCTGCCACGTATACCATAGTCTCGCTGTTTCAATACACCGTCCATTTCAAGTATCACCCTTCTGCAGGGTTTGCACATGTAGCATTCCAATCTAGGCACAGTAAATAGAGATCGAATTCAAGTAAAATGTCCATCACATACGAAGCACGGTGCGCCGACCCTTTATCGGATGCCCTACTCGCAGGAGAAGTGCTGATAGGACTTGATGCCAGTGGTAGGGCCGTGCAGGTGCCTGGCCTTCTGGGGGTACGGGCAGAGCTTGCGTGTGAATCTGACGCCGTACTCGTAGCTGGAAAACCAGGTGGGCACGTCCGATACGGTCTTGGTGGGGGGGTTGTCTGGATCCGCTGGTGTGACGCCACCAAGGAGGCCGTACGCTGCGCCGACTTGGTACGCCGGCACGAGCTCCTGCTCGGTCCACGCGACGAGGGCGAGGAGGATGTCGTGACGTGTGTCGAACTGCAGCGGACGGTTGCCGGCGTCGTTCTGCGTCACGTGGCCGAAATGCCATGGCCCGTCACCGTCGCGGCAGTGGCCCATGCCGGGGATCATGAAGAGCCGGTAGCTATCTGAGAGCTTCCTGCCGCGTGGCAAGCGTGAGTTGCGCTGCACGTCCTTGTAATACTTTGTGCTCATCAGCGGCGAGACGGTCAGGTCGGCGCTGCCGTGTGTGTGCAGCAGCTTGCGGCGCGGATTGGCGAGGAAGGCGGAGATGTCGGTGTTGTCGCCGTTGGATCCGCCGGGGTTCTCGCGCTCGCCGAGCTGTACGTCGGCAAGCGTGATATTGTTGTACCCGTCAAAATTGGGGTCGAGAGTGGGCTTCTGAAGGATGGCGAGCTCGAACCAGTCGATGGACTAGTAGCACACAAGGGAAAGGAACGACGTCAGTATTCTTCTGATGAATATTTGCTCCTGCCATCTCGCGCTCGGTGGTTGACTCACCTTAGCAGCGGCACCAGTCAAGGTGGCGGGCGAACGCTCGAGGCCGGGCAGGTAGCGTTCGTATACCTTAGTTCCCTCGAGCACGGTGGGACGATAGAGCTCGTTGAGGGTTTCGATCTGCGTACTGTTGAGGCAGTGCTTGGTGTCGTTGGCGTACAGGCTGTCATTGGCAGTGCTGCCGCACAGCAGGTCTTTGGCAAAGTCGACGTTGCAGCGCTCCGCATCGGCGATGACGCCGTCGCGGACGCCGTCGAGGTGGTCGCACTGCTTGAGCACCGTCGCGTGGATCGCAGACCAGTACTTGCCGATGCGGAAGTAGCCGCCCATCGCCACCTGCGGGCGCCCCGAGCGCTGCGTGTGGATCTGGCCGGCGTTCAGGCGGTTAAAGTAGTTGGCGGGAGAGCCGACGAGCACGCCGTCAAAGTCGTCCGGGTACACCTGAACTGAGCTCAGGCCCGCCTTGCCGCCGACCGAGCAACCGGCAAAGTAGGCGCGAACGCGCTTGCCCATTCCCTTGTGGTGCTGTTTCACCTGGGCTGAGTCCTTGGGCTGCTTGCCATCGTGCTTGTTGCTTGCCGTTGCCGCAGTCACAGCGGAAGAGGTCCGCTTGACGCGGACACCTGCATCAGAGCCATAGAATGCGTCGATGGCTTCTTCGCCAAGGATCTTGCTGACGTGCGTCGCGCGGCTAGCCCAGTCGAGGATAGTGTCGGCGTACTGGCTGCCATTAACCCACGAGACCCCACCAGTGGTGGAGAAGTGGCCAGAGTTGGAGCCGACGACGACGAAACGGTGCCGGTTCAGATTTTGCTTCAGGTCTGGGTAGGGGACGAAGCCGCGCTGGCCTGCGTGGAGGCCATTCGAACAGGAATGTTAGGAGCGTTCAAAAATGGGTGAAGCGCGGCGCATATACCCACCTCCGTTTGCGATGAACAGCAGCCGCCCGTTCCACGCGGTTGAAATGCCGTTTCCATACACTTGTGCACCAGTGAGTACCTTGTCTCCTCGTCCAGCACGTGTTTGCAGGTCGTTTCCGTTGTCGGAATGCTGCAATACCTCGTCCCTGCGCGCTCTGGCCATGCCGCTGGTGGCAGACACTTCCTGCGGGTCGCCGAGTCGGTTTGCGTTGCTGGCGAGTACGTAGGAGGGGCCCTTGGCGTAGAAGAACTTCTCCTGCGCCTTGCTCTGGTCGTACACGGCGCCTTGGCCGTACTCCTGCTGCCAGTCGGACTTGAGGTGGCCTGCGTCGCGCGTGGTGGGTACATCGATGACGATAGGAGTGCTGGCTGTCGGGTAGTCTGATGCGTTTACCGGCGCCAGAGGCTGTGGCGGGTTCTGGTGGGGCGATGGTCCTGTGTTGTGCGACTTGGGGTACGCCGTGCTGTCGGCTATTGGGAGCCACACCTCGGTCAGGACGGACGTCAAGGGAGAAGTGATGATACGCGCTGCGACGCTGTTAGGCACGGCGCAACAAATTGAGATTCGGGCAGAATAGAACGAGGGAATCATGTAGAAATGTGTTGAGCGCCCCAAAGTTGCAAGTGCATTCCATCGTGTGACCCGCACTCACCGACAGAACCCAGGCAAGCCGCCTAATGGACCGTTGGCCGCGATCAGCCTGCTCTCATGCGTTTGGCCCTGTCGCCCATACCCATAGTCGCGGGTGATGTCAATATCAGGTCCGACACCGTCGAGGATCGACGCCACGTCTGTCCCGGGCGGGATCCAGCCTGTCGTCACACGAGGATGATCAGGGAAGCGAGCATGTATCAGTATGGAAGCACCTTCTTTGCAGACTGCAAACTTGACGTGCACGGATCATTACGCACCGTCAGGATAGGTAGAGGCAAGCAGCTCGAGACTGGGGTTGGAACCGTCCTCGTACCACGTGGCAACGGGGGCCTCCTTGAAAGTGAGCTGTGATCCGCTAGGCGCGAAGAGCTGCGCAGGCAAGGCTGCACAAAGCTGCGCGGCGAGCGCGGCGGTCGTCGGGCGTGATTGCTGGTGTGCGGAGGTTGTAGTCGTCGCCGCAAAGGATCTAGGCGAAGCGCTGCGGGGTTCGCCGTCCTCACCACCGTCGCCAGCCTCCTCATTCTCATCTTCGCTGTCTTTGCTGGCAGTACTAGAGTTTGTACCGGAGCAGCTCGTCGCACTCAGTGGCGCCGCAAGCGAGAGCACAGCGGCAGCAGGTGCAGCAGCGCAACGTCGCTGCTGTGGGCTGACCAGGCCCGGCAGAGCGAATTGCGGACTGGCTGCCGCGGGCGGCGGCGCGGCCAGCAGCGGCGCCAAGGCGAGGAGCCCTTGGATGAGGAGTGTCTTTTTGGTCGTGCGCATGTTGGGTGGCGGAGCTTTGCACAGTTCTGGCAAGGGCAGAAAGAGGGGTCGCGCGTCACGCTTCATGCGCCACGGAGACGGAAACGCGTTGGTGGTAAGTGTCAGCGCCGGCGGAAAGTGTGCACAACGACCTGCTGATGCGTGTATGAGAGGGCGGCGAGACGCAACGTGCAGGGCGTCGACGACGATGGCGGGTGCAGCACTTTTTCAATCGACCGGGTGGGTCATAGGCAACCCCGACAACGAATACCGATGACTTATCTATACGATGAAATGAATTGCAGCGGGTGCAGACGAACGACGTCCCAAGGTCGGTCGGTACTCGGCTGCTATTATCACTTGACGTGCATCTGTATCGGAGGGGGAAGAGGATCCTGTAGGCTGCAGAACAGGGCACACCAGCAACGCAGCGAGGCTGAGGCCACGATGGGGAAATACTCTCGCAGAGTATAGCCCCCCCATAAAGAGGTAACCACATGACTAGGCCGCAGGGACAACTCCCGGGTGTGGGTGTGTGGATATTTGCATTTTAGTTCATCGCTTTCCTTCAAATGCAAGTGCCTGGCCTGCTCTCTAGTGCCCAAAGACGGATGGCAGGAGATGCGGGGCGAATCAACAGAATGACAGGAACTCCGCACGAATGCCCATCCTCTCCCTCAGTCGCCACAGTCACTGACGGGCGTGTTCCTGATGATCAACACCGTTTGCAGACTGCTGTTGGCGGCGCGCAGCTCTCAGTCTACCAGATAGAGGAAACTTTTTTGCGGAAAAGGTGTTAGCCCACTAGCCCTAATTGTGGGTTTTCGTCGTGCTGCGTCTGGAGAGTCGCCGACCCCACCGACCTCATTCAATGTCTAAAAGTGCTGCTGCCTCCTCCGCAACTCGCAAGGGCCAAGGGAGAGGCGCAGACGACTGAGGGGGGAACGCGAGATGCGATCGAGCTTGCCTGATCAGCTTCCAAGGCATGCATGCGTTCACGTCCAACGCCAGCTAGATCAGCTGTCGGGGACGTTGAACTAATCTACGCTGTGTACGTCGACGAGCGCGAGGGAACGATGAACCGACGCTTGCTTTGCTCAATTCACAGACGTGGCTTGCATGTCACGCCGCTCTTGTTGCTCCTCCCATACGTGCCTGTTGCTGATTCAAACAAGTGTAGATGTGCAAATGTGCAGGTGCCAGGCGGCTCGTTTCCAACCCGAAGGACACCCTCCCTAACGTGACTTGTTTACCGCAAAGATGAGAACAAAGATCCAGATGCATAGCTCTGCCCTTGGCGTCTCTTCTGCTGAGAGACTTGCTCCCTCAGAGGCAGGCGAAGGGAGGGATGCAGCTGTAGTGGCCCCACCCATTCCTTCTCGCGCTTCGAGAGCTGCAAGCTCACTGAATCGTTTGTGAACTGTACTATGCGGCGTCACGAGGCATTGCACTCCGCAGTGCGCAGCTATGCTTCGCTTTCCAGTGTATCACTGGTCACAGCAAGGCAAGCGAACAATCCCAGTACACAATGACGTGTCTGATGCGTACAATCAGCAACACTAGCTTCCTTTCCAGCGTCACCTGTTTGACCATGTCGACGGCCTCCTCATCCAAATTGTCCCGGACGCACACCAACACGTCCGCGAGGCCGACGAATGGGTGCCGAGGGCAGCCAGTGATCTCGATCAGGACGGCCTTCTCCCTCAAGTATGTGCCGCAACTCCGGTCCACGCCCCAGCCCTTCCAATTCGCACGCATGGCATCAGAGGCTGCGGCCGGTTGCGGCGCATGCGCGCATCCAAAATCTTCCGGACAAGGAAGTGCTCGACATAGCCAGGAACTCAGGGGTGATGAGAAGCTCTCGTTTGAGTAACAGCTTGGATTGTCTGATTCTGCCGCATCTAACGACGAAAGTAGAGGCTTATGTACATAGCCGCGGTCCTCCTCGCACAGCTCTGTGGTGGCGCGCCAGGGCCAAGAGCCGTCCGGCGCCATCCCGTCAAGAGCGGCGCATCTACGGCCAGGCGGTCGGGGATGGCTTTGGGAGACATAGGGAGAGACCAATGTACACGACCAGGCTGCCAGGGCGATTGTTTTTGGAGGCAGGTTCCAGAGAAGGATGCGACATGGTCGAAGGTCTTTTTTGTATTACACAGATGACGTTCTTGATTACGCGGTGTGCCCACGTGCCCTAGCCACCAAAATCCACACTGACAGCAAAGCGGCGGGCCGCTAACAGGCTGAAAGAATCGCCCTCACTGCGGCCCGATGGCTCGGGTCGTGCGTGAGCGGCAACACACTTTCATCACAAACTGCGTGAAGGCAGCTCGAGGAGAGGCCAACCATCGTGATCCCAGACCACGATTCATCGTTTACTCGCTGGCAGAAGAGATCCATCATCCATGCACTCGCGAGCTGACTGTTGAGAGACGACGGCAACGCTCCTTTGGACTGCTGCTGTGTCCAAGGCGCTTCTTTTGTCACCATTCTTACCGTCGTCCGCTTTCCTGATCGAATTGACAGTCCGAGCTAGTTGGTTGCGCTTCGCAGTCAGCGGCGCTCCGCGCTACAGGCGTGACTTACTTGGAGCCCGCCACGAACGTGTGGCGCTGAATCCAGCCAGCAACGAGGCGTCGACGTGCAGTCTTGGAGATAGCCGGTAGCAGCAAAAGAGCTCATCTTGCGACGCCATCTTCCAAATAAGATGTCTGCTTCGGCGCCCGTGTCCTGGCGCTGGCGCCTACGCAAGGCACCGACCACCGCGGTCCTCCCCGGCTTGCTAATAATGAAGCTGCTTTGGAGCGACTGCGTGACCGCACATGAGCATCATCAGGCTGGCCCTGCAGATGACGCAGTACCGATCGACCCGATACTGTACTTGCATATGGGCTTGCAACTCACCGTATGGCTCGCATTGTTTCCATGTGAGTGCAGCACGGGACATGGAGCAGGAGTCTTCTCGGGCGCCACACGGAGGAATGGGAGTTGGTGGAAACGAAACATGGACATGCGCTGACGGCAAACTCGGTGCTACTTGCGTGCAGTGACAATGGTCTTGGGCCTGGTCCGACATCGGCTCCATGTTCCACTCTCCGTGCTGTCTCTAGCCCTCACCACTGGTGGCTACATCCTCGGGCATGCGCATGGCGGGCGCTCCTTTCCACACACGGCGCACGGCTCGCTTGCCACGCTAGTGATCTTCTACCTCGGCGCACAAGGCGTGCTGGGCCTCTATCTCAAAGCGCACTTCGACCTGGGCAAGTATGAGCGCAGCTGGATTAGGCCCGCGGCTGTGATCGTGCACGGCTTGCTCGGCCGTAGCTTCCCGATCGTCGGTTGGGTGCAGTGCGTGCTCGGCCTGATCACGTTGCGCTCGTGGTGCTTTGGCGGGCGCCTCGGCCAGTGCCTCGCGCACCACATCATGGGCAGCGCGTTCATCGCGTACTGCGTCCTCCTTCTCATTGCGCTCAAGGCCGGTGCCGGCTGGCTCAAGCGCCGCAATCAGAGCCAGGAGTATTTTGATAGCTGGGTCATTCTGCTATGGGGGATCGTCAACACTTTCACCGAGCACCACGGTGGGCCGTGGACGCACAAAGATCTGCAGCACACGCTCATGGGCGTCGCATGTTGGGCTGGCGGCGCCGTCGGCGTCTTTCTCAGCAGGGGAGGGCGCCGCACGATTTGGCCTGGAATTATCATCATTCTCACTGGCTGGGCGATGAGCGGACATGCGCAAGAACTGGTGAGGGCAAGCACATTCATTTCCACGAACGTCGAAAGGTCAAACATATAAGCAAGCATTGGAGGGCTGACTTCACATTTTTCTATTCGGTCCAACGCATGATGCGGCCCTGCAGATGCTGTCTACCATGGTGCATTCGCTCTTCGGGTACGCCCTCATGGCAGCAGGCGCCACTCGCATCATCGAAGTCTGCTTTGTGATAGATGGCAAGCCGACAGGTGAGGTGCCTTCACCTCGGTCTTCTTCCATTTCAACCTCTTCGCCGCACGATGCAACGGACACCCGGCATGGTAGCAGTACGTGGTATCCGATCAAGCCGTTCCAGTACCTCCCGCCCTACCTGCTCGTCGCGTCCGGTGTGCTCTTCATGTCCGGGACGGATGAAGAGCTGCACTGGGCTAACGACCAGGGTGTCGACCACATCACATGGGGTCTAATCGACTTTTCCATCTCCTTCATCATCTTCTTGTGGTCCAACATCCTGATCGAGCTGTACATGCGCTGGGGCGGTAGATATGGCATGCGGGCAGGTGGCACTTCAGCGCCGGCTGGTGATGAAGCAGGAGCGGGTGCGAGGCTCGGCGGTATGGAATTGGAAGGGTACGAGCAGCTAGAACTGAGAGATAGCATAGATGGAGGCCCACAGATGCCCATGGCTGCACTCGCATCTTCTGCGCCCACACATGCTGCTGGCGAGGAGGCGGAGGTACGAACATCGCGGCCATCGCAACCTCAGCCACGACAAGGATCGAAAAATGCAAGCGCACGCATCACACCGTCCTTGCCGAACAGAAAGGCATCGTCGCCAGCTAATGGAAACGCTCACGGACATGAAAAGCAGCATGTGCTTTTTGATGAAGACGAAGAAAACAAGGATCCCTTTGACGATGAGGATGAAGATCGCATTAACCAAAGAGAGCGATGATGCCCTCTTAATGCGAACCTCGAGCGTCATTGTTTTGCACTGTAGCATGTCTCTATCCCCATTTTGCCTGGGTTTGTATACAGCTTCTCCCTTTCTTACTTTCTGGAGAGTCGTGCCGAACTGTACAGTGCGGAGAGAGGAGCTAATCCAAGCGAGTATGGAAGAAGCCTACCCCTTCAAAGGTACAGATTCTGCCGGCACTTCTGTCCTGATGGGCACGGTCACCTTTGGGCACAATCGCTCCCGCCAGGGGGAAGCTCAGCGTCAACCACAAGCAGAAGCCTGGCACGGGTCTACACACTGCACAGGGTTCCTTGCTGTGGTCCTGCAACCCTGCTGTATCTGCTGAAGCATGTGCCCATGAGTTTGGTGGAACAGGGCGCAACCGGCCTTATCAGTCGCATTGTCGGTTGTCACACCAATGTTGCGGGCTTCGTTCTTCGGCCCTTGGACATTCGAGCCCTGCACAATCTGTTCAGAGAGGCCTGGGCAAAGCCGACGCCTTAAGACGAGGATGAAAGCTTGCACTTTACATGCCTGCAGACGGCCGACCGCGATGAGTTTATATCGTTCCCTCGGAAGCCGATTTTTGCTGCACCTGGAAAGTTCGAAATTTGGCCTGAGAAAAGTGTAAGGCCGGTATAGCGCAAGGAGATATCGTCATCCAACCTCGTCATCCCAGCCTTTGTTGGGACTGCAAAAGATTACAACTATTCAGCAAGGGAGCATCCTGGACCGGGCTGATCGCACAATATGGCTAATGAGGTTATGATGAGAAAAAATGATGAGTCTATGAACTCATTGATTATCAAAGGGAAGCAAGTCGCGAGAGCTTCGTGCAACGTTCTTGACGGCCGCAGTGGCTCTTGAAATGTCTGCTGTACATACCTCCCTTGCGTGCGCCCGAAACCCGGCTTTGGGTTGTGCTTGGCGTATCCGCGGACGTCGGATCCTGGAATACCCGGATACCCGGAGTAATGTCTGTATGCACCTCTGTCTCTCGCTAAAAGTTGGTCTGGACGGCTGAACACAAAGCGTCAAGTTGCTATGTATGTAGTAGTCACTTTCAAACTTGCCGGGAATCCGTAGAGCCTCTGGAACGTCCGAACCTGAGAGAATTTGAATGTAAGAAAGTGAAGCCACGGCCTCACAAGGTCTAATTAGCAAAAGGGGATACATGAGCACGCAAAAGTCGACGAAGCCGTCGCAGTTATCCACCTCGAGAGATGACATCAGCATGATGCCGAGAACGCATAAGTGGATCCGCGACCGAGCTCCCCATTTCCAAGAGGGCTCTTCCACTGCTTATTTTGGACTCTTCCAACGGAACAACCAACGACTTCCAAGGACGGAACCAACCCTCTCAGAGACTCTTTCCAGCTCATGCCCAGCGTTCTGGAATCCAGTTCTCAAATTGGCGCCAATATCACGACAGGATGATACGCGATGAGGACTTGTTGTAATGAGCCCAGCAGTGAGCACGTCCTGCCATGCCCAGCCAGGCACTATCGCATGATTACAATAGTTGAAACGGAGTGTGGGCACTTGCCAGTCGGACACTGCATAGGTCTGTGTCATGAGAAGACGGGCAGCCATATTCCGTTCCGAGAGTCTCTGACCACATGAACCGAAACGCAGCAGTCTCATGCCCTTACACTGCGATAAGATGCCAGGCGACGCCATTGGGCATTTGAATGGGACTAAAACCGGAAAAATGCCCAAAACTGTGGAACTCCTTGCACGTTTGTTTAAGGATGCAGGCAGCTGTTACGTCCGACTTTCCAAGCCTCCGTGCTGGCGACGATGGCGAAATGTGATTCGTGTTTGATATAAGCGGTGCAATAATAAAATAAAAACGACAAACGTAAAATATTGACGTTTGACGTTTTGAACACAGAGGGGACTCAGCCAGTCCGTAGTCTGGTAAGGTTTTCGGTATTCTGGTTTACTGGCTTGGTGAGGGCCAAGGGGGGGTGGCACGGAGCAGAGGCTTTATCCGCTTCCTGTTTCGCGTCAGAAGCTGCAGGCTGCCTGCCTGCTTGGGAAAGTCGCAGCACTAAGTTCCTGTCCTGTCTAGAGCCCAAAGTCCAGTGCTCCAGTGCATTATTGGCTGCGTCCCTGCCCCAGCCAAGTTGCTGAATGACCGCTCCGTGATGAACGTGTGTGCCCTACTGCCGTACCCAGATGCTGCGAAGCCCTCTGCTGCAGCTCCCCTGCCTTGCAGAAGGAAGCCATGAAAAACTCTCGCAGCACTGCACCAGCCCTCTCAGTATCGTTCACACGGGCTAATTTGACTTGTCTGACACGGCGCTCTGGCGCCATCGTGATTCGCGCTCCGTCTATCTCCTCCCGGATTCCAGCTCACACGCTCCCTCACGGTCGGGTCTCTCCCAGTCTCCCCCGACCGGCGGGGTCGCCAGCCCCAATCCTCCACCTTTTCCTCATCATCTTCAGCATACTCATGATGCATCCTCCATCCCATTCCCTTAACCAAAGCAGAACCCTTAGTGAGTTCTGCATGCTGCAGCCTGTACAAGCTATGAAATACTGGGGGTGATGGTGCGTAGGCGCGCGCGAAGGGCCTTTGGAAGCAGATCAAACGGTCATCAGACGGCAGAGATAACGGAGGGGAGGTCGGCTGAAAAGGGCAGGTTGGGTGGGAGCGCCTCTTTGCTTCCATAAAAAGCCTCGGGCTATATGCTGGACGCGCAGACTCGCGGGGAGCTGCATGTTTCACGCTGAGTGATGGCTAACTGGAGCGACTTGGAACGGTAGAAAGACTCCGGCATGTCCAAAAGCTACCATGATCCTAGCCGTCGTCGACGACCTGCGGTTGCGCTGAGCTTTTCTGATCACCTTTTCCCATCCCATTTCTCATGATCCTACAGTTCGCTTAGAAGACGGCTTGCTGCTCAGCAACGCACGGCTCGGCGTATCCTTCCTCCTCCACATTCCCCTACGGCGCTTTGCAGACTGCAAGATTGATCTCCTCTCACGAGCGACGATCTCTTGTCTGGCTCGGCGTACTCGTTCCCCCTCGTCCCCCTCTCGAGAGTCATCAGATCCGACCCGACCTTTCTCGCAAGAAAGCCGCCTTCAGGTCCTGCTGAGCCGTTACTGGATCGCGACCTCCACGAGCACACTCCACGCGCGGCATACAGCCTCGACAAGTTGACCCCACAGCGGTCTTACTTGAACACGACCCAAGCACCTCCTCGTTGTTCGCCCTCACCTTTTCTCAACCACCTCTCCGCTATTTCACCAAGCCTCATCCTCCCCCCTCCTCTCAACATGGCCGTCCAACCCGCAGAGTCTTCCGCTGTCTCGCCCACTGTAGGCGTGCACACAGTGCCGTCCCCAGCCAAAAAGATGGCGACACCATTGGCAGCCGCAGCAGCGGTCTCCAGATCCCCCCCAGTCTCGTTCGGGAGTTTTTCTGAGAAGAAAACTGGCAAGGTCCGTAGCTCCAGCAACGCCAGCGTCAACAGCCGGAAAGCCAACCCTGAAAAGAGGGCAAATCACAATGCAATCGAACGCGCGAGACGGGAGTCCCTAAACAATCGATTCCTGGTGAGTTTACCTCGTGTATGCGTTGCTCGAGATGACACAAACTCACATCTTTCGACATTACATTGTATGCCCCAGATTCTTGCCGCTTCTTTGCCAGCCATCTCGCAGATAAGACGCCCTTCCAAGTCGCTCATCGTCAACCGTTCTTTGCAGTTCGTCGCGGACAGCCTCTCACTCGAGATGCTCTACCGTGACATGCTCAAGGAGATGCATGCCCGCAACATTAACCTCATCCGTGAAGTCAATAACCTCCGTGCCCGCTGCGGTCTCACTACCGAGCGTGGCGTTGAGGCCGAGACCGAACTTTTCCTCCCGAAGGGGCTGACAGAGGTCGAAAAGGCGGCCTGTAGTCGCCACCCCATGAGCAACACGGATGCCAGGACTGATGGTGCCAACTCAAACGACTCGCTGTCAGACAGCAATTTGAACGGAGCAGAGTTTCTTGACGACTTGGACGACTTTGACGACTGTGGAAGCTTCCCTCTTCCTGCTGACGGGCTCGATGGATTTGGCCTTTCTCGACCGTCGGCAAACGGTATGGCAGCATACAGCCCACTTTCTTCGATCGACGATGGCAGTACAGACAAGCAAGGTATTCCTGGCAGCGCCTTCATGTTGAACCACCCTCAATTTGCCGCAGCGGCGGCAGCGGCCGGTGCCTCGGGTTTTGTTACCCTTTCTCACGTCACCACTAGTAACGGCGGCCCTGTTGGTATGCCTGGCTCGACGACGCCAAACACGTCGTCTCCACCCGAGCTCAGCAGCTCCATGAGCAGTAGCGGCGTTGAATCGACCACCTCGCCCACCTCGACGGCGAACCATACGTCCCCAGCTATGCCAACACCCACAGCTGCTGCGGAGAACCTTCCGGCCGCCCTCCCCTCTACTGGCCTATTCGACATTGCACCGCCTTTCCCTGTCATGACTTCCCCTGTTGCCACCCTCGCTGCTCATCGTCAATACCAGTACCAGTACCAGCAACCGCAACCACAACAACAACCGCAATTCCACATTCACCCCGGTCAACAGCATGCACATGTGCGCGCTGCAACGTTTCCGCAGCAGCAGCAGCAGCAGCATGGTGTTATGCCACCGCATATGCAGCACCCACAATCTCACCCCCACGCTAATGCGCAGCAGCAGTCGGCGCCAGTGTCCACCACACCTACGACACCCACTTTTGACATTGCTGCCTACATGTTCAGCCTGCAAGCTCAGGGACGTCAACATATTTCCCAGCAACAGCAGCTCTCGCCCGAGCAACATTCGCAAGCCCAAGCCCAAGCTTTTGCCGCTGCGGCCTTTGCAGCTCAGCGTCATCAGCAACAGCAACCGAGTCACAGTGAACTCAGTATCAACACTAGCAGCGCCCAGCACCTGCGCTCCTCTCCTTGGTCAGGTCACCAGCACAACCCGAGCGCGCCACTGCCGTTATCATTCCGCGCGGCCCCCTCGGCTGGCTTCATGGCCGCCGTTTAGGGATTTCCATCCGCTCACCGGGCACGTACGGTTGGCATCATCACGGTACACCCGCGATGCGTTTTGATCTGTGTTCTTGTCCGCCGTCTGTCGCAGCGCGATGTGTCCAAAAGTCTCTGTTCATTCATCCACCCCAGCCCCTCGTTACTTGTTCGCTCGCCGCTTGGGCAGTGTCGCAAACAGACTGTTGTACATCACTCCTCACCTCAGCCCACTCGTCTATTCTATGTCGCGTTTCCAATCCTTTCCCCCACATCTCCAGTTCGCCCCCGTGTCGACTCAGCAAGGAGATACGCAGGATCCTTGCAGGTCCTGGCACATGCACGACCCATGGACCAGGCACCGTCCATTTCTTTTGCATCACCAAAAGCCGAGACACCGCGATTTTGTTCGTCATCGGCACTGCGCACACGTTCTCGTAGGCGCTTTCCTGTCACGTTTTGCTCTATTGCGCGCGCTTGGTATTCGAAACTCGTTCTCGTCCTGTCAACAACGGCCGCGGTGTTCACTTCAATAATTACTCGAGGCCGAGTCGCTCAAGGGCCATAATTAGCTTTCCTTCGCTTGGGCCTCCCCGCAAAGGACCTACTTTGTGTCGCCCGAGCTCGGACTCATGGATGTCTGGCGCGCCACACGCTCATTCTCGCGCTTCCTACGTCTCCGGTCTGATAACTCTTCTCAAAGAGACAGATGGACCACATGTGTACATTAGCTCGTTCGACACCTTTTTGCATTCGAGTCTCCTTTACTATCATGTCGTGCGTAACACTTGAAGCGAGGCAGTGCCGGTGTAACATTTTGCACACCCATTAGCATTGAGCGCAGCAGCAAAATAAATTGAAACGCTTGCCTATGCCATTTGCATAGTGTGACTATGGACTGCGTTGCAAGGTGTTGGACACAATTGTGGCCAAGGTCCTGAAGAGCCACCTGATAATCACACCTTTGCAAGAGTCTTCAGATGCCTCAAGCCAAAGTTGGTCTGAGTGCGTGGTGAAGAGTGAGAGCTAGTGTCACGCCATCTAGTGCTATGGGGCCGCAGCATATTCAGCCCTCCAAGCGCGCGCAACACTTCACCGCCACCACGCGCAGTTGCGTTCCGCTCCTGACCACCGCCAGATCAAGGACAAGGCTAGTGCGAGGCTACGCAGGAAACAGCTGTCAGCAGGCGCTTGCAGCCTCTGTGCTTCTTTGACTTCTGGCTTACCTTGATCCATTAGAGAAGCTGTTTTTGAAGTCTCACCAGACTCTTTCTCGTCAAGACTCCAACGACATCGGCAGTTTCGACAGCAAGGCAAGATGAAGGTACGCAGTACTGTCCAATCCGGCTCTTGGGACAGAGCTCTCTGCTGCTTGGCTGAGGGTAGACGATGACGATGACTTTTGCATGGCTCGGATGGAGCTTCGCAGTCCTGACACGGAGCGCGGTCAGGGAGAGGAGGGCCAGGGAAGGGTTGCACCCGCGTCATGTGCAGCGGCAGCAGTTGTTTAACAACGTTGCACAAAGTGCTGGTTCAGATGCTCAGATTAGAGACGAGCATGGGTCACAGAGCTCGCAACGAGCGACGATCCAACGATGGCCTTGGCACAGGCTCGTAGACGACAGCGGGCCACACATGACAAAGCCTCCGGCGTGAAGCCTCAAAGGGGCTGTCGTATAGATGAGGCAATCTGTCGGCGTTCACAAGTGCTTGACTGTGGTGGTAGCACATCAGGTGCCACGCATTATGCGGGTCAAGAGGGGAAAAGGGGTTACTGGGAAGGTTGAAAGGTACAAGTCATCAGTCTATTCCTCCAACATAGTCCAGCTTCAAAGAGCTTTTGTCCAATCTTCCATCAGCAATGCACACTTGTGTCGGAGCCTGCAACAACTGACATTCGATCTCATTCCCTTTTGCAATTTAGGTCGAAACTGATACATGGTCGCTCCGCAAGATTTACCCGTGAGTACTTGACCCTGAAGATTTCTACTGAGATGGAGGGGAGCTGGAAAAGGAAGGATGTGGAAAAGCATTTCTGCTGGACATGCATTGCTACTGCGATGTGTGGTAATGCCAGCCTGGGAGTAGCTATGGGAAGAACTAGCTAGCAACACATGTCGTCCGCAAACTATTGCCAAGCCTGCCTATTGACCACATCGCTTTTTGCATTAACTTTGTACAGTGGCAAGGGTAAGCTGTACGTCCGTGGCGACAGCAAGACCTTCCGCTTCGTCGGCTCCAAGTCGGAGTCGCTTTTCCACCAGCGCAAGAACCCGCGCAAGATCGCGTGGACCGTCTTCTTCCGTCGCATGCACAAGAAGGGTATCACCGAGGAGGTTGCCAAGAAGCGGTCGAGGAAGACTGTCAAGCACCAGCGTGGTATCGTCGGTGCTAGCTTGGACCAGATTCAGGCCAGGAGGAACCAGAAGCCCGAGGTTAGGGCTGCCGCTAGGAACCAGGCTCTTGCCAAGAGCAAGGAGGAGAAGAAGGCACGGGCAGAGACTAGGAAGACTGAGAAGGCCAAGGTGAGGCAGACTACTCGAGCTTGTCTTTGCTTTCTTGCAAGTGTCATCGCTGACAATTGCTTATAAATGATACCTTTTGTACAGTCCGCCACCGCTCCTGGCCGTGCCAACCTCCCGAAGGTCAGCAAGGCATCGATGCGCGGTGCTGCCAAGGCACCCAGGGTGTAATTTCGCAACCATCAGCCGCTTCCCGCGTACGATGACTGCTTTGTACTCTATGCCGTGACCCATGCCTCTGTACGCCACGCAAGATGATACAGGATCTGTCCCCAGACACGGACACAGTCGACTGCTATCACGCTTAATTGAGACCGTGGAAGGACGGTGAGCGCGGTAACCGGCATAACCCTCATTAATTCGTGAATCCGAGCCTCTTCCTTACATGCAATCCAGTGTAAGTGGTCTCGAGACGACGAGAACGGTCCAAGTGCTGCTGTGAGTTACGGCCAGCGCTACGTTGTGTGATGGCTTGATTTTGCGCGCTCTGCCAGAATGGTCTGAACAACAGTTCTAAAAGCTTGGCGCGCCAGCCAGCATGCAAGCAGGCGAGCAGCACGACAATCACTAGCATGCGCTTGCGCAACAGCATGGGGCGAGGTGGTCGCCGCTGCTGGCGGTGCAGCTGGTGCTGCTGAGCAACTGCGCTCCTGCGCCGCGCGTCCGCACTCCACAGCACGTCACACTCGTACTCATACTGACCAGCATGCCGGGAGTGGCCGCCGTACAAGAGCAAGTCAATCTGGCGCCACAGAAGCTTGAAGCGCCATCGGACGCTGCGGTGCGCGGCGAGGATGCGTAGGAAGAAAAGGTAGCTGAGCGTACGGACGAGATCGCGCTTGCGGCGCCGCGCGTGCATGTGACGTGGTGTCTGCGAACTGAGGCTGAATCGATTGCCAAGGTCCGACTGAAGGGCTGGCCTGCCGTCCGGCACGAGCGGGGCAATATACGCTGGGTAGCCAAAGAAAGGGTTCTCCGCGTTGTACGGTGACACTTGCCCTGGCTTGTTATACTTGCGAGATCGGTTCACCGAAACGAAACGTGGCGGATGATAAGGTCTCTCCCCGGCAAGCGGAGGCTCATCGATATCTCGAGTCTGCCGCTGGGGCGAACCAGCGTCGGGGTCATCGGCGTCGACACTGATGTCCATTGACATGCCCAGAGCGCCTGAAAATTGCCCGCGCTCATCCGGCTGCTGTGTTGCGCTGGAACTGATCAAGTGCTGTGACTGATGTTGCTGCTGCTGCGCTAGCTGCAGATTCCGTCTGTATCGCTCGAGCTCTCGGCGCTCCTTCTCCTGCTGGCCTGTCCATTTGATTGCATCCGCACCGTCCTGCGCTGAAGCGTTGGAGGCTCGCTGAGCAACCAGCAGCAGTGATGAGCGTCGCTGCCATCGGGCAAAGAAGCCTTCATCGCCGGTGATGGTGGCGTCGCTGCCACATCCCTCGCCAGCCTGGCTTTCCGTCACGCTAGCGGCTTCGTCGTCGCTGTTCGCGTTGCTCAGCAGCCGATCGCGCTGCGCCGCATCTTCCTCTTTTGTAGGTACGCGCAATTGAAAATCACGCCTGAGACCACCTATCCGCCTGCGCTGAGGCGACAGAGCGCGGTTCCTGCCTGCCTTGTGAGCAGCGATGCCTTCGTCTGGCAGGCTGTCAAGTGAGTCCGCCCGTGAGCGGCCTCTGGATGATGGCTGCATGTAGGCGTCATCACCAAAGTAGCCGGCCGGACCCGCCTGAGGTTGTAACTGAGTGAGGGATCCTTGGGGCGACATGCTAGTTGAATTATCGCCGAGCCTCGCATTGAATGCAGCTGGCGGCTTTTGCAGCCTCTCCCTCTCTTGAGCGCGTGGGTCAGACGTTGCTCTCTGGCGCCCTCCAGCGAATTCAGCCGAAACATGCCCGCCGCGCCTGGTATTTGAAACACTGCCGCTGTCACCACGTGACATTTGCAGTGATCTTAGCTTGCGCGCCGCACTAGGCGTCATGCGCCAGCCGGCACTCCCAAGACCGAGGGAATACGGCCCATTCTCCAAGCCGGGAGTCGAAGGCTGGCTATGACGTGGTGTGCCATAACGGCTTGCCCATGGCTATTCGTGACCGAATGTGTCAGTGGCGTAAGTGCGAAACACACGCCGCGGAACCAACTCACCGTAATGTCGGCGCTGTAGAAGACATCGTATATGCTCTCGAATGAAGAATTTCTGCTCAGAGTGGGCTTTGCATGCTCTCCCGCGCCCGCATCATTGACGTTGATACTGGGTAGCGGCAGGCGTCCACCCACAGCAGGGCTTTCAGCGGGGGTCGTTGCGGCACTTTGGGTCCTGCTCCTGGTACGCGAGGTGAATGCTCTCCGCTTGCCGAAGCGTCGCATCGTCTCGTTGTTTTTGCTATCAATCTTCACCTGCCACTGCCCACCCAGCGATAGCGGAAGAGAGGAAGGTTCAAAATGATCCTCGCACAACTCCTTGTCGTTTGGGAAGAAGATCCTGGCGAGCGCTTGTTGTGGCAAGATGCGCTTGGCGACGGCCCACATACCGCTGTGCAGCCAGGAGAAATGAAGGACGTAGACCACACCAACCATACCTGGGAAGTGATTCTTGAGGATATCGAGCAAGAAGGGGAGGAGCTCGAGTTCAAGGTTGGCCATGCCGGACGAAGCGAGATCGAAGGCGATAGTCATTTGCAAAGGCGGACAGTGCGACAGCGCTTCTTCCAACTGCTCGTCTTCGCCCAAGTCCCCCGTTGGGGATAGGCTCGTAGGTATTGAAGCGAGAAGAGCGTCGATGCCTCCGTGTTCCTTAATGCGTCGACTATAGGCGTCACCAAGGTACTTGCGAGTAATTTCCATGCAAGCGACGATGTATTCTTTCACTTCATTTAGGCCGCCTGTCCTCTTGCCAGCTTTCGCGTTGCCTTCGCCGCCTCCTTCGCTGTTCTGCTGTTTACTATCGCCATCTCCATGGTCGGGATATAAGTCCTCTCCCGGAGAGACGCGTTCAAGCGAGCGCAGCGAGATGACCCCGCATGGCCGCCCGAAGCGGTCAACAAGGCGATCGCTCAACCAGAAGAGGGGCGTCCCTTCACTTGAACCCGCCTCTCCCTCTTTCCTGTCTTCTATATTTGCAGCACCGCTTGTCCCCATTCCTTCGCGCCCGTGGACGTAGAGAGGATGTAAGGTGCTGAGACTCATGAGGTCTAGCTCGGTGGACAAGCGCCATGTCAGCGTCGCATGTAGTAGCTCCAGCGCGCTGTCGATGTTATAGCGAGCTCGACGGTAGAAGCGAAAAAGAGTCGCGCGGTCTTCGAGAAATCGCTCCGCCCGAGCGATACCTTCCTCATTAAGCGATAAGCTGGATGCAAGGGAGGGGAGCAGCGTGGACATGCAGACTGCGTGCAACTTTTCGATTTGCGAGAGCGGCGTCCCCGTGGCTGACTGTGTCGATGAGGGCGGGCGAACACCTCTTGATGGGTCCGTAGGAGACCTTGCAATAGTGTGTTTAGATGAGCCCACCTCCTTTCCCTCGGCTTCAGCTGTGAAATCCTTCGTGAGGCGCTCGAGAACATCGTGCCCGTCGGTCGGGAGTTCGGCTTGTCCATCGACATCCGCAATCGTACCTGCACCATTCACCGGTGGGCGCTCGGATGGGATGTTGCAGGCGTCTAATGATCCATCCGAGTTGGCAGCAGGTGTTATAGCCTGCTTCCATTTCTTGTAGAGATCGAGATGCTTGAGTGCGACGGCGCGAGCGGTCTTGCTCAGCGGGGCCGGCATTTTTGTAGCCAGGGCCGGAGTTTGAGTAAGTTACTTGTCACGGATCAAATTTCTGGATGTCTCAGCGATCGAGTCAAGGTTACCGAGACGCTGAGGAAGGACGATCAGATACCATCCCGCAAAGTGCAGCGAGCATCGAGAAATGGGCTCGTTGGCTTATTGCCCCTCGGCGGGGTGTGAGGTCGTCCTGATCCCAGTTGATTGCCGCTCCTTATCGTACTTGCTCGGTAGTCAGTAGCTACCTTTGATGCCTTGCAAAGCCTATTTTCTGACAGCTCTTTCTTTCGCTGAGACTGTTTGGATGTGTGTGGTCATCATTATGCAAGAAGAGATGTAACAGGTGTGCATGGGATGCAGAGTCGCGTCGAGCATTAGTTGTTGCTGTTATTGCCGAGCGGATATGAGTTCATCCGTCCGCGGAGCCGAGGTGACTCAAAAAAAGTGATCGATCATGTATGTCGTCAGCCGTGACCCTATAGACTTGACGCATCATACATAGAACCTGCTCCCCTTTTTAGCAAACTAGACAAATTCTGTATTCAACACATTACACATCTTCGCATTCGCCCCGAAGAAGAGCGTTTCTGTCACATACACATGCCCTTTGACCTAGGACTTGAAGTTAAAAGTGTGACCGAAAAAGCGCGATCCGGCTGCCCACACGTAACTGCGGAGCCAGCGAAGCCAAGGTCCCGGGTCAAGTGCCAAGCGCTCGCTGCCCCGACTGAGTTGTCCTAGTGCATGGTTCGACACTGAAGGCTGAAGAGTAATGGGCCAGGATCACAAACAGAATGAGTTACCATCAACAACACGCCAGTGCAGGCTCCAGCACCAATGAGAGGGGAGGTACCAGCCCGACGTCCAATGACCACGCTTCCCATGAGTTCAGCAATGACAATGCCAATGGACAAAGTCCAATCAGAAAACCGACTGAAACCACGACGATTTCACCAAACTCTTCGGGAAGCACATCGAAGAACAAGCGATCGAATGATCACAAGAAAGCAAATGGAGCCGGCACAGGCAATGAAATGTCGAACGGTGAAAGGCTAGCCGCCAAACACCTTTCTATGGATGAACTCCAACTTGGCTTCACTGGCCTAGCTGTCGCAGGGAATTCAGATACACAAAGCGCTTATCACGCGGCCTTACAGCGAGAGCACGAAAGGTTGCAATGGCAGCGCCAGTGGGCTGCAGAGGTGCAAGCAGCAGCGATCTCAGCAGAAGTAGCCCAATGGCGAGAGCTCAGAATGAAGGAGGAGTCTATCTTTGCAGGTATCATCAGCTCTGCTCTACGGCTCAGCGCGACAAAGGCACAAAGGAGCTACTTGACGAACAAATATGGAGGAATGCCTGGGAAAAGCACATCACTTGGCCTTATTGGATCGGATGAACTCCGTGATCCCGACTCCCCCAACACGAGCATCGGCCTTTCACCCGTCCAGCTGTTTAGCAAGCCTTTGGAAAAGATTCAGGCAATGGAGGATCTCGCACTTGGAATGCAGGCCTTGCATTTGTTCGAAGTGGGTAGATATTCATAAGTGCAAAGCAACAGTGCTTCTCTGACTCCTTGCTTGCACCTATGTCTTGCTTACTATTCTATTCTGTGCACAGTCTGAACGACCATCGGCTGGAAACAGGCAGATGCGGCTAGAAATTGCTCAGCGTGTAGAAGAAGTACTGCTTCGCAAGTGGCCAAGAGCAAGGATCAATGTGGAAGTCTTTGGAAGTGCTATCACTGGTGAGCGATGCGTAAAGATCGCAAGACACTTGGTGTTTCTAATCGCCTTATCTCATCCATCCTGTGCGATGCTCTGCTCCTTAGAAATTAACAGCACGGAATCGGACGTGGACCTGGTACTGATCGACCACACGCGCCCGTACGGTGCGGGAACGCCGCTTGATTTTGTTCAAATCGACCCATATGACGACTACGGCCTGCCGATTCTCGACAAGCAAAATTTCCAACGCCACGAAGAATACCCAGAGTATTATGACGTGCGCAAGGTGGCAGGTGCATTGCGAGCATCAGGTTCTTTTTTACAAGTGCACCATGTCTTCGCGGCAGTGTCTATAGGTGAGAACTGTGTGGGGGCGGAGGGTGGCTTTGATTCATTCACTGACCTCCTTTTGATATCTGCGCAATGCAATAGTCAAGTTCACCGACAAGGAGACAGGTATTGAAGTAGATATCAACATAAATGAGCGCTTCGGCCTGATCAACTCCCAAATGATCAAGGCCTACGCCGATTTACGACCCGCATTGGTCCGCCCCATGATCTACTTCGTGAAAAAGTGGGCAAGTCGACGACAGCTAAACGATCCCGCTGGCAAGAATGGTCCGAACAGCTTCAGTAGTTACACCATTGCGCTCATGGTGATCAGCCATTTGCAGCATCTCGGGTTGCTACCCAATTTGCAGGACCCTGACATCATCGATGCGATCAAGCTGCCACACCTCTTCCATTGGCGCGCCAAGAACAAGCTGCGTTACAACCGTAGCGGCAAGCTGAAGCTAAATGATCAGCAACGCGCGTACGATGCGACATGGTACGACCCGTTCAAGGAGCGAGCGAATCTAAAGCGTGTCTTCAATGAGATCAGCGCCTTCGCTCACAGAGCGACCGAGATGGAGAAAAATGTTGGCGTGCCCAGCGTGGATCCGTCCACACGCTGCCAACAGTCGATTGATCTGGGTAGCTGCATCCGTTCGTTCTTTAGTCGCATGGAGAAATGGTCAGAGGTACAGGGAATGAGCATCGCCAGGCCAAAGGGTTTGTTGCCCCTGGTTCCACGACCACTTGACCCGGAACATCCTATCAGCCGGCCGTTCGGCTTGGGCAAGATCATGAACGAGGCAAAGAGAGAAATCGCGCCCATTCCCCACCAAATGCGCTACCACGGAGCTGGCTCCTATGTAGGGGCGGAGGAAGGGCGGATCAAGGCCGCCACGCATCACGATCGACTTTCGAACGATATGATCCTGGCCGATTTGTATGCCGGAGGTTGCAATCCTGGCGACCTCAGAGTGGGAGATGTTCTAACACTCAACAACTTCCACCTGCCTGACAAGTGGGCCAAATCCGATGTTTTCGTCGTCCAGGACCCCTTCATCATCGATCGCAACACTTCGCAGAACATCGGCAAGGACGTCCTCGAGCGCTGGAAGAAGGAACTGGTCCGTGCGAATGCATGCCTCAAGGCTGGAGAGTTGAATTGCACCATCCCCAACATTGCACTTCTGCTCAGCTCCTCTAGGGTGGAAGAGCTCAGGCCCGACGAAGAAGAGGCTCAGGGCAAGGCAAGGCTTCTCGCTGATTGGAAGAAACTTCAGGAGCGCGACAATTCGATAATCATGCATGGAGGAGTCAATCTTGAGCGCGATTGAATTCCTGAAACGTCTTGTAGGACTCACACCTCTCGTTCATTCTCTTGTACGCAGTTACCATTGCATTCCAAGTTTACCCTGCAGAGCCTCGAGCGCCGCTTCTGCGTGTATGATTGGTTCTTAATGTCGTTATCTATAGTACAACCCTCGCTATTGATACAGCTTGTGAAAAAAAAAACGGTGATATGCCTGGGGTTGGAAGAGCGCTCGCGGCTGTGGCGGCAAAAGTGGCACGAGCACCTGTACACGACTTGAGAGACCAACCGACGAATCATTTTCCAGTGCTCTCAGGCACTTTGCAAGCGACAATCTTGACATTGTCGATGGGAATGATCTCGTTGTTGTCCATTTTGAGGTGGCCTTTGGTCACTTTGAGGGTCCAAACTTCGTAGCAATGATTGTACGATTGGAGGTGGCCCTGCGAGACGGACGAGCAAGTCATGGAGCCAGAGAGAATAGAAAGATGGTATAGGAAGCAAAAAGGTCAGAACTCGGCAAGGATTTCGATACAAGCTGAGAGGGTCATTTAGGCACCTTGATTGTGCACTTTGCCTTTACGTTCTTGTTGAGAGTCTCGGCGATCGACTTGTCAAACTGTGTCAGCACCTTCATAGCCAGGACGGGGTTGATGTGGCCTGACTGAATGAGTTCATCGAGCGCATCAGTAAGGTGGACACCAATGCTGTCGTCGAGTGGATGGATATACAATAGCACAGGGGATTGTCAGAAGAGGTAGATCAAATGCCGGTCAGTAACGGCGCCGCACATAGCCGCTCTGTGTCAGCCGGTGATGCCCACCTGCTGCGTCGATACAGCTCATAGAAGCCGCCTGATTGCCCTGCGGCCGCCATCCTGCTCGCTGACTTCCACCCGTTCCCCAGAATTGAAGGCTAGGAAGTTGAGCGAGCCGACTGCGCGACTCTGAACCTCCGGTTCGACTGCGCCTTCTTCGAGCAACCGCTCACGCGTGGCGACGAAGTTCCAGGCCGTGAATGAGACTTCAAAGCCGCTGTCTGGTCGCTCGTTCTTCGCCAGCTTCTGAAGGCAAGGTACTTTGCACAATGGACCTCGTTCCAGTATATCCGGCGTGCTGGGACTTGATTTCAGATTGTGGTTGATAGGAAAGAAAGGTGTCGACGTAAGTCGATCACGCGAAGGGATCGCTTGCGGTCGGCGAGAGTGTGAGACGGCGCTAGTGCACACGAACTCCCGCGCCTGCCAGATGACGCTACAACTCGTAACCTCTTGAGTTTGTTACAAGGGCATTCTCTAAGGCGGAGTCCACAGTTTACGCCCTTCGATGCTTGTTGAAGGAAATGGTTTGCAGGAGGCAGGGCAGGTGCACCTCTGTGGACTCATACGACGCTGCAAGTCCCATCACAAGCCAGGTCCAGCACCCACGGAATGTCTTTGCAGGAAGGACGTCCTTCGGCGGACGAGTACGCCGAAGCCGGCGAGACCTCGCCCTTTCTGCACGCGTCCACCTCTGCCAGCGGCACCATCCGCGGGCCTTCGCCGGCGCTGATTTCAGCACTGATCCGAAGATGCCGAGCTCTCATAGTACGGCTGCTCCCTGTTGAGATTCAAGAGAAGAGCATCACGAGTCGCGAAGGTATCGTTACTCGTAAAGTGCTCGAAGCCTTCACCCTCGTTGCTGGGGACTATTCCGAGGCGGCGCCGTACGCCCTGCTCGAAGCCTCGCGGATGTTCAGCAAGGATTCAGAGAAGGATGACAAGAGCTTGAATGAACAGCGAGCGCTACTGTGCGAGGTTCTCGCAAGGAGGCTTGTCGCAAGGACAGAAGCAGCGTGGGTAGCTCGCGCGGCTTCCAGCTTCCGCGATGAGCAAGTAGCTCACGGACCGTGGGCGATGGACGCATCCCATCTCGGTCTCACAAAGAAGTACAGCCGACTGAGCTCAAAGAACGAATCGAGTCTCCCACGCTCCACGCTCGAGCTTGCAGTTGATCGAGGCAGCATCATCTTTCTTTCCTCTCCCGAAGTGCAGCGCTGTGTCAAGTCTCTTTGGGCCGGTCACCTCATCAAGAACTATCGTGCAGACGGCATCATCACTTTCGAACCTTACCATGAGGTCGAGAAGCCAGGATTCTGGACCCACTTTGATCCTTCGCGACTGGCGGTGCCGCGGTACAGCTACTATCTCAGCATATGTCTCTGGATCGTTTTTCTCGTATTGTACACCATTTCGACCCGCACCGTCAAGACACTGGACGTCTGGGAGATCCTGCTTTGGATTTTCGCGGCAGGATACCTTGTAGATGACCTTACAAGATGGGTCAAGATTCGCGGGTTGGACAACCTCGATTTTTGGCTTATCGTCGATGTCGCAACGGATACTCTCTTCATCGCGTCCTTTGTGACACGCATGGTCGGCTTCACTCACCCGCCTGAGAGTCAGTCTAGGGATCACTGGCAGCTGCACGCTTTCCAGCTTCTCGCATGCCTGGCCCCACTCGTTTGGCTACAAGTAATGAAGCTTCTTGATCCCTTGCAGTACTTTGGAGTCATACAGTGAGTTGAAGGGCTTTCGGGCTCTTTGTGCCGATGTCCTGACTTTGTCCTCTGCGTGCGATGTAGGGTTGTGATCCTTGCCATGCTCAAGCAGACCGCGACTTTCTTCATTCTCTTGCTACTGGTCTGCGTCGGCTTTGGGCAGGCACTCTGGGCTCTGGACACGGCTGACGGTCGACAAGTGGACAATGTCCTTGCCAAACTGGCTGACAGCTTGACTCAGTCAATCCTGGGTGATCCAGATTACGATTTGGTCTCAGAGGTGAGTCTTTATTATTCCCGCTAAATCTACACTGCGCTTACATGATATGACTCCCGTTGCCTTGACAGAACTTTGGCTACCCGGTTGGCAGGATCCTCTACTATCTCTTGACCTTCCTGACTAGCCTGATTCTCAGCAACATTCTCATTGCATTTTTTGGCGATGCATATTCACGGATCGTCGGTGAAGCGGACAATTACTATGAGGCGTACTTTGCGCAGAAAGTAGTGACGCTGACGCGTGCGCCGGATCAATTCGTCTATGCCGCGCCTTTCAACCTGATCGAGGCGCTTATTATCGTTCCTCTCGAGCCATTCGTCTCGCGCAAGACGTACGCGCTCATCAACCACAGGCTTCAGAGCTGGATGTTCTTCCTGCCTCTGGCGGCGATCGCGCTGTACGAGAGCCGCTTCGACGCGCAGGAGGCGAAAAAGCGCAGGCAACGCAGCATCAATGGGTTCAGCGACGACCACGACCAAGCTGCTGAGGAAGGGCAGCAGGGCACGCTGGAGGACCCGATCCTGGAGGAAGAGGAACGAGAATCGCAGCTCAAGCTGAGCAAAGTGCCTTTCCGCGAGCTTATCGCCAAGCTGCCGAGCTCCCACGATTACATAGAGGGAAAGAAACAGGAGGAGTGGCTGCAGACGGACCATAATGTGCACAAGCTGCTGAATGAGATCAAGGCGCTGCGGCAGCAACTTGCAGACGCACTGAAAGCGGGACAAACGGCACTGTGATTTGGCGTAGACGCCGCAGTGCCGGAATTTCACTTCCCAATCTCCATTGAACAAGTTCCTGTTGTATTATCAGAATCAAAAGCAATCCCACTCTGCGCAAACTTGACTGGATACCGAATAGCGCCATTGAGCAGTAACTATGAGAGGGGGCGCCTGGCCGAGAAACGGATCGGTTCCATCTCGCCGGTATGGTCCATGAACTGGTGTGGACGGAGGACACCACGATGCTGGGCACACCACATTGCGCATCAAGGATGCGAACGATGAGGCGCATAACCCTAAGGGTGGGAGCTCGATGAAAGTAGCCAGAAGCCCATGCTGTTGCGTCGCTGCTCAATGCCACCGACGGAAGATTGTGTGTGCTGACTTGGTGATCAGTAATTGCCTGTCAAGGAAGGGAAGAGAGCGACGCGCACCTCGCCTCGACGCATCTGCGCGCACCACGCCCAAAAAGTGACAGTAACTTCTCTAGTGGTCAATCGCCATTCATCCATACTTCGTCGGGTCACTCTACAGCTTGGGTCGTCTAGCATGCTCACAAGCTCCGGAAACCAGGCGACGGAAAACGCTGCAAATGCGAGTCGGTTGGGCTGAGGGCTTCCTGTCGCCTCTTTCCTGGCTACTCGCGCCAGACCTTGATGCACGCGTTAATGGGCGGTGCATTATAACTTCAACGCACGTAACGGCTCTCGTGGGGACAAGCTCGCTCCTCTACCTCGACGGTTTCTATCGGCAACATGGCTCGCTCAGCTTTGTCAGCGCCCGTGTCGCGCAGCAGAACACCGGCGCAGAACAACTTATCCAGGACATTGCAGGCGAGGGGAAAGGCAATACTTTCCGCAGCTGAGGACGATGTCGAAGACGAGCCAGAAGCCTCAATATCACGTGCATCGACGCCTCGCGCTTCATTAAGACGTGCCACCGCTGCCTCGCTAACAGCGGTTGCGCGCACCTCTTCAGTAAGATCGTCAGCTTCGCGTGGCCGGCGCAGTCAGTGCGGTGCCGTTGATACTGACGGGGAGGCCGATGCGTCTGGCTCGGACTATCTGCCAACTGAGGCGCAGGACGCGCCACGAAGATCATTCCGCGGCTCCCCGCTCTTATTTGCAGCATCAGCAACACCAAGCGCTGCGGCGGCTTGGCAGCAGAGAAAAGGCGCGAGGAAAGGCGAATGCGATGAGATCGAGGAGTACGAGAGTGCGCTACCTTCAAATGCCCAGCTACAGTCGCAAATGGAAGCACCTAGAAAGCGCATGCGAATCACAATCGGCTCGGACGCTGCTCACGGCTCATCGAGAAATTCCGCTCCGGTAACCAAGCCCACCTCGCGTCGAGCCAGCGGACGAGCTTTTCGCATCGAGAGCTCAGATGAGGATACCGAAAGAAGGGGGTTTGCAAGCGATTCGGCGGTGAGCGCGAGGAACCAAGGCAGACGAACGACAGATAGACCACAGCCGCGTCGGTCAGCTGCAGAGGCCAGCCTGGCCGCTACGAAGAATGCGTACAAGGATCCCTTTCCCAACGCTCGCAAGGACAAAGGAAAGAGCAAGGCGCGTGACCAAGCCTCATCGTCTTGGGCCGCAGAGAAAACCAGGCGGAAGCGCAGGCATGTCCATACTGCCGCAGTTGTAGATGAAGACGCAGAGGTGGAGAAGGAAAAGGGACGCCGGCGGAAGAAAGGAGATGCTGAAGATCAGCTTCCCGCGGATACCGCTGCCGCAGTCAAGGAGGAGGAGGCGGGTAGCGAGGCGGAGAGGCAAATAGAAGCAGAAGAGGAGCTGTTTGCGCAGTGGGCGCAGGAATACTATGAAGGTGAGCTCTCAAGGCAGGCTCCAACCTGTGGCCAACATGGAGCTGACTCATGCGTAACTTTTCTTCTCCGGCTCGAAAGTGATTGAGCAGCTTCCCTTGGAGCTGTCACGCTCGTTTGCACTGATGCGCGAGTTGGAGGACGAGTCGATGGCGCAGCAAGGTCTACTTGCGCGGCAAATTCTCGCGTATCGAGATGAAAGAAACAAGCTTAGGACTTGGCTCAGGCAGCAATTTGGCCTTCTCGAGCAGGGTGCAGGCACAATAGGCGACTTGACACCGAAAGCATTGAACGGAGTACCACAACAGGGGCAAGGAGACGCTCATGATGGTCTTGGTCTCAAGACGGTAGAAGAAGGCGTTCAACCCTCTGCACAGTCAGATCAAGTGGCGGCAACGAGCAAGGCATTGGAATCGACGGAACCGGTCGACAAGCTGCTTCTAAACGTAACAACCGAAACTGCCGCTGTGCAAAGCAGTTCTCACGCGCGAGACAAGTCCATTGACAACGTGGCAGCCGCTGGGCTAGTAGCATCAGCATCGTTGTCGGCTTCAACTGCGTTGGTGGGAACAAAAAATGCAGGCTATGCGGGACAGGGGGCCAATCGCGCAGGTGACCAAGTGGCTGCCGCAGGTGCCAATCGCGATGACAACGCTGACCTCAACGCCGATGCGGATGGCGAGGCTGATGCTGAAGGCGAAGAGGGCCTCACCTCTACGATTGACATGGCGGGTGAAGCTTCGGCATCGCACGGGAAATCTGAGCAGTCTCCCAATCTTCACGACGCGGGCAAGGACAACGATCGCTCAAAAGATTCATTCCAGGTGGTCGACGTTAGCATGTGCGGCGGCGAGGATGGCTCACAAGCAGGGCTACGCCCGCAGCAACCCTCTCCACCTAGACTCGATCCAGCGACAAATGATAAAGCCGTAGCCGCAGCGGCAGCGGCAGCACCAGCTGCAGCTCCCTCCATGATCGCAAACCGATCGAGTGCATTCACGCCAGAAGTATCGAAACGTCGTCGACAGAAGCAGCTTGCCTCCATCCTCTCTCTCTCCTCTGCGATGATCTCTGCAGCTGAGGAGAAATGCGGACTCGCGACGACGATGTACGACTGGATTGACAGGCACGTCCAGACACTCGACTTGGAGCTGCAGAAGAGTGAGAGCGAGCTGGGGGGGATTAGCGTGCGTCGGGGGACGAGCTGGAGTGGTGCGCTGCGTGAGGCTCAAGGTCTAGATGCTGGCAAGGGCGGCGCAGGCGGCACTGGTGGCGCCGGCCGCAAGAGAAAGGGTGCTTCGACAGGCCTCGATGGTGACGTTTCCGCCTCTGCCGGCACATCAAATGCGCCGAAGAAACTCAAGGGTACGATGGCGACGCTCTCGCGAAAGGCGAGTAGCAAGAAGAAATGGCGCGTGGCGGAGCTGATGGAGGAGGCCTCGCTTGAAGGCCCTCCACCAACACTCAACGGCCTCGGCTCGGTGGCTGCAGCGATGGCCGCTGCGCAGCGTTTGGAGGGCGAACCCACGTACTGCTATTGTGATTCCATCAGCTTTGGCGCGGTGAGTGTTCCATTTTTGATCGAGCAGACGAGAGGAAGAGTGCGAATGATCTTGGGTTGCCTTCCCCCAGATGATTCAATGCGACAACAGCGACAGTTGCCCGATCGAGTGGTTCCACTGGCCGTGCATCGGCTTGCAGACCGAGCCAAAGAGCAAGTGGTACTGCGCTTACTGCCGTCCCAAGGGATGGAAGGGCCCTGGCATGGACGTACCGCCGATGGCCCCGAAAGCGCCACCGTAGTATCAAAAAGGCTTGATTGGCGGGGCGTGGGCGTCTGGAGGTGCAGCGAATGCAGCAACCGGGAAAATGCAGTAGTAAATGATGGTCGTAGCTGCCAAAGTACTGTGCGGATTGTAGCTTGCTGCCATCAAAGCCTTCTTGGTACCGAATTTCGATTGTCTGTCCCTAGAGGCATTGATTGAGCTGCAGGTACGGAACGGAAGGGTGTCGCACGGCCCAGAATGCAAGCGGGTTTAAACCCGGTTGAATTGGCGGGGTTTATCATCTTATGGCGCGAATTAAATAAACAAGTGCAAGCGCCGCACTCCCAGCCACACATCCACATCTGTGAGCTGACCCTAGTCCTGCTGCCACTCGCATCTCGGCTGGGTGCCCACCTGCGGATCCGCCAAGAACCATATGCGGTCTCATGACCTGACAAGCCAACGCAGCCTGCATGTCACCACAGTCAGCTCCGTGCTCTGACGTGTAGCACGCTTTGAGTCTGCCTCGGTCTGAACTCTGCGAGCGCTCTACGGGGCGGCGACGGGCTGGAGAACGCTGGAGAGTGGCAGCTGTACACATCATACGTCACACGTTCACACCCCGTCCGCGCTGGAGTTTAGCCAGCTCTAAGATTGGGGGGCTTAACCCGACTCCACCCATTTATGTACTGGTGTGCCGACCGTGATCATGCGCTGGCAGAGCCTGCAAAAGCGCTTGCCGATTGGCAGAAATCCAAAAGCCGGATGCTGGGCGTATTTCATGTGTACGTATGCCATGCAAATTTATCATCGCACTTTGCCGCCAAAGCGGACTTGCGAGAGCGGCGGGGGCTTGCCGCTGGCGAGGAACCCGTTCCCCAGGCTTAAAGGCGGTGGCTTCAGAGTTCAGGCGTTCGTCAGGTTGCTCTAACAGGCCAGCGGCTGCCAATGGCACCCTCGCGTGCGTAGCTTTGCCAGCCTTTATGAAATACACGGTACCCAAGCCCGTGCTAATGTGGGATTTACATACGTGCTTGGCGGAGCCGTGGCCATGCACAAAGTGATCAGGGTCAGGCAGAAGGGTGGGGCCCCACACAAAGCATGGAAGTGGCTGAAATGGAAGCTATGCGCAAGGCCCCCATCGCATACAAAGCAGCCGCCGCGTCGGGATGGATTGTCTGATTGCAGTACAGTGCACCGTTCGCAATTCTTATTCGGAGACGGATTATTCGTCGGCCTGAGCATCTCCGCCGTGCGTTGTTCTCCCATTCGTGGATCGAACAGCTTGCTGTCTGCACCCAACAGGATCAAATACAAACCATGCAAACTTAACCTCTTTGTTCGTCGTCGCATCGCTCTTAGAAGCATCTGGAATAGCATTCGTTAGTCGAGCTCAGCATCTAACCAAATTACGAGCACACAGCAAATGGTGAGGCGCTGTTCTTTTCGGAGGCCAGTGGCTCCCATCCTCCACATCGCTGCTGTCCGTCCATCTGTTGTGCTAGTGCTTCGAACTTCCTTGCGGCTGTGACTTTCGGCAACTCGTAATGGAATCTATTTACCATCAGGAGGACAAATAAGGTCGCTCCTGTACTCCACGTTCCACCGCTACCACCGTTCAAAATCCAGGAAGAGCGTCGATCCCCCGATTCTGTTTGACTTGCCACTGACCCGAAGGTACAATCACGAATCTCGGTTCAATTCACGCCGTCCTTATCTCGGGTAGACAAACGCAGAAACCAAGAGATTTTGATTTGCATTCTTCTGGCTCCAGCCCCGTTACCGCGATCTCGGCTGTTTTCAAACTAGGCACATTCTTTCCTCGTAACCCTGGCCGCAGCACTGCCGCAGCTCGCAGTCACCCGACAGCAGCACCGTCCTTCCGACTACCAAGCGGCTGCAATACAGGAAGGGATACCCAGGCCTCCCATAAGCCTCAAAGCCGAACGTGAGTCGACGCCGGCCAGCGCCGACCAGACAAACAAGTACCTGCCATCCATCGACAGCCTCGACCGGCTCAGTCAAGACAGGTTGGTCCGCGCTATACGGAGATGCATGGTCAATAGTTTCGAATTATCTCGTCACCTCCGTACTTGACCTCCTTCTACCAATCCGCATGGTTGCGAAGATGGGAAAGCGACCGTCGTCGAGGTCGATAGCGTATTCTCTGAGCACAAGAGAGTCAAGCCAGTCAGTACAGCTGGGCTGGTCTGATGAGAGTCCTGACCATCGAGGCGACGCGGAGCACGTGCAACAAATCCAGACAACAGACATGGACCTCGATCTCACCCCAGCTGGTAACCACTGCACAAAATCGACTGCAACAAAGCTACTCGAAGCGGTTGCGGCTGTCATGGGAGGTACTGAGCGCTCGCGGCAAGAGGAGGAAGCTGCGTTCGCCGCTCCTCGCGAAGCACCTGATGGGCACGAGAAAGGCGACGGTGGCCATCTGGCAGCTGCCCATCTTCACACGAGCTACTCGGGAGGTACACATCGTTGGGCAAGGAGTCATACCACATCTGGCCTGCAGCTGTATCCGGATCCGCATCACGTTGGCGCGTCCACTGAAACGACAGGTCTAGGACTCCACCTTTGCAGCCCAGCAACCGGTCCGCCACCCACCACAGGGGAGGGAGCAGAAGGCCCGGAATGGAATAGGCGTTCCATTCCGAGACTTGGCGCAGGAAAGCGGCCGCGCTCCCCTTCAGCCCCCTGGACGGTTGCTTCCCTACCGGACGGTATCCCTGCATCCACAACCACAGTCTCTTTCGCAGCGGGGAGTTCGGCGGTGATGGCAGATGCCGGGGCCAGTCGCATTTCTTCACTCTCTGCCTCGCAAGGAGAAGGTATGCAAATGATAGTAATGGCGCAAGTGTCGCAACAGCAACAAGTACAGCAGCAGCAGCAAGGACCCTTTGCATCGGCCTGGCCGTGGTCTTGTCAGCCAGCGGAACAAATGCACCCACATTCGACTCCGTTGTCTCTACCGGCGATGCACAGCGCGCATTTCTTGCAACAAGCGATGGCGACTTCACCGGACGCGTTCCCTCAGTTCGAATCACCCAGTCTTTCTATGGCTGGGGTTCAGCATGATCTATCGAGCATTAGCATGTTTCCGCATGTTTCTGCTCCCTTCACTTTTGCCTCTATTGTGCCGACTAGCATTGCCGTGCCACAGTTTGATCTCACTCACCATTTTTCCAGCGCGGAAGCAGCTGCTCCTGCCATTCACTTCAACGGGGCACCGCCCATGAACGTCCCCGCGCTCGACGTTTTGAGCACCCCGACCGGACGCAGCAGGTGCAGCACGGTGGGTCAAAGTCTGTTGGAGGGGGCTAACAAAGCGTCGGAAATGGGAAGCCTGCAGCTGGAAGAAAAGCAGCGCCTGACATCCAAGGAGCAGCCGCGGGCCCAAGCACTACCCCGCTCGAAGGCCAATCCACCGGCAGCAGCAGCTGTGTCCCCAAGCGCAACCGATCCCTTTTCATTTGAGCTGCTTATCGGCAGAAGTCATGCCGTCCGAGCCGCAGCCAAAGGCGACGAGCACATGGCGACGGATGACGAAGGCTCGAAACCCTTTTCGTCCACCCCTGAATTTGCTGGCCTCAACTTGACTACAGCAGAGGAAACAGATGGCAGCCATGACAGCCCCTCCTCCGTCCAACAACTTTCTGGGAGACACTCTGATGAACTGGACCGAAAAGAGATGGACGGAGTCTCCTCATGTGATGATGACTGTGACGACGAAGACGAGGGTGAGGACGAAGAAGAGGCTGGTCCCGACGTGAACAACACTCTGCCCGAATGTCTCACCGTTAACATTGGCATCAACGGTTCCGGAGACGCGACAAAATTCAGCCAGTTCAGCGATGCCAAGGTGGCGGGCAGCTTGGCGAGCCTGACGAGTGAGATATCTGAAGACCCCAATGCCGTTCTGACCAGTCCTGCTGTAGCGGAGGACGACTGGGACGAGTTGCGCGAAATGGTGGAGCCTTCACACCAGGGCAGTAAGCCTGCAGTCAAGGCAAAGAGGGTATCGCGAAAGCAGCTAGACGCCATGACGCCTGAGGAGCGCGAAAAGTTCATCGCTGCCAAGAAAGAAGCCTGTCGTGAGCGCAGGAGAATGACGCACAATGTCGTAGAGCGGCGGAGGAGGGACCACATCAACGAGTGTATCTCGGAGCTTGCGACGCTGTTGCCGGAGAGCATGCTTGTGGAAGCGATCGCGTAAGTGAAGGGTCGTTTTGGAGAGCGAGTCCACCAACGCTGATGGTCTGACGTCGGCCTTTCCCATTTTTCCTGAAGCGCATCCATGCAAAGCGGCAGCGTGTCGTTCGACCAAGCGGCGGTGTTCAACAGTCTCACCAAGGGAAGAATAGCGAGGCAGAACGTGCTATTCCCCACGCAGGCGATTGAGGAGCAGGCAGTTGCACTCGCGCCAGTGCCCCCCGAAAGCGCAGCCCTTGCTGCCCTGCAAGCCAAGCCCAACAAGGGCATCATCTGTGAGTTCGTTCTCTTCAAGTCCGCTATCAAGGGCGGCACGGCGGCTGACACTCTTGCTTGCGAACGGGCACCTGTCAGTGAGCAAGACGGTCGAATACATCTCTCGATTGCAAGAGCTGTCGCGCAAGCAAATTCTGCGCAACCGAGACCTCGAGAGTGAGGTGAAACAGTTGCGCGAAAAGCACAAGCCCCTCCGACCATCCATCTCTAACACTGTGGATGCACCTGATCCGAATATGTTTGGCTACCATCTCGAAGGTGGCGTCAACTTGAGGCTTTCATAGTATTTATCTGCCTATTCATCGTTCTGTCTGACAAGCTACACGCCAGAAACACACAACGATCTCTGCTGTTTGAACTCGCTTTGTTTACTGTATTTTCTTGTTTCACACGGCATGTTAAACACAGCAAGTACCCTGCATGAACTGTATTACATTCTACAATTTCTTTGAAAGGTAAGCATGCGCACATTCGATGTTCACATTCCCCTTGGAATCACCTCGCTCTCGATATCTCCGTCGTTTGCAACTGCATCTGCGTGGGTATCCACTTGCCCAGTTGCTGCTATAGTTGAGTTAGACTGTGCATCAGGTGAGGCAGACGGTCCGCCGGTGTTCATGCTACTTGCGGCCGATGCGATTCGCGCGAGCTGCTTGGGGGGCAATACCGCCCAGTGCGGCAGCCAGCGCGGGTCGACTTGCTCCCAAACGCTGTGCTCGCGGTAGAGCTCCATGAACTCCTGGTCCATGCTCCTGCTCTTGGGGAAGCTGAAACGGCGGTACTCGTCAAAGGCGGCCGTGAGGCTCCATGTCTGCAGCTTGCGCAGACACCCGACAAGGCAGCCGGTCCGGTGTTTTCCCTTGTTGCAGTGTATCAGCATTGGGTGGTTGCGCCGGTCGAGGATGGTGCAGAGGGCGGCGGTGATCTTGTCGTGCGGAATGTGCACAAATGGCTCCTTGTTGCCCGGGATGCCGTATTGGAAAAACGTGATGCCGTTCTCGTCGAGGAACTTATTGTTCTGCTCTGGGTATTCTTCCAAGATGAGCGTGAGGATGGAGCGGAGGCCGAGGGTGCGCAGAAATGGGAAATGCTTCTTCTTCGGGAAGGATGAGCGATAGACGAACGAATTGACCATGGCAAAGTTGTCAGGCGGTATCAATGGCTCGTCGTACAGATCTGGTGGCGGCGGCGGCGCCGGTGGCGGCGGCGGAGGCCGTGGCAGCAGGGCAGACCCACTCAGCGGCGGCAACTCCACGCTGGCTTGCATGGGCGTCGCAATGCCATCTCTGCTTGCACGAGCTGATCCGGCCTTGGCCGCTGACTGTGCAGCCTCTTCTCCATCGAGGAGATCAAACAAGCGAGTCTTACCCTTTACGCCGTCTTTGCTCGCAGCGCCAGCACCCGAAGCAAGCGGACGGATGAGAGGAATGCCTGCGCTGCGCAGCTCCGGTCGGTCGACCAACGAGGAAAACCACGGTGGCTCTTTGTCCTCTGTTAAACCTTCGGTGTCCATATCTGCCCGACTTTTTCCCGAACCCACGCCGTCGTGCGATGAAAACAATGAGAAAGCCGTGCTGGATATAGAGGAGAAGGCAGAAGAAGAACTGCAGAAAGATGCTGCGCCTGTTTCGCTCGAACCGGTGCTGTGAGGCAAGAGGGGCACGGCTATCGCACCTGTTGTGAGTACATTGCCGCTGTTGCTTGTTGCACTAAGTGCCGTCGAAAAGGAGCTCCTGCTATCGAGTGTCGTACTTGGAGCATCTTGATCCATTTTTACTCCGCTGGGATTGAGGACTTCGTGCGGAGTTGCAGGACGTTTGGCTCTGTAAGGCTCGCCGGGTAGACCATTCTCCAGGCTTGCCTTCTCGAGGCTCGGTGCCACCGACGCAGCCACTGCGGCTGCTGCAGCAGACGCCTGTGCAGTAGCCTTTGCCTTGTGCTCGCGGACGATACGATGGAGGAAAGCGAGCGAGATGGGCTGGGCTGGTGCAATCTTGGTGAGTGGGCGGCGGCAGAGAAAGCTCATCTCGTGGCTGCCCTCTGCGCATTCTCCATCTGAATCATCGTCGGCGGCTTTTGCCTTGAACTTTTTTTTCTTAGCTTTCTTACTGTTATCCCGAGAGAGATGGACAGCATCCCCCTGTTGGACCGGCGCAGTTGATGTCTGGATGGTGGGCCCATCGCTGACTGCCTCGTGCGACATGGTGACCGGCGCCTGCACTCAATTCTTTCGCCGAGCAAGGGGAAGATAGTCGAGGGCGGTGAGGTAGATGCGGGACGGCTCACCGGCGCCAGGCCGCCTCGGTCGTCATAGACACTGCTGCGGCCGAGCGCACAGCTCTCTGTGCAGCGTGCTGCATCCTGATTCGCCTGCTAGGCGTCACTAAAATGCACATGTTGCATTCAAGTCTTGAGGCTGTGATCACGTCGAAGCTGGCGAAACTCCAAGTAGTTGCCGTGTGGCCAACGGTACAACTTGACTCCAAAGTAGGGTTGGCGAACTCCCCGCCAAAGCACCAACAAGCGCGCTGCGCGTCTCAGCGGAGAACAACACTAGAATCTGCAGGGCACCCTCCCCAATCACCATAGGACGACCTTACCACCTTTTGTCCTACTCTCCTTTGGCAGGAGGTGTTCTTGCGGTTGGTGATCACGCTACGAACGTCCCGGAGTTACACACACGAACAGCCTGAAAAATCCGACCTGGTATCTGCGCAAAGGCTCGAACAGAAGTGCATCGCCATGGCAACCAAGCAAGCAACCGCGGCGCCAACACGCTCGCATCTCTCCCTCAAGGGCAGCACGGCGATCGTGCACGAGTTCTTCTCTTACTCGCTGCAGTCTATCCTCTACCAGCGTGAACTGTACCCGCCGGAAGACTTCAAGGCGGTCAAGAAGTATGGCCTGCAGATCCTCGTCGCCACGGATGAGGAACTGCAGGAGTACCTCGAGAAGAGCATGGCGCAGATCAAGCAGTGGCTCGAGCAGGGCTCCATCGAGCGGCTCGTCGTCGCAATCATTGAGAAGGGGAGCGGGGAAGTACGAGAGCGGTGGCAGTTCGATGTGCAGGTGACGGCAAAGGGCACAGACGAGGCGCAGGATGGGAAAGAGAATGTCAAGTAAGTCTTGCATCGCCTCCCGTCACATTTCTGCTGGTGCCGATTCGACTGACGCCATGTATTACTCCTTTAACAGCCCTGTAGCGTCATCAGCACCAGTAACAACAAAAGGGAAAAAGGAAGGAAAGCAAAAAACAGACGCAGACGTACGCGCAGAGATCGCAGCCATTATCAAGCAAATCACAGCGAGCTGCACGTTTTTGCCGCTACTAGATGAGGAGTGTGCGTACAAATCCTCTGAGTGCAACGCCCCTCGTCTTCATTGGGGCCCAATGCGCGCCAACAACATAGTTTCAGCGACTGATTTGTTCCTTACTCTGTTTTGCTATCGCAGGCGCCTTCCAGATCCTCGCATACACAAAAAGCACAGCACCCGTCCCAGACGAGTGGGTCATCTCTTCTCCGCAGCTGATCGACGAGAAGAAGGCAGAGCAAGTACGACTCCGATCCTTTAGCACCGCCGTACACCGTGTTGAGGCAATGGTCGCATATAGACGCGATGTAGAGGATGAAGATGGGGAGTGACGACGCGCTGGCGGTCATGGACGAGCGCACTGCCGCGTCCACTTCCATCTCACAGGGCGGCACCCGAGGTGCTTCATCGTTGTACTATAGCCAGTATGTCAGGTCGAATTTTGGACTACATTATCCTTGTCCTTGCCAGCCGCGTGTGCTAATCACACGAAGGATGCGTGAAGGGGCAACAATGCCAAGTGGAATGGCGGCTGAAGCTCACGAGCTGCTGACAAAGTTCTTCGTCTTGATGGCGCTCTTGCTCGCCTTTCTGAGCGCGCGCTTCTTCTCACGCTCCAGCAATTCGCGCTCGGACATGCCGCTGACAGCAGTAGCAGCGTCGTCGCCTGTTTTCTTTGCCGCCTGTCCAGGCATGAGCCCTGCCTCGCTGGCAGCGGCGTCCGCCTCCTTCTGCGTGGCCTCTGCGTCTGCGGCGAGTGCAGCAATCCTTCTATGCTCGCCCAGCACGAGCGGCGCTCCTCCTGCGAGGCTGACGCCTGCACATGACGACTGCGCGGCGGCGGCTTTTGCAGCGGCCGCTTCGGCGGCTATCTGTGCCTTCTTCGCGGCGGCCTCTTTGGCCTTCTGCGCGGCCCGGCGCTCCTTCATGATACGCTTCTCGGCGACGCGCGCTTCACCTTTGGACATTCCAGCCGTCTCGGCTGCAATGCTTGCCTCGGATGTGTCGGTGCTGAACGAGGAAGAGGAGATGATGTCCCACAGCCAGGCGGGGTAGTGCGAATCCGGTCGCGCGACGGGCTCCGGCCGGTCCTTGTAGATTGACAGGCCGTGCAGGATCGTCCCAGCTGGCGCGGATGATGTGTCATTGGATGCATCGTAGGCTTTCAGTAGAAAGATTATGGGTAGCGACAATATGGACAAGGGGATTGTGCAGCATGAGCGTCAGGGAACGAGTAGCCCACTTGAAGATTACAGGGCGGGTAGGAGGCATCGGGTACTCACTGACGTCGCTCTGAGCAGCCGGCTTGCGCACCACTGGTGCAGCAGCCTCATCTGCACCGCTCGCAGGAGCGGCTTTCCCCTTGCCCGCTTTCCCTCCAGCAACTGCCTTGGCTGGCGTGGGCGTTGTGGTTGAAAATGGGGCAGAGATGGATGAGGAAGTTGGGCTGCAGCAGCATGTCGGCAGCGGCGCCGCTGTGGCGGGCAGTCGCAGCGACCGGCTTGTGCCGCTCCGCAGAAGGGCAAGTGTTATCCGTGAGGTGCTGGCCATATTTGCGACTGTATGTGCAAGTCTTTGCCGGGGCGTCAGGCGTACGTTGCCATGGAGACTACCTAGAGAAGAACGAAAAGTCCCCCCCTCCCCCCAGAGAGGGGGCGGAACCCACAAAGGGACGAAAAAAGAAAGGACCCGGGACACGTAGCACATGCTCACGTTGATGGAGTTCAACACCATCGTTTGGTAGTCATTGTTGGGCAGGACTCTCTCGAACGTGACTGAGGCCCGGCTACTGGCCTCACGAGAGTACTGCCGTTCAGCAAGACGGGCATGGATATCAGGGAGTGTCGTGAAATGCTCGGTGATTTACTAGCATGCTTCTGCCTGGTTTGCCAGCCGACGAGGAGCGGCCATTGCAGCTCGTCCGCGACGGGTGAGTGATCCCCGGGCTTGGCCAAATCTATTCCTCTCAAAGATCAGAATATCACACCAAGAGCGATCTGTGATCAAAGAGCGATGAAGAATCTAAAAGGAGCAGGAGCCGAAGAAACCCGTCATTCATGACAGACTGGCTCGTTTCCAGGGGCCAACCCAGGCAAGATCAGTTCCAGTGGGGAAAGGGTCGCGGACGGTGAAGGTGGCATCCATTTTCAGCGGGCAAGGCACTGAGTAGATCAAGGACGAGCTTTTGGCCGAGGAAATTGGTTGCACATGACATCTACAAGACGGTTCGGGCTACACTGAGGCCGAGCTGAGCGACTGGTCCGTCGATTCGGGCTCGAACCTGATCCCTTATGCGCTAGCTCGAACAGTGTGACGCGAACCATCGCACGGCGGGCTTGTAGGCCTAGTGTCAAACGCAGAATATTCTCCTAGCAGTAGGAGTGCTTTCCATGAAGATGGAAGTACTTCCTCGCCTCCGACCCGCCCAAATGCAAAGGGGTTGGGCTTCAGTGTACCGGCCGCGTTGGTTCCGGACACCGCCTGCCTTACCTTTGCGCACACGAGTTCAAAGGAAGCGCCAAAGGAGTTGCGAACGCTCTCACGAAGTGGAAATGCGGCGTGACCGAAATTACAGCAGAACGAGGATGGAAATACATTGTCAATTGTTGCTCGTGTAAATGGATCCACGTCCGCTCATCTCTTTCATTGTCGCGTCGAACAGTCGCTGCGAGCGATGTTTTTACGGAAGTGCAGCTCGATCGGACATGGTAGAGGCCACGCCAGCCTCCACTTGGAAAAGGCAATTCGCCCTTCGTGAAGATACTGACCAATTTTCCAAGCCTGGGGAAAATAGCTTACCAACTGTTCGAGCCGGTATCAGAGCAGATGGCGCCGTTCTCGTGCACCCGTCGCCAAATGGCGCCACAGATTGCAGAGCGACTTTGCTGAATGCTCTGGGGTCATCTTCCCTAAAAGTGCCTGCGCTCGGCGTATGCTCGCGGCGGAAGAGACGCGGCAGCCGCAAGGTCGGCCGTGTTTGCCTCCGCTGGAAGATGGTCCGCTGACTCCAGTTGCACGGCCGGTGGCGACGCTCTCATCGGGCCAGAGTGGTGTCATCAGTAGCAAGACGGTCCTTTCTGACGAGACCTAGGCAAATGAGCAAGGCAAAGGCGCGGATAGAGTCGGGCGAGAGACTGAATAACGCCAGTGTCACTCAGTCGGAAGGTTCAGCATCAGCCGCAACAGCAGAAGCTGCTACAGAGAGTAGGCGGAGCGCACGCAGGCCAATGCAAAGGACCCGTTCGGGGCACTCGGGTTCAAATGACTGAGTCGATCAAGCGGGTCGCATAATAGTTTGACGGTGGGTCGCCGGTGTAATCAATCTTGCCGCGTCTTACACCTGGTGTCACAGCGAATCTGGAGAGCAAGCGGCACTCATTGCTCCGAGTCTTCCCCAGCTGCAAACCGCCGAGCCAGAGGCTGCCGTCCAGCCGGATGCACATCTGCCGCAGGCAGACCGTGCACGAGCTGAAGATTGGGTTCCTCCTGTGATCCCCAAGGCAATGTCCAAGTTCAAGTCGCTCGCGGATGAATTTGCGCGGATCGAAGCGCGTATATCCAAGAATAGGGATCAAATTTCATCCGCTAAAAGCAATAGTTCGGCGACGCTGCAGCATTCGCCTACTCCACCCCCTTTGTTCGCCGGCATGCGTTTCGTGCTGCTAGGCAATTACAACGAGTCGATGTTCAACTGAGTCATCAAGGCTGTTCAGCACGGTGGTAGGTTATATGATTCGGTTGACTCGCTTTTTGCGCACAGTGCCACCGGGTCCTGAGGCGCAGATGGAAGTGCAGAGGCGAAAGCGCACGGGGAGGCGCAGGCGGGCAACGCCGCCAACACATCTTGTCATGTCGTCCAGCGGCATGAGGTGCTGTGACAAGTTGTGCATGAATTCGCTGCAGAGATTGTTGTCGCACATGATTGCTATCAGGTATGACTGGCTGAGCGACTGCACACAGGCGAGCGAGTTGTAGCTGAGCGTATGCCCAATGGTAGGGGTTCCGTGGTCCTGACGTTGCCCCAATTTGGCCAGGCGACGCGCATCCTCCTCGAGCCGGGCAGCCGCCTTCCAGCCCGAAAGCACCTCGTCGGTCCTGTTGGAGAAGACAATGCCGAGTAACCTTGACACGCATCACTAAGGGACGCCAGCGAATCACTTGTGCTTCGTGCTCTAGCCATATCTTACAGCGCCGAGAAATGTAAGCGAAATACAATTTGCAAATGGGTGAAGGCCGCTGGGCTTCGACTGTGCTCGACATGGAGTCACGTCTACAAGGATGACGTCAGAAAATGGAAAAGACTGTGTGTTTTGAAGGTTCGAAAGATTTCTTGATGACGGAGGATGCCGAAATGGACCAGGGAATGATGTTGAATGCTCATGTGGCAGTGCTTGTATGTGTAGGGTATACTGTTGAGAGTTGTGAGGTGCACTTATGCGCAGTGCGGGCCGAGGGATGCCGACAGCATCGCTAAACCAGGGGCAGGAGGTTCCGAGCCTATGTGGAGGTCTATCCCGCAAGCAGAGCCTGGAGGCCCTTATACCTCGACCTGGGTGAACACCATCAAGGATCAGCAAAAACAATAAGAGTGAATGAGACTACCCTTCAGCCCTCACGTAAATTAGCAGAGGCTCTCCCCCGCCCTTGATCTCTGGGATGGTGCACTTGAGATCGAAAGCTTTCGCGAGGATGATCTTGAAGATGGTCTGAATATGGATGGCATGACTGGTTGAGCTAAAGATGAGCGGAGCCGTCATGGCCCTTGCAAATCTCTTCGCTTGCCTCGCGATCTCCTCCTGCTCGTCTTTTGGCAGGGTGCAGTAGACATCATATTTGGTTCCGACAAGCAAGGGGATGGCGGTTTTGTTGAACCCGCGCGCCTGCCGGTACCACTCTTTGATGCTGTTCAGTGTCGACTTGCGGCCGAGGTCGAACATGAAGAGGATTGCAACAGCATCATTGCAGACAAGTGGTAGCATATTGACGAATTCTCGTGCGCCGCCCTATAGAGCGAGCGAGCGAGCAATCAATTGATCAAATGGAAAATGTCAGGTGTGGTCTTGAAGAACGCAGCTATGATTTGCGCCTCACCAAGTCCCACAGTGAAAAGCATACGTTGGTATTCCGAATCGAGATTGTCTTTTCCATGAAGTTGACACCTGCAGAGAAAGGAAGAGTAGTTATGTGAGTGAGCGAGGAGGTATGAAAGGTGAGCAAACAAGCAAGGGGCCGACCTCACCCAATGTCTAAAGCAGGCGGATTTCCAAGTGCCGAAGCATGCATATCCAAGCTTTCAGCGCAAGGAAACAAAGAGATCTTTGACCGGAAAGCGCAGACGCACCTGGATGTAGTCTTCGTCAAAATGGCCCTCAGTGTACCGCACCATCAGACTAGTCTTGCCGATCTGCGCGTCGCCTACGATACCGACCTTAAGGATGACACTGTGCGCAAGGGAGCACTGGCGTAAGTGATCACTGCCATACCAACTGGGGAGGCCAAGAAGAATGGGAACTCACGTGTTCTTCTCTGCGCTCTCGTTCGAGTTACTGTCCATAGACTGAGTGGATGAAGCCGACATGTTGGGCAGGCTGTCCGCGACTTCCTCCCGCGCAACTATTGGCCCTGAATGTCGAAACACTCGATCCTGCTGAAATTACAGCGAGAAAAGCAGAGGGATTCCCGTCCCGTCTACACTGGCCTCGACTGTTCGGATCTGCTACCACCTGCGCCAAAGGTGAGGCGCTGAACGGGCAGCCATGCAGAGTGTCAACGGAGAAGGAGCAGGTTGCGGATGAGGCCGGCTGCTTTAGGAGCTCGTGGGCCGAGGAGCGAGCTCTGGCTTGGCGTCGAATCGCTTAGCAGTCTTCCTACAGGATTCTTGAAGAAGAGCACGCTACACTATCATGCACTCCGCTGGCGCTGATGGCTGGCTTGTTGATGGGCCTGAGATAGGTGCAGTCTTTGTTCTCCCCGTCGAACAGGTGTCTCACATACGGAGTGCGGAGAGAAGCATCACAGACAGCGCGAGGTCAACGCGTGGCCGTAGGTGAGACCGAGGATCGGCGGAACCCTAATCACACTCTCAGAGTCAACCCTTTGGCTTCTTAATCAACCCAATGGCGCTCACGTAGAAGGACCAAAACCGTGCGGAGAAGTGAAACGAGCGGAAGACTCATCGAGGTCATTCTACCCGCGTATGAAGATGAGCGAGCAGGCTGTGCAGGGTGCGAACTTGACAGGCGACACATGGGGGGTTCTGATGTTTGTTTCCGTGGGTTTGGTTGTCGGTTTCCTTCACACTACCCCGTCAACATGGACCATGTGCCGGTTGAGGTCAACAAAGTTTTGATGTACGAAACCATCAGATTAGATGATTTGGCATTCACATACCGTCTTTAAATTTCAACATAGCCGCCTCGCAGGACGGGAAAGAATCGTTGGTGCGCAATTAGTCGCGAACCGCTCATTGGAGATGGTTTCTTAGGATTGGATTATATTCACCTCTTAAATGGCTTCGATGTATTCATGGGTCGTTAGTTTAGGGGCATAATGCCATTTTAGGGCATGTCGAGATTCGTCTTACAGCTTAGATGATGGAGGTCGTGGGTTCGAGTCCCACACGACCCCACTTTTTTGCTCTCCGTCTCTTTTCACATGGAGACGTGCTACCAATGAGACGAATTGTGGCAATCAGCCTCATTTTGTTTACATCTTTGATGAAGGCTTCGATGTCCAGGCCCGCATCCGTCACCGTACGCACTTGATATCGATCTCAACACTGCGGCTTGGGGCGTGCGTGTATAATCACCCCCTATACGTCTGTAGGCGACCACAAGGACAACCCCTCTTTGAGATTTCCGACGTTACTGTATATCATGTCTGAAGACGCTCTTTCAACAACTTCTCTGCAATCAAGGCACGTGCTTCAGGACAGCCCTGCAACGGTATCACCACATGTTGCCCCCGTCAGCTCGACGGGGCCCCGCCCAGAGACGTTGATAGCTGCGCAGGATCTGATGTTCAAACTGACGAGTCAAAGCGACCGACATGATGCTTCCTTTCTGGGGGAAAGTGACGACCACAGGCAACGCGGCGGCCGACGGCATCAAGAGCTCACGGCCACCAACCTTCAAGCGATCCCGAACGCCGACGAGCTCGCGCCGGGTATTCGACTAGGCCCTCAGGGCAACGAGGCTTTCATCCACCATCCGCACGATGCTGACCGGGGGGAGGACGATTCACGTGACCACACCCATGCTAGGACCCATAACGACCGACGTGCGCAGACGGATGGGCCTTTAAGCGAGTCTTGCATGCACTCTGAGAATGTTGATGCGGAACAAGGGGACGATATAGACGACCGCGGCCGAAGAGCCAGCATCTTGACGAGCAGCTCGGACGCCCACCTTGCCGGCGAAGGGGTGCGGAGCGGTCCGCCGAGTCAGTTGGGTAGCATCGGCCCCAGTGCGAGCCTTCGCGCTACTGGCGGCGCAGCAGGGCAGACGAGTGGCAGAAAGTACAATGTTGCTTTCAGTAACACTGTGGGGCACTTTGGAAGTCGTGGAGAGCCAGTAGGTGGGTACATGGCTCTGTTTCGTCGCTCAACCCAGCCCCACTCATGATAGCCGTCCCTACATACAGCTGGGGTGCCACCGGAGCTGGACCCTCGTGCGTCCAACTTTCGTCCTCCCTCGCCGTCTGCAGCATCCATATACTCCGTCAGCGTGCAGGCACCCGTCTCCCCGCAGGCAGTTGAACAGGAAGCCGATGACTACACCTCGCACCATCCGGGACATGGGCACGACGAGCATTCTTTGGTCAGCAGCATGGGACTCGGCGACTTTGATCACAGCGAGCTCAGTCTGTCCTCCGTCAGCTCTATGGAAATGCCAAGCGTCGACACGCTGGCGGGCGGCGATGGCGTGCCTACGCGCAGGATTACCGTGGCTAGCATCACACACAGTCCTTTCGCTACATCTTCTTACTCGATCGCCTCTGTCGCCGGCTCCTCGTACCCTCCGACACCAGGGAGCACATCCGGAGTGCCATCAGGTATCCCCAACTCAACGCTCGATCAGATCCGCGCCAACCCACGAGGGCTCGTCTTTTCCCCATCCGCCGGGGCGGTGCCTATCGGTGGAGGGCTTTTCACTGCTGCCGCCGGCGGCAGCGGTAGGACCGACATTACCTGCAGTCCTTCCGTCGCAGCGACGGCCGGCAGCGAGTATCCCGCATCGAGCTATTCGGGTTCCTTCCCTGCGTCCTCGCGGCCGCCGTCAATTCGCGACGAGACCGCCAGTCCGCCGCTGAGTGCGGGAGGCAGTCTGACTACGAACCCAGGCGAATCCCAGCGTGATGGCCTGAAAATCGCTTCCGGCAGAGCTTACCGAGTCGCATACAGCGTGAGCAACAATTCCTCATCGGCGCTGTCGGCGTCATCGGATGCCATTGACGAAGATGACGGCAGCCCGTCGGGTGGGCGTGCGACAAGCTTTGCTGGGACCAGCGTCGGTGCGGCAAGCAGCAGCTCGGCGGGGCTCGCTCGATATGGAGGTGTGGGAATGGGTGCATTTGCTGGCCTTGGACCAAGTGCATTGAGCTCGAGCAGCTTCACCATCCCATCCATCGCCCCAAGCGAAGCCGGCAGCGGAGCCGACGAGAGCGATCTGGCATTGCCTCCGCCCGGTCAAGACTCGGTGGACGGGGATGATGCTGCCGATGCATCGATGCGCACTGCACCAGAGATTCTCGAAGAGGGTGTCACTCAGGGAGGTATGCCGGGCACGAGCGTCAATGTCCAAGCCCCTTCGCATCCCTCGTTTACGGCCACTGGTCCGGCATCGAGACACCGGCAACACTATCAGCAATCCCAGCAGTTACCGCTCTCTTTTGGCCCCGGCCTTGCTGCCTTTCGCTCATTGATGGCGAACGCGGCAGGCGCGCCTAGCCGTGCAGCCTCGACGGCCGCCACGGCGGGCACGTCTTCGCCGACTCGCAGTGTCATCTCCACAGGATCTGCCTCAGGCGACGGACCACAGCACTCGTCCGGCCACGGCAGACGTGACGGACCCATCGCTGTTGAGACCGTCGGGAGCACTGCCGTGCAGAGCGAGGGTGGCACTCCGCCTAGTAGTGTAGCAGGCGGCCTGAGCAGCCGGCGAATACGTCGGCAGCTGAGCTCCAGCACGCATCAGCAGCAGCAGCAACAACAACGGTCACATGGCCCACCCACGACCGAGATGGAAGCCTTGGGTCTTCATCAAACTTCTAAGCCGCCTTCCACGTCTGGGTCTATCGGCGAGGAAGGTTCCACAGCACAGGCTATGCCTGCTTTGCCGCAGGGTACTGTTTACGAGCCGGGAACTGCGTTCTAACAACAGTGTACTTCATCGCCCCCTACGCAGTTTGCGTAATATGATCAAATCGTCGCACCATTTGTGACGTGAATAGCGTTTATCTGACAGCCTGTGTGAAGATAGAATACAGAACGTTGTGAGGGTGAGTATAATATTGGGGTATTGGAAAATGTGTGATCGCCACAGTCTTGGGTTTGACAACCAGTCACTTAAAAAGACTAGTCTTAAGGCAACGCGGCAAGTTTCTTCATCTCTGAGTTGGTAAAGGCAGTGACGGAGCGGCCTTCGAACGGGTTGAAGCCTTTGCCCTGTGGTGCGCTCCCAAGGTCATGTTGTTTGACGCTTTCTGCACCGATACGCGAAGCATTCAGCATGGACTTGGCAACGTCTTTGACGTCCATGCCGGCATTGTCGGTGATACGATTTAGGATGCCCTTGACGAACACTTCCGCGACCCGTTCCATAAGCCGCTCTTGTTCGCGCTGAGGGTTCTGCAGCATGCCCGGACGGAAGAGGAAGGTCTGGGGGTACGACAGGTTGGCCAGACCTTCTTCGGTGAGGCCTTTTGATCTGGGTCAAGTGAGCGAGGGAGGGTCAGACGACGAGAGCGATTAGCAAGCGTGCAGATACCCAACTGCCACTCACTTGGGGTAGAGAAAAGGTGAAGAGGACGTGCTACCGGCTGACGAGCAGTACAAGAGCTGCTGCCCCGTCTTCGAAGTTTCCAATGCCGCCTTAGCAGCCGCAAGAACATACTCCCTGTCGATACGCTCAAATTTGGCCGCACTGCCAGCCTGTGCGCGAGTCGTACCGAGCGTGATGAATATACTGTCGGCGCCAACTTCACTAAGCTTCTTGGATTCTTCCCCATCACTGTTGTTTTGTGCTTCCTCGTACAGCTTCTCAAAGTCTAGTGTGTGTTCGGTGAGCTTGCTGTGGGTGACGCCAGTGGGACGACGGCCGAACGCATGCACAGAGGTGTACGTTTGGGCATCGAGGAGAGCAGCCAGGAGTTGCTTGCCCACCGCTCCAGTCGCTCCAATACTGCCAACCGACAATCAGAGAACCAGTCCAGACGCACGTTAGCTCTTGCTACAAGCTCTAAGTGGCGTTGGAGCCAAAATAAATAAAAGATATTCACATGATAGCACTCATTCCGGATGGAGAGCCCGCTCGTTCAGACATGACGGTGCCTTGAAAGCAGAGGTTTGGGATGAGGAAGGGGTGAGTCGAAATGTTTGTTTCTGCCGCTCTTTAGGTGTGGGTGGTTTGAAGAGCTCGTTGTTTTGCTGTTGAAATCAAGGTCAAGGGGGTTCTGCTAGAGATGTGAGGCTATTTGGAGCTCAACGAGGCGATGAAGACGAGTGCATACATTCGGTAAGTGTGTCATGGTGTGAACGTGACGTGTGGCGTTGCTTGCGGGATCACCAAAACCTTGTTGAGGCTGACGACCGAGCTGGGTATAATAGAAACTTTCCGCTTCCTCTCTTCCTTGCACTTGCAAACACCTTAAGGTACCCCTTGAGGGACAGGCAGCTGCCATCTAGAATCTGCGCAATCAGCATGCCCGTTCCATCTGACCGACCGCGAAATTCCCAGCGAGGGGCCGGGGCGCCAGCTTCGACTCGCTTGCCAGGCGCAGCCGCTTCATTGCGGGTCCAGCTCTCACCACAAGAATTATTATCCGAGCGACAGCAAAGCCAGCTGCCAGCACAGCCATCCCGACAGCATGGAAGATCGCAAAACGGCTCCATGGTGATTGCAGCGACTCGAAACGCCGCGAGACAGAAGGGAGGCAAGAGCGCAGAAGAGATGATGCGAGAGTGGCAGCTTAGCCGGGCATCTATGAAAAGAACTAGCTCAAACGGAGCTTCGACTTCAGCTTCTGGCAGTGTCGGCTCGTCTGATGCGCAGCTTCTGGCGACCAGCATCTTGGCGCAGCAGAAGCGCAAAGCAATCATCCTGCAAAGGCAAGAGCTGCTCATCTCGCGCAACGTAAATACGCAGGTACTAAAGCGAGCAGTGAGTGTTGCTTAAGTGAGACGACGGATTTGTGGCCATGACTCACTGTGATGCAATTTTTGTATACAGCTCACATACCTCGGCCCCTCTTCATGGATTCAAGTGTTGCACGAACGCCACTTGGCTGCATCCTGCGGCTATCCTACGTGTCCGAATAAGCCAGCCTTGCCTGAAATCTCACAGCGCAATTCTCCGCTCCCCGCAGACAAACCGCGCTATCGCATTTCCTTGCGCGAACGCAGCATCAAGCGCAACACAGACGACGATCCCGGGGGGCGCAATGCATTCTGCTCGGACGAGTGCTGGAAAAGGGCCGAGTGGGTGCGCAGGTGGGTGCTGAGTGACGACCTCGCTGCAAGCACCAGCAAGGGAAAAGCCAAGGAGCGCGATGCAAACTCTTTCAGAGGCGAAGACCGAACGGTGCTCGAAAGTGGAAGATTTGAGAAGCGGTGGACAGAAGAGCAATGGCATGAAATTGAGCTCCTGGAAGACATGGACGTTGGCCAATTGAATATACTCATGGGTGAGGGGGACGAGGAGGATGAAGGCAGGAGCGATGTTGGGGCTCTAATGGGGAGCCTTTTAAATGGGCACTATACAAAGCCGAGCGCATCCGAGACAGCAGCTATGATAGACTCGCTTGTTATTCATGAGCGGTCTCCGGGGAAGCCGCCAGAGCGTGCGGGTGCACCAGCACCGTCACCAGTATCGCATGCGAGCATAAGTCATGGTGGCAGCGCCAAGCCTACGACAAAAACGCCCTCGAAGTGGACGACAGATGCGCCTTCACTCCAGTCGCCGCACACTCAGGTTCGTGGCGGCATAGGGCTCAATGATCTCATGGGCGGCTACGTCGGTACTTCAACGTCTAGTTCACTCGTACGGGACATCCAAGCTATAAGTCGGCGCGGGCAAGCCCTTGCAAACGCTACTTCTAAAGCGTCACACGGACAGCTGCAATACGAAAGCGACATGGATGGCAGTGACGACAACGGAGTTCCGGATGAAGCGGAGCAGGGGCTGGATGAAGCAAAGGAACGAGAGAGGGCGGAGATTGCACGGCTGATGGATGAGGCCCTGGGCATCCGTGACGCAGAGCGCGACAGTGGGGTGTTGAATGGGGATATAGGGCTGGCGGAGCTCAGAAACGAGTGGAAATGGCGGTCATGACCATGCACCACTCCTTTGTATTGTAGTCCAGACATATTTCTCAAGCGCACTTGGTGTGCTCAACCATCGGAAACGGTCACAAAGCGCAGAGAGAGATACCATTATTCTCAAATGCCGCCCGACTTCTACACTGAGTCTGAGCCAGTTAGATGATGCCACTCTTTCTCAACATGTCCTTCGGCACGTCGATACCGGCCGCCAACAGCTTGCGACGCCGCTTTGCAAGCGCCTCTTTCCGCACGCGCTTTTTCTGCTGGTTGCGGGATTCTTGCGGTAGTTGAAGCCGCTGATCGGTGTATCGTGACCTTTGCGCAGCACGAATGGCAGATGCGGAGGCAGTATATGTCGGGCCTTCCGTAGACTCTGGTTTGTGCACTGCTATTGGAACGCCGTCGTCTATGCTTTCTTCAGCGAGGTCGGCGGCTGGCGTGACGCATGGCAGTCGCGCATCTGCGCGACACTGTGACCCAATCTTATCATTCACAATCGCCTGCAACTGCTTCTGCCTCTCAACTTGGTCCTGCATAGTTTGTTGAGCATAATCCGGCACCGTATCCCACACCTCGCAGTCCAACTCTCCACATCCCAGTTTGCCGTGCCTCCAGCGCTCAAGGAAGAATTGCGCTGCGGCGTCCAAATCCGCTTCGCCGCCTTTTCGAAGCGTTCCTGGAGCACGATGTGCCAGGGCAACGAGCAGCTCGGTGATGTTGTCTGTCGGGCCGTTCAGCTGGGGCTGCGAGGGGGAGGTGTTGGAAGCTGAAGCGGAGGGTAAAGGAAGGCCGGTCAGATACGCCGGTTTCGGCTCTTGCCCCTTTTCTCCCCCTTCTTCAACCCAAGCACGCCATGCAGTGTACCATCGCCGATTGAGCCTCCAAAGAATATAGTCAGCAAGCTGCAGCGGATCAAAGAGACTTGCTTTGATCCCCGCCGTGCAAGCCAGTTTGAATCCTTTCTCCACGCCCTCAGGCCCTGCGCCGAGGTACGGGAGCATGATGCCAGGCGTGTCGTACACGTATATCGGCGGAGTCTGCGATGCACTGCGCAACGATGATGCCGACAGCGGAGCTGTGAGAGCGGTGATACCTTCCCGGCCGCCCACTGTCGCGCCTGCAGCGGTGGCCGTCGGGCTGCGCGTGATGCGAACGCTGCCTGTCAGCTTGCGTGTGAACCCTGGCTCTGGCGCTGTCCCGAACGCCTTGCGCCCGCCAACGCCGACGCGGCGCAGTGCGTTAAGCAACGACGACTTGCCGACGTTCGGCATGCCCAGGATGATCAAGCGTACGCCAGAGGTGGGCGTTGGCGTGTGCCGAAAGGCGCCAGAAAGCGTCGAGCGTGCTCGGCCTTTTGCACTAGATGAAGAGAAAGAGGAATGGGAAGAATCGGAGATGGAGGCGAGATGCCTGGCTTTTGCTAAGATAAAGCGTTGCATTTCCGCTGCGATCAGCCGAGTGCGAGGCTTAGCAGCCAGGGTTCAACTGGACTCACCGTGTACCAATGCAAGCAGCTTTTTGATATCGCGATCATTTCGGGTATCGACGAAAAGCATGTCACAACTTTTGGGATTATGCGGGTCGTTCGCATCTGCAGCTGCGCTAGAGGGCTTGGCGAATGCGTTCGATATGGCTCGCTGTATGCGCTTGTCTACAAGGTCTGCCTTGGTGTAGACGACGAGTCTTGCGCCTACCGGCCCTGGACCTGCTTCCCTTCCCACTTTCCTTCGCGTCTGCTTGGACTGTCTGCTGGCTCCACGCAGTAGCGTCTCGAAGAAGCCGTTGATGCTGCTGAGAGGCAGGCGCGCATCTCGCACCTCGACCACAATCGGCAAGCTGCCAGTCTGCGCTCGTACCTGCCGCAAGAGTGCAGGCAGCGACCGTGCTGCACGAGCCATGTGTCCGGCATACCAGGATGGTGTTTGTGATGGGAAGGAAAATAAAGATCGAGGCTCGATGGGTGGCGATGAACGCCTTCCTCCTTGCTCTTTCACTCGACCTAGCGACGATTCCAACGGGGAAGACAAGACAGGTGTGGTATCAACGGCGCTGGCCGCTGTGCTATATCTACGAGCTGATTGGAAGTGGGCTGCCGAATCTCCTGCCCTTGCCCTAACGGGAGCGACGAAAGTGCTGACAGCCTTCGAACGTCCCTTGAAGCCGGTCCTGCAGCCTGAGCTTGGCGGAAACAAGCGCACCTGGGCGGCGACGCGCAACGGTGCAACATTGGCAACGCAGCAGCAATGCATGCAGCACAGCCGGCATGGAATGGGCCATCGCAATCCGGGCATGATGCATGGATGCCTTGGAGCGAGTAGCTACACAACCCCAAGTGGCCTGCAGGTGCTGAACGATACCTCAACGCCCACGGGCGAGTCGATGGTTTCGAGAGCTGTTTGACGTGCACTTGGAACATTCATTACATTGCAAGCAAGTTCAGATTCGGTGCAACTCTGGGTGTGCTATTGCAGGGGATCAACACAAAATGCTACGCAAACCCACACATTTTCCAAACAGCTTGGCACGAAGCGAGGGAACAACGATGGAATGGTGCAACATGAAATTGAAATTGAAAATGCACCAGCGTGGACTAAAGCGCACGTGAGCTCCGTCCAAATGGGACACACGGGACGGCGCCCAGGGTCCTCAGCTCGATCTCGGTTATCGAAGTAGCAAATTGAATCGACACTCTTCCGGGGTGCTCTTTGATTGTCTGCCTCTTCATATACTGGAAAGTAAGCAAGGACCATATCATGGTAGGACAGGGCTGGACTGTCAACCATGTACCACCATGCTGCTCTACCGTGACTTCACGGTCCAAATGAAAAAGTACAAGGCACAGCGTTCAACGACAGACCGACAAAGCACCGTGCTGCTCCGCTTCCTCGACGGGCGGGCTGAGCGCCTAGCGCCGTAATGAGAACAAAGCACAGGCTGCAATCATGACGCAGTCTGGAGCTCTTATGGTACTACCAGAAGGACCTGTACCTGTCACAATGCTGGGGAAAAGTCGGATATTTTCGAAGATAATCTGCAGGAGCTTGGCAGCGAGACAGCGGCATAAGTGTCATCTGTTGAGGTCTCGCTGATTACCTTTATTTAGCGGCAAGGTGCTAATCAAACGACACCCATCGACATTTAGTAGATGCTGATGAACAGACAAACAATGCTAATCAATTTGGTGACGCAGCAGCAAGGGCATGGACAGGCGCACGCACGGTGCTAACCAGTCCTCTCTAAATCCTCGACGAGTTCCAGCGCGCTCACAGAGACAGGACGGTGAGCTCTTGAAGGGCAGCCGGAAAATTGCACAAGGTTGGCAAAGATCCAGTGAACGGCCTACAATCACACCTGCTGGCGCACCTGAGCATGTCCGTACGAGAGGGCTTGATGCAATTAGTGGGCCAAATGACTTTCGAAATTATTGGCGCAAGAGCTGCAGGCATCAGAGTCGTGGAACAATTATCACATCTTTCGTTGAACCTTCGGCCAATCGCTTCTTACGGTCGCAGAGCTCAGTATCGTGCCGTCGCAAAGCATGGCTTGGGGGTGATCTTCTAAACTCTTGGGGACAACTACTTCAGCACGGAGCACTTAGGTCAGAGATACGCAACAGCACCGCGTGTCAAAGCCTTCGGCATGTTCATCTTAGAAGCCTTCCAATTTCTTCTTGAAGACGGCACCCCAGAACACCCGGGAGATCCCCGATATGGCGAGCAGATCGGCGGAGGGGGCAGACTCAAATGGCACCGTGGCTCGCTTTTGGGCAGGGAGCGCAAGACCTCCAGTGTACAGAGTGCCGGAAGCAGCGCGATCAGGTGCGGATCACTTTCTGGACAGAGACTGCCGTGAATTCGTGGGCCTAGATACATTGGGTGAATGCGATGACCTGCGTGTAACTACTAGTTATGCGATGTGAGAAAGGGTTGCTCACACAAGGAGTGCTACGCACGTGAAACAATGATATTGGTTGATGGAAGCGGAAGCTGTTCCGAATTTGCTACACTGGCCGCTGCGGCCGAACACATCGACACGACCGCTCCTGGCGACGACCGACAGTCGGCCGGTGACACCATACGCCATGGCCAGCGCACGAACCTGGTGTGCTGCCGACCTTTAGCCCTTCAGAGACACATGGCATGACGGATCAACTGACACCAAGGTTCCTAAGGATCGAGCCAGGTCGACTCAGGATAATACCTCACCGTGGAACGGCCTGGAAAACCGAATACCAAGGCAGGCTTGAGACGTAGTTGAATGGCCTGATTCTCACAGCGTAACTTTTGACAAGAATATCCATTACCGTTGAATACAGGTTCAAAGCCTGCAAAGGCGATGGTGTAAACGACGATCAGAAACATGTGAAAGGTCTCAAGCTGTTGATCAGGTTCGCTGTATGACTAGAAATAATTCATCACATCAGGCGCGGATAAGGTCATATTGCCCATGTACGTCAATGAAGAGTTTATTGATTGCTATTGTGATAGATTTGTCAGCCAAATGTCCATTTACTGTGAAACTATGCATGGATCTCGCCTGAGAAGATGCCAGAGACGGTAGAGGGAGGAGCGAAGATTGGGGGGGGGGCAGGGCGCCAGGCTTAGGAGGAATCGCGCGCACGAAGCGTTCAAGTTGCAGGATGGGGTTAGGGTGGATGTACTCATCCACTGGGCTTAAGACTTGGTGGAAGACTAATACATCTGGTCTTGCAGGCTATCCTTTCGCAGAGGACCTTCCAATCCTGTTGTCCTCTAACGGATTTGCTGTGGGCAGCACAAGAGCCTAGCGCTGCGCAGCTTTGGCTCTTTCTCGTCCCAGCCGCCTTGCACGCCGTACTTGACCCCGTAGAGGCATCTCTCAATGAAATAGGGACTGCAACTCTGATGTTAGTTGCAGCGATGGACAGAACACTTTCAGCAGATCAAGTCCTCTCATAGTAGCAATACACGGACAGTATAAATATGTGTGTCTGCGAGATCGAGAAGTACACAATCATATCAAGGAGCATCGAACTTACGGAACGTAAAAATGCTGAACGCAACTGAATGCAACTGAAAGCAAAGACAAGAAAGCGAAGAGCTGAAACTTGCATGCGCGGCACAAATGGCGAAGGATCGAAAAAAACATCCAGGAAAGGCCAGGTTAAGGTAATCGCTGCTGCTACCGTTGGTGTGGATGTTCTTGTTATTGCTGCTGCTGCTGATGATGATGTTGTTGCTGCTGCTGTTTGGCTTGTGACGATTCGCGGACTCGCTGAATCTCATCCTTGAGCCGCTTGTTGAGCATCTGCATCTGGCGCAGCTCGACCATCCACGAATTTTGCTGATTCGATAGGAACTCGGAGAAGATCGAGGAGTGAAATGCGCCGTGCGGGTCCGTCTCGCCGTCCGGACACCGGTACACCGTGTTCGGCTGCATGATTGTATCTGCCGGTGTGGGGATGGTGTGAACCCAGCGTGTGCGACTGTCGTCATCTTTCCGCATGAGCTCCTGCTGTGAGCTGTCCTGCGGCATGCCGTCGCCGCTGGGGGAGTAGAACTTGCTGATAACGTCTTGCCCCTCTGCAAGCACTCCCGGGCGGGTGAAGTAGCGCAGGACCACCGGGTTGGGCGACTGGAGCGCCTCGAGGTAACTGCGCCACGACTCGGGCGCGACGTAGGCTTGCGCAGAGTGCCCGATCATGCCCGCAAATTCGTCAGTGTGGCCCACGCGCGTGGGAACGTTGTGCAGGATGATGCCGTCGCGCGAGATGCGCGACCAGCGGCCAGACTGCGCAGCGTCGTTATCCGTGTTGAGGAAACCGGACGAGACGTGGTAAATGCTGCGCGCCCTCCCAGCGAGGACGAGGTAGCGCCGGCTGCGCCGCGTGTCGCGCTGGATGTGGCCGACATTGTCGATCCATCTATACGCGCCAGAGGACGTGATCATGCGCAGAGGGAAGCGCGAGACGTTTGAGCTTTCCATCAATGACTTCGGCGGCCCGACTTCCAGAGGTGCAGCGGTGTCTTCCGTTGCGATGGTGCTCGCACCTGCGCCAACAGCACTAGTGTCGGTGCTTGCACCTAAAGCGCGGGTGTTTGCATCGCTGTTCCACTTTGCCCCGCGCTTGTCCTTGTCCTTATCCTTGTCCGCCGGCCCGCCCTTCTGCGCACGAAAAACGTCCTTGAGGTCTCGGAAGACCTGGACGGTGTCGGCGGGGTGCAACAGATGACTGAGCGACTTGCCGACCAGGTCGTGCGCCTTGTACCCTAGGAACGCCGTGATGGACGGCGAGACGTAGGCAATGTCGAGGCTAGTTGACAGGGCCCAGATCAGGTCGGAGCTGTTGTTGAGGATGATCTCGGGCCACTTGTCATCATCTGCCGCCGAATCCGCCGCCTTCTTCTTCATCTCCGGCGCATCCGTGTCGCCGCCGTCAGTGACGTCCATTGCCTCCACGCCTACATCCTCCTTCAAGATCGCCGCGATGACCTTTGCGTCGGTCACCTTACGCCTTCGCTCCTCTGGGGAGATGCTGGCGCCCTCGACAGTCCTGTGCGCCTCGTGATCAATGACTTTGGTGTAGTCGACGACGTAGCTGCTGTTCTCCATGTGGCGCATGACGGCGCCGGGCTGTTTGGCAAGGTCGACCTGGAAGCCGACAAGGTGCGTGATGCTTCCGCAGTCATATAAATCAATCGGGACGATCGTGACGAGGTTGATGAACGCATTGCCGCCCTTTCGGTAGTTGAGGAAGCTCGCCTGGGACTCCTTGCGCCGCTCGATGTGGCGCTTTAGGTGCGCGACGGCGCCCTGGTCGGTGAACATGCGCGGCGCGCCCTTGTCCACTTTTCCGTCGGGCGACTGCAGGAAGCGGCAGTTGCGCTGCAGGATCTCGGCGGAGCTGTAGCCTGTGAGCTCAAGGAAAGACTCGGAGCAGTATACGATCGGGTCGTCGCGCTGCGCACAGTCGGAGATGGTGAACGAGCACGTGTGGTCGACGGGGCCAAGGTGCAACTGCGCGTCCGGGCGGAACATAACTTTGAGCAGCGCTAGCTTCCAGTTGACCTGCGATCTATCAGGCAGGGGCGGCGCATGCAGCGGGGGCTCCGCGGATGGGATCGGCAACTTGGGTGTCGGCGGCGAAGGAAGCCCGGCTGCGTGCGTCTGTGCATGTGCCTGTGCCTGTGCCCGTGCCTGTGCTTGCACTGCTGCTGCGGCAGCGGCAGCCTCTGCCTCCTCTCGATCCCGCTCCTGCTGCTTGCGCTGCGCCTGCTGCTGCGCTTTTGTCCGCCGCCGCCGCTGTTGCAGGGACATCCTGGCAGCACCAAACCCGCCTCCTCCTGCGTTTGTACTTCCACTTGCGCCCGTACCTGCGCTTGAAGCGGCACCGGCCGCCGAAGATGACGCGTGCCCACTCGTGGAGCTAGCGACGTCTGCAGAGCCCCTGTTGCGCATACTGCTGCCACTGCTGCTCGTGACCCTCTTGCGCGTGCGCAAGACGTTGCACTGCTCGTGCGCCTGCGTCTGCTGCTGCTGACCATCCGCTGTCGACAGCGGGTGCAGTTGGATCTGCCTGGGTATCGGCATCTCCATCTGCACCGGCACTGGCATGTGCAACTGCATCGGCGTCAACATCGACAATGACATAGTCCCTGCCTGCTGCGCAGTCGCACCAACTAGGTTGGAGAGGAGATGCTGGTGCCGTTGCAACGCGGCGCGGCGGTACGACTCATCGCTATTGTACATCCGCTGCTGCCGCCGCTGTTGCTGTCCGTCGTCAGGCTCGAAGAGCCGCTGCTGCTCGCGCTCGAGCTGCTGCTGGTACGGAGCTTTGTGCGGCTGCTGCTGATGCGCACCCTGCTTGTTCGCACGCGCGACCGCGGCCATCGCATCGTGCACCGAGCCTGATCCTGTTTCCGCTGCGGCTGGTGGGGCGAATTGCTCCGCATCCACATTTGCAGATGTCGATGTCATTGACCCTGATGGTGATGGTGAAGTTGCCGATGAGGTCGGCGCCATAGCGGCGTCACTAGCAGGTGGACCTATTCCTCTTCCGCTCCCATTCCCACTCCCATTCCCAGTCCCACCGCCGCCACTTCCGGCACTCGCACCTTGGGCATGCGCCTGAATGCTGAAGTCGTCGACAAAGGGGGAGAAAGTACCGAAGGCGGCGCGTGTGGGGCCTAAGCTGCTGCTGCTGCTGCTGGTGCCACCGCCGGTGCTGAACGTTGAGTCGGTCTGCGAGGGGTTTCTGTTCATTTCGATGTCCATGCGCATGCCCATACCCATGCCCAAACCCGTACTCGTGCCTATATCAATGCCTACGCCCAACGGCATGCCCATGGCATCCATCGGCAGGCCGGACATGTTGCCCATATCGAAGGCGTGCATCGAGCCGACGTCGCCGCCGCCGGTGTCGGTACCCATGGCAATATCAACCAGCATGCGGATGTCCATTTCTATATCCATATCCATATCCATGCCCATGTTCATCATGCTCATGCTCGCTCCGCCGCTGCCGCCGCCACGAGGGTCGTCGGCGCTGTTGTCGCTACTGCAGCTGTTGGCGAGCAGGGCTGACACATCGCGGGTGAATACGCCTACGGGTCCGGGTGTCGGCAACAGTGCGGCGTGCAGGGCTTGCTGCTGCCGGCCATTGCTGCTGCCGCAGCTGCGAGCACCTACAGCGGAGGCAGAGTTGGCCTGGTCCGGATCAGCACCGTTAGCGGTACCTATCCTTGAGGTCGCGCCGCCGCTACTACTACTACGGGCGCTACTGTTGGTGCTAACAGCACACAGCTCGGAGCCCTCGGGAGTGCGCAGGAACTGGCCAATGTCAAAGCTGGAGCTCGGTTCGTCCCTACCCCCACGAGGACCAGTAGCCGCGGTGGCAAACGGCGGCACGAGGCAGCGGCGGCGCTCGGATAGACTCTCCACCGACGCTGCCATCACCGTAGCGTCATATTTTTCGTCTCCTTGATTTTCGTTTCGTGCAGTCATTTCATCTGTGTGAGCTCTGAACGGTCAAGAGAGGAAAGAGGCGGAAGGGCCTGCATGTCAGTACATACTTTACTCTGCTCTGCTCGCTTGCTCGCTCTCATGTGGCGCATGTGGCGCAGCGGCGTGGGGTCTGGCTTGCTCTCTGCCTGCAGGAATGGCAACTTACGATCAGATGGGGATGCTGTGCTGTGTTCACCGCGGCCACCGCCGCCGCTACCGTTGTAGTCGGCTCGCCAAGGCCCGATAGGTGCATGTGCAACGTGAGCGTAGCGAGCAGCTTCGCCGCCGTCGGCGCGCCGGTTCTTGAAGGTAGGAGGAGGTTAATCGGGGGAAAATCTAGCGTCGGAGCGCATGGGGCGCACGACGGATGCGGGTACATTCCATCACGAGCGAGCGGCCGGCTGGAGATGGAACTCATCCATGAGGGAGGTGGCTGCGGATGGATGGATGTGTGCGTGAGGGTTATATCGGTATCAGCATTGCCTCCGCCGTATGGTGGCGGGTATGCAGCAACCCTAACCCCCTTGTACTCTGCACACTGTAGTCCGGGGAATCCCGCCATCGCCACCCAAGCAATTTAAAATGGGCCCGGAAACAATGGGCCGCTGCCGGAAATCCCGGAAACCCCGGAGGCACTGTCGCTTCTGAGTCCCTTTCCCCGCAATCTTGCAGGACTCGGGTAGGGGTAGGAAAGTCACCAGGGTTGGGCCCCAGGCGTAGCTGTTCCGGGGGTTTCCAGGACCCGGAAACTGCGTTTCTTGGCTCAAGAAATGCCCAGATCCATGCTCTGGATGGATTGTAGGTGTAGATCGGATAGATTTTCCATTCATCTTCAGCTCCTTACTAGCAAGTAGGGTGGTTATATGGCGTCTTTCCGGGGATTATCAGAGCTCAATTTAGAGCAGCCGCTTCTTTGGGAGGACTTTGAGGCGGTTTCTAAGAAGTTTTTGTTTCCGGGACCCAAGCTGACTTGAGTGCGTTCAGAGAATAAGTCATTTTTCGGGACAGAGTGCTGTTAGGTTCCAGGGAAAAGGTGTTAAGAAGTGACCTAGGGTCTGATTTCCCGGGGTTACGGCAGAGGCGCACCCAATTTACGGGCCAAACCCTAGAATGCACGACAATTTCGGACATAGGCGAACACGACTGCACTCAATCCCACTCCATCCGATCTACCTACGACAGTCGTATGCAGAAATTCAGCACAGCGGGATCCGCGCAAGGATCATGTTGTTAATGCGCTTTCTGATCCACTCCTGTTCTCCATGCACGTGTACGCGCTGGACAAGGGACGCCTGCGCCTTTCGCCGACTCTCTCCCCAGTGAGGACTGCCGGCCACGCTGCGGCACTGGCGCATGTAGGAAAAAAAGCAACGGCGCGGCGCACGCATACACGCACTATACAAATGCATGCATGCACGGACATACATTGAGTCCGACAAACCACATCACCCCCCATCACATCACCACGCACTCCGACTCGGCGTCCTTGCGCGTAGGCCTCGCGCCCTTCTTGCCCGTGCGCGCACCCTGCTTCTTGAGCTCCGTCAACCGCTGCATTGCGCGCTTGTTGCCCTGCGCTGCTCAGCAAAAGAGGGAAACGTAAAGGCCGGACGGCGTGGGGAGGGGGCAAGGTTCGCTCTTGCTGGTCAGCCCACCAGGAAAGCTTCGCACGCCCTAAGCGCGCGCGCACGCGCACGTACTCACCCGCCGCTCGCATGTACCAACGCTTAGCCTCTTCGACGTTGGCCTCGACGCCGATGCCGACCTCCGAGTAGTAGCCGACGGCATACTCGGCTTTGGGGATCCCCTTCTGCGCCGCGCGGCGCGCCCACAAGTAGGCCTCCGAGTCGCTCTGCTTGAGCACACCCTCGCTGCCGGTCAGGTACCAGCCGCTGAGCGCGAGCTCCGACTCGCCGTCGTTCTTGCCAGCCGCCTTGGTGTACCACGCGATGCTGCGGCGGGGGTCGACGGGGCACGTCAGTGCGCCGTACTCGTACGCTGAGCCGAGCTTGAACTGGCTCGGCGCATAGCCGAGTTGTGCAGCCTGCGTGAACAGCTCGCGCGCGTACCCTTCGTCCGCAACGACCACGCCGTTGTTGGCGCGCTCGTGCAGAAGGCCCAACTCGTGCAGCGCGTGCGGGTTCTCCTCGTCCGCCTGCCCCGCGGCGCGCTTGAGCCAGATGATCGCCTCGCGCGGGTTCTTCTGCTGGCCGAGCAGACCGTTGAGCATAATCATCCCCAGCTTGTACATCCCCGCCGTGTCTCCGAGTGCAGACGCCTTGCGGTAGAACAACACGGCACGGTGGTGGTCCCGCTTGGTGCCAGCACCGACTTCATTGCAGACGGCCGTGCGATACGTCGCTGCGGGGTGGTTCTGCTTGGACGCTTGCACGTACAGGTTGTAAGCCTTCTCGTGGTCCACCTGTAGACCCAGCGAGCCGTTGCCGAAGCAGTTAGCGAGGAAGAACTGCGCCTCAGCGTACGGTGGCTTGCCCAGGTCCATTCCCGTCGTCGCCAGGCGCTTGACCAGCTTTAGGCTCTCGGACAGCAGGGCATCGCGGTACTTGCGCGCCTGTTTGGCTGAGTCGCGCGGATCGTTGATCTTCTTGGCCGCCTCGATGAGGTACTTGGCGAACGCAAACTGCGCCTCCGAGTCCGGATCGGCCTTCATCCGGTGCCGGTACTCGGCAACGAACGCCTTGTTGAACGGGAGGGTCTGCTGCAGCTGCTGCGCATTCGCCGAGTCTTGCCGCTTCTTGCGCTGAGCGGCACTGCTGCCCGAAAGCGTCGTCTCCTGCCGCACCAACCCGGATATCCCGGGCCCCGGTGCGCCGGGGTAGCCGACATAGCCAGCTGCGCCAGCGGCAGTGCTGCGCATCGAGCCATCCGGATAGCCCATGTAGCTCTGCGCGGCGGTAAAGTACGCGTTGTTGGCGTTCTGGTCGTACATCTGCGTTGTGTACCCGGCGTAGTAGGCCGCCTGCGCTGGATCTGCCCCGCCGGCTGCCACCACTGCCGCAGCGCCGTAGCCTGCTGGGTATGGCGCATGATTGTACCCCGCACTGCTGCCGCCCGCAGCTGACGGAGCGTATCCACGCTCATGTGAGTAGTAACCCTGCTCGTCTGTTGCTGACAGCATCAGCCCCGGATCAACGCCGATGCCATATGCCTGCTGCTGCTGCGAGTAATTCCCGTCATATTGCCATGTGCCGCTGAAGCCGCCGTTGCCGCTGCCGGCAACCAAAGCTGCAGCTGCAGCAGTAGAGGGGGACGTGCCGGGTGGAAGGCCATTCCCGGACATGACGCTGGCGATTGCCGCAGCGGGGGGCGCATGCAATGGATCGGCATCACCCCTCACGCCCTTGAGGCCCAACTTCTCCGTGGGTACCTCACCAGCTCGGAGCGCCTGGGCCGTGTCGTCGACCTGGTCGCTGATCGCCTCCAGCGAGTTCTGCGGCTCGACCTCAGCAGCGGAGGAGATGATCTCCTGCTGGGCGTACGTCGCTGCGACGGCCGTGTTGGCCCGGTTGATGGCGGCTGCATGCTGTAATGTAGTGGGGTAGCCGTTTGCTGTTGCTGCTGCTCCGCCGCCACTTCCTGCTGATGCTCCTCCTGCGAGGCTCATTGCGTTCATGGAGGATTGCAGATCGCTTGTGCCATCGTATGCTTCAGCATGAGATGATGGCCCAGCGGCACTGCTGTAGCCCGCATAGCCTTGAACGTTCCGATGCGGATCGATTGTCAGCGCATTTGTGGGGCCATGTGCTCTTCGCCTCGCTTTACTTCACTGTGACTTGCTCACCTGCATGTCCGTCGTACGGATAGGACCCGCCAACGCTGCCATTTCTATCGCGATGTGGCAGGCCCATGCCTCCTTGGCGTTGCTGTTGCGGATGCTGTGATTGTGGATAGTCGCCTGCAACACCGGCATACCGCTGAGCGCTCATCGCCGGCGACGAAGAGTTGGTGGCCGGTGTATTTAAGTAGCTGCCGCCTGCACCCCTGCCAGGTGCCGAAGAGTTGGCGTAGTAAGCAGAAGATTGTGCGACGGTGTAGGCAGACATGTTTGCTGCTGATCACGCTCGCTTGTCCTTGCGAGAAGCTCGTCTCCTGCGAGCGAGCGGGCTGGACGCTGTCTGTGGCTGGCGATCGGCCAGAGCCTGCAAAGGAATACGAAATGTGCGCTAGCAGCAGGTGATTGGGATCTCGCTTTGCCAGCTAGAGGCGATGCGCAGAATGTCCCAGGGTTTCCGAGGCCCCGAGCGGGTGCTGGCAGGGCGCGGCGCTCGCGGTCCGAGTAGGAAGCAAAAGCGGGGCAAGGAAGGTACCACCGCTACTCGTAGGCATGGATGAGCTGCGGTATCTGGCTTGCGATGCGGATCCTACGATACTGAAAAATCTCGCTGATTGGCCGCCATGTGCCTCGCTGCGTGCTGTGCCTGCTGGAAGCTGGGCTGGGCCAGGGCAGGCGTGGAGCGCCCCTTTTGGGATTCTTGTCTGGATCTGCGGCGAGAGGAGGCGGGCGCGAGCAAGGCAGCAGGGGGCTGCGACTGCGGGTTGCTGCAGACTGGGAGAGCAGGGGGGTATCAGCATACAGGGATGTATGTCTGCGTGGGTGATAACAGCTGGATCGAGGGTGGGAGGAAGTGGAGGTGGAGGAGGAGGATGACGGGGGACCACGAAAGACCTCCCTTTCCCGCTGGCTACTACTACGACTCGTACGAAAACTACAAATGCTACAACAGTGATCCATTGCTCCAATAAAAGGGGCAGCAACTGGTGGGACGCCGACGGGAAAGTATGGCAACCCTAGTTACATGTTCGGGAGCGTTGGAGCGGATTGCTTTTGTTAGGGTTGCAGTGCACGGACCATTTTGCGGTCATGGGGCATGAGTGTGCCATCACTGTTGACTGTGAATGGGTGACTGGCAGGCAGCATCGCCACCCGTGGGGGCAGCAACAGCAGCATCAGTAGGTGGCGCGCGAGTCAAGTCAGAGAAGAGTACAGACAGGCAGGGCTGGGCACTGGCGCCCTTGAGAGTCCCAGCAGAGAGAGTCTGTCTCACGGAACACCATCGTCATGCCCCATCTGCCATCCTTCTCGGGTCAAGTCGAGTGAGCAGCACTCTTTCGATTGAAACAACGAACACACCCACCCGCAAGCCGACATCCAGCTTGGTACTCACACAAACGCACGCTCGGGCACACAACTTGCCAGCCCTCCCCGCCGCGCCGCTGCAAGTCAAATTTGCGTTACCCAACATATCCCAGGCGAGCCACAAGAGGAGGCGCTCTCGTTCTTCAATCACAATGGCGGACCAACTGGTGAGTCTATCGCTTCCCCTTCCCTCCCCTGCATCTTCCTCCTCCCCATGCTCCTCTTCCAGTCGGGCAGCGCAGTGCAGCATGGAGGATCGTGTTCATGGAAGAAAGGAGAAAGGGAGGGAGAAGGCGGCACGCTCGGCTTTGCTGCCGCTCCTCGCTCGGCAACAGGAGCCTGCCAGCGCTGGCCATTCGGCAGGCAGGTTGTGAAGATGGGATTAGGAACATTGCACGCGAAGTGGCGCTGTAATCTGGTCAACAGACAGAGGTCTGGTCACCAAATGGAAGACAAGAAGGCGAGCCGCTGTGTAAGCGCTGCAGGACATCCACCGACGTCCTGATCAAGCACAGCACAGCTCGCGTCGGTCCCCATACAGCAGTAGCAACACCAAAACAATCGTACACAGGGACCTGGCTTGCAGCTACACCGCGCACTTCCGGACCTCAGCAATCGGCATTGACTTCAGCTCGCCTGCGTAGCATCGTCGCCGGTGGCCCGCACCAACGACTCGCCGGCTACGCACGCGTCCACCCGGTCGGAACCCACTTCGAGCCGCCCAACACCTGCACAAGGCACCACGTCGCAGCAAGCACGGGCGGCGCAGCTCATGAGAGCGCGTGCTGTGATAGGTCAGACGCATACATCCACGCGCGCGCACGCATACCGTGGAAGCGCTCATCGCCACGAGTGTTTGTGCTACTCAACAGCGGTCGACCGTGCGACACCGACGCCTCTTACCCTTTCCCGGCCTGTTCTGGCGTCGCTATTTGGAGCACCGCATGCATCTTTGGCTTGCACTTGAATCCCGCCTGTCCTGCCTTGGCCTCTTCCTGTCTGCACGCATATATACATACATGCATACTGATTCCCAACTCTCCTCGCTTCATTCCCCCTCACACACCACGCCGATAGACCGAAGAACAAATTTCAGAGTTCAAGGAGGCTTTCTCCCTGTTTGACAAGGGTGAGTCGGCGCGGCATTTTGCGCAGGTCGCTCTCGCAGCGGGGCACGGCTGCTGATCCGCTTCTTGCGGTGCATGTGCCGCATGAGCAGACGGCGATGGAACGATCACGACCAAGGAGCTCGGCACTGTGATGCGCTCGCTAGGGCAAAACCCGACAGAGGCCGAGCTGCAGGACATGGTCAACGAGGTGGACGCCGACGGGAACGGGACGATCGACTTTCCCGAGTTCCTTACCATGATGGCGCGCAAGATGAAGGACACAGATAGCGAGGAGGAGATCAAGGAGGCATTCAAGGTGTTCGACAAGGACGGCAACGGCTTCATCTCCGCCGCTGAACTCAGGCATGTCATGACCAACCTCGGCGAAAAGCTGAGCGACTCGGAGGTCGAGGAGATGATCCGCGAGGCCGACGTTGACGGCGATGGTCAGATCAACTATGATGAATTTGTCAAGATGATGATGAGCAAGGTCAGGACCGTCGCCGCCGGCCGCACTCATCTGTACGTCTCCGTTTTGCTGATCATATTTGTTCCCCCCTCTATCTCTGTGCATACAGTGATCGCTGTGCCGTCGCCGAAGCGCATAAGGCTAGTGCGTTTGCGCATGTAGACCATACTCTGCAAATGAGACTCGGAAGCGAGACTGCGGCACGCGTGGCTAGGAAGATGCTCCGTGGGACGGGATCAGATCGGATGGATGGCAAGAAGGCACAGACGCCCTGCTCCGCTCCCCTCGAGTTTCTCGCGCGGGGCGTACACGCGTGCAGGCTGGGATACCAGCCGCCGGCGAGTTGTAGTGGTTGTTCATGCCCAGTTCAGGCAGCAGGCTGGCACATTGAGATTTCAAGGCTTCATTCTTTTTTGTTGAGTTTGTTTTGGCTGAGAAAAGACGCCGATGAGAGAGCAATTAGGAAAAAAGACGCCGACAAAATTGAACAGCGTTGTCAGAACCCGTTGCTGAGAATTAGGCCATGAGGCGCGTTCTGTTATCGTTTCCGTGCGGCCTCATCTGCTCGCAACCGCCGGACCGGCATGCTCGCTCTTTTCCGCTGCCTGTGGTCTGCAAGCTAAGTGACGATGGCCACTACAATGCCACTGGTGCCTGCAGCAGCGGCGGCGCCTCTCCCCTCAGGACCAGCGCCGCTCCTCGCTATGCTGGCGGATGGGCGTCGCAGCCGGCTGCTCAAGCAGGGCGCAGAGGCCAAGGTCTTCAGTGTGCTCGAAGCGGTCCCCACGCGTCCGAGCGCTGTGACGTATCTCGATGCTGGCGCCTCCACCGAACATGCAGGTGCTCCGCCAGGTGAAGCAGGCAGTGGACGCGTCCTGCTCAAGTACCGCTTCCCCAAAACCTACCGTCATCCGACGCTCTCCGCCACCATCACCGCGCAGCGCACGGCGATGGAGGCGCGCGCGCTCCTGCGCTGCGCCAAGGCCGGCGTTGCTGTGCCCGCCGTGCGCTGCGTCGACGAGAAGAGCGGCGTGCTCGGTCTTGAATGGATCGCCGGCAGGAGCGTGCGCGAGTGGCTTGGAGGGGGAGCCGAGGGAGACGACGAGGCTGCAGCTGGACCCGAGTCGGGAGAGGCAGAGGGGGCTGAAGGGGAGGAGGAGGAAGATGGGCAGGCTGTGCTGAGTGGGGATGACCAACGTGAGTGTCTTATCCCCTTGCCGGATGGTGCACCTTGTACTAACATGTTCTTTTACCCGGGCGAGCAGTCCGTCTGATGGACCTGATTGGCGCGCAGATTGCACACATGCACTCCATCCACGTCATACACGGTGATCTGACGACCAGCAACCTGATGCTTCGACCATGTCCTCACACACACATCGCCCAAGCAAAGGGTAAAGCGAAAGCGGACAGCTCGGACGTGCAAGACCTGACGCGGGCCTTTCTCACGCTTTCGACGGATGGTGAAAGCGACAGCCAATCAGCACAAGCAGCACAAGTCGTGCTCATCGACTTCGGGCTCTCGTCCGTTTCGACATTAGCGGAAGACAAGGCCGTCGACCTGTACGTGCTCGAGCGCGCGTTTGCATCGACGCACCCGGCCAGTGGGCACCTTTTCACGCGCATCCTGGACGTATACTTTGCCCAGCTCGAGCGCAGGATGAAAGGCGAAAGAGTTCCCAAAGGCGGAGTTGCACATTGGATCGATGTGCGGCGAAAGCTGGACGAGGTACGATTACGAGGTAGGAAACGGAGCATGGTTGGGTAGCACGCAATGTCATTGTAATTCTCCTTTCATCCTTTTACTGACTGCAGCAATGATATATGAATGCCTACTTTGCGAAGAGCGTCGACGGGTCGTGTGTATTTAGGACCTACCCTCTAAAGCCCTTCGCAACCCAAAACACCTCTCTGCTCTCTTTCCGACTAGCGGTGATCTTGTCCTTGACGATGCTGACATGGTCGAAGCGCTGCTTCAACGTGAGGCGCAGAAACTCATCCGAGTCGGCCGAAGGGAAAACCTTGCTCACAAACCAGGAGCTGGGTTGTCGCGAGAGCGTCGAGCTGGCAAATTGGAAGGCTGCTGTCACCAAATCGAGCGATAGCACCGTGTCGCGGATCGGATTGCCTGTCGTATTGGCTGAAGAACAAGATGGATGTAGTGGGTGAGCCGTGCGTACGAATTGAGTAGGTGTAAAATGAGAACACTCTGTCTTGAAATGCACCCGTTGGGAATCATCGAATTGTTAGTACTCACCCATCATGTCGCTCAGCACAACGTCGACAAACCCATCACACCCTGCACCCTCTGCACTGTTTTCCTTCTCTCCCAGGGGCAGTGATGTGGAGGATGCTGCTAATACCTGCCGTCGTAACTCGTCCTGCACTTTTGAATCCAAAAAGTCACCCTGAAGCACCGTGGCGCCCTGTATAGGGTCCATGGGCAGGATGTCCAGCGCGAATAACCTGCATGGCGACAGTGTGCTCTTTGAAGGAGGCCTAGCGGTAGTGGCACACGCCTGCACGGCAACTTGAGTCCATCCTCCCGGCGCGGCGCCAAGGTCTACAATGACGCGTGGCCTTCCCGCTTTTGCCTCAGATGAGGCTTGCAAAATGTTGAAACGCTCGTTCAATTGCAGAAGTTTGAATGCCGACCGCGAGCGATAGGGGCCGTCCTGCAATGCATTGCCTAATGCGGGTGCCGATTTCCGGCCTTTGACGAACTTGGGGACATAATATGGATTAGCACATCAGACGTGACTAGCCAATCGGCCTTGAAGTGGATCACGTTCAAAGCGACCTACTGGATCACTTTTTTGTCTCTGAAGATCTGGCACAGATCAATGCGATTTGCGTGTAAGACGAGAGCACGTATGCGGTTACAAAAGGCCAGCGAGTGTGAACCCAGGAGGCACTCACACCTCGCCGACGACGGAGACGCAGCCCGTAACTTTTTGCCAGCGCTGCAAATGGCGCTGGTCCATTTCATTTCGCGAATCGCATTGTTGAACGCTATCTTTCTCGTACCAAGCTCTCGTCGCCCAGATTGATCGAGATCGCTGCCATCTCGTCCATTAACCGTTGGACTTCCGTCAGGACGTCCATCGTATTCGATGCACATGCGATTTACGAGTTCGAGGCGGTTTGTTTGGAAGTGGTTCTTGTACAACCCTACTTCGGCTTACCCGACGGAGATTTGGTTAATGGTTAGAGTAGCGGCTGGAAGTTGACACAATCTTCGCCGGCGATTGGATTGGTCATGGAGATCATTGGTGCCATTCGCCCATCGAGCCACCGCGGTGACGGCTAATCGAGATGTGCAGCTTGTCGTGGTCCAAGCAGGTTGATGCCCTCCGCTCAGGCGATCGCTGCTTTCCTATTCGGGATCCAAATCATGGCGCACAGCGCGCCCATTCAAACGTCTACGATCTCCCCTCCACGGACGACGCACCGCTCGTGCGCTCGCTACTTGACGCCACCATTGGATCGCCCAAACGGTCGTCCAGCGTTCGAAACCCTCCCGTTTGTAGCCACACAGCACCCCTCCTGTCCAATGCAAAGAAGAAACGAAGAACGAAATGATGCCAAAAGATCATCCACAGCCGGTCCAAACGAATGACTATAGTCCCTGTCTGCCGAGCTGATTTTCGAAGCGCTGCTCTACCTGCAAGTGCTGTCCTTGCATCACTTTGCGCTCAATTTGCAAGGATTCGTATGCACTCGTTTATTATTTTCTCATTCAGCTGCGACGAACGCCCTGGTCAAGGCAGTTGCCTATGCAGGTGATGACCGCAGAGACAAAGAATACCGCTGAGGCATTCATAGGCGCGAGTTCGACAGCCGCGGCCCACTTGCTGGCCACACTATCGCGCCTGCCCGAGAAATCTTCCGTATCACTCTATCGCGACTAGCATTCTCCAGCCAAGAGGATGAACGGAGGCCCGCATCGTTGCAGACGCATATGTCGACCATGCCATCATTGCATACTCCTAGCGCATACGGGTCCAAAAGTGCGGCCGAGCACTTCGAGCTCGTGCAAAGCCAATGCCGGGAACTTCAGCGTGTTGCAAAGAGCTGGAGATAGGGAAAAGGAAGCAAACACAAAGGTGCTGGGAACGGAAACTCAAAAGAAAAAGGCAAGCAGAGAAATGCCTCAGTCAGGACGATCGTACTGGACGATGAGAGCGATGGAAGCACGGTCGTCGAGGAAGGACGTGCCGGTACCGGAGCTGTTGAGCATCGTAAGTCCCCGTAGAAAGGACAAATGCAAGGCCATCTAGGCCGAAGGGCCTAGCAGCAGTCCAAGTGTACCCAGGCATAGTAGCGGCCATGGTGCTAATTGGCTTGCTGCGAGTGAGCTAGACGAGTCATGGAGAAGCTTGACTTGTGATGACGCGAGTAGAGTAGTACGGCCGACACACACTGGGCGCCATCTTTGAAGACACCTCTGGTATCCTATTCTCCTGCTTTTACGACGGCGCAGCTCGAACGAACGTTAGAGGTGTTGCAAGCATTTCTCGATCTCCTCAATTACCGAAGACCACTGTTTGCGCCGAATGTAACAGCCTCTGCGGATGCGGCCGACTTGTCGAATCACGCCTCAAAGCGGACGTCAGTGTCTGCTTTGCAGGGATATATAGCAAGTGAATCGCAACTTTCAACGATTGCATCGGATGGGCCTACAAGCCTCAACAATCTGAACGCGCATACCTTGCGCCATGCCTTTCGAGACGAAGGCGAGCCGCCTTCCCGCCAGGCCTCACACGTGCGCATGCACACGCACCTCTCTCCTCTTCTTCGCACGGGGAAGCACATCTGCCTCTGCATGATCGAAGCCGGCGTCCCACAGCACCAGCGGCGACCGTCGAAGACGGAAAGGCTACCTGCTCTCCGCTACTGGACATGGCGCGGCGTTTGCACTGTACCTGTAACAATTAGAGGACCTGGTTCTCTGGCAGCAGGCCCGCTTCGGAGCTTCCTCTTCGTCCAGGCCTGCGGATACAACGCAATTGGAATGCCTGCAGCCGGCGAGTAGAAACGGAGAGGATCGGGCTGTACAGGCAGGTACGCCGAGCTCATCGGCGCTGCCGCGCGAGGGTGCAGCCGACGTCGCCAGTGGTGCAGAAGGCGCAGGGAAGCCCACGGCAAGAGGCAATATATAAGAAATTAGCGAACCGCTACACGCAGGTGCGAGTCCTTCGTCGAGGCAATGCAAGCATGCTCGCGATTCCGTTTCAGTGTCTGCCACCGGCAGCCCCCGCACGAAAGCTGGCAACGCCGCACATGCTTCGCTCATACGACATTCCAGCCGCCTGTAGCTTGCGGCGATCCCGTCAGCGATGTAACTAATCGCTAAGGCAACAAATTCGGTACAGCTCGCGTAACACGCTCAAGGTCCTGCCGCCGCCGCCGTTGCTGCTACTGCGTCCGATGTCAATGTCGCAACATGGCCACCGTCCCCACCGTCTAGTGATATAAAAGTGATGATCAAGCATCTCTTTCGAGATCGCAAAACACCGCACGACCTCCCTGCGCACGTTCAGGCCATGCAGGACCCGCGCAATTTCCACGATGTGCGCCACATTAGGCAGCCCTAACCGGCCCAATCAGTGATGCCTCAGGTCGGCTGGCGGGCGTATATAACCCGTATCTCTTGGTGGAGGAGACCGTCGACGGCGGCCTCTACTGTCCCCGAGCGCCGCTCTGATCCTTCATACGCCTCGTCATTCTGAATTGTCAGGAGCTTCGAACCGCAACGTACCACTTCCTCTCCACTGCTGCCACCCTGTTTAGTCATTTTTTTTTCGCGAAGACAATGACTTCACCGCGCGTCTGATGCTGCAAAGCAGCTTGGCAAAAGGCTGCGCACTGTGCGCTTGTGCAAGAGAATTCTTCTATGATGGCCGCAGGACCGGCTTGCAAAACTCCTGCGGGTCTTTCAAAGCACACCAAGGGGCCCTATATGAGGCCAGCTTTCCAGATCTCTTTGACAGGGCTGCAACTTCGCCACTTTCGATAGCACTGCCCTATCGCGGCACCGGCACCGGTATCAGCGTCCATGCCTTCAGCGGAATTGCACCTGTGAGCGGCATCCATGTCGACGCATTGTCCGAGGGCGGAAGCGTGACATGGCCAGGACGCACATACGCATCCTACAGGTGTTGAGAAAGGTGTGGAGGTCATGGCCATCACAGACAGCTTTGTTATTACCGAGAATGAAGCGTACAGTGACAAGGACGCCGGCGAACTCGACTAAGAAGCATTGACTTCTGCCCGCGAATTCGCCGCGCATATGTTTAATCAACCCCTGGGTAACCTTGACAACGACGATGGGTATGATGATGGCGAGGATGGCGAAGATGATCTCCACTTTATCCCTGCAGGGCCGCCAGACTTCTTCCTACAAAAAGGAGTTATGGATTCCGGGTCCGATTTAAACGATGATGAGGACCGCGAAGACGTCATCTCTCCGCGCGCCATTCTGCACGTCGACGACTACGTTGGCTCCCTCGTTCGCCCACAGAAGCGTGCCCTGCTACGACAACAACCGCTCTAAGGCGCAGGCATCGTGCTCTTCCGCGTTGCGCTAAACTGGCGAATCCTGAAGGAGATCCAGGTCGCCGTGCACAGCAACCTACTCGCTTTCAGGGATAATGACGCTTGGTGAAGTTACTTCAGGGTCCCTCGCAAACCGAATAAGACGGATGAACAATGGGAGGAGCATCGTGCGATCGGCCAGATCTTCCTGTTCGGATGGGACATGCGCCGCGGTCAGGAGCTCGATTCGAACGATCTACAGCCTAAAGTCAAAAACGAGTTCAAACAGCACGACTGGGCCAGATTCGAGGGAGCATACTTGAGCACGTACTTTTTTTTTGAACCGTAAGTTATTTTGGCGAGGCGCATCGGTCACAAACATGATCGCTTGCTGGCCGGTTGGGGTAAACTACAGACCGTTGCTACCTCAGCTTCAAAGCTCGAAAGTCAAACATTGATGGGAACGCACCGCGTCTACTGGGTCGAACCGGAGAACTATGATCCACTTGCTGTCGAAGGGTTGTATCCTCCGGCACTCTTCAGGCACCAAGAAGCCGTTGGCGACCTACTGCAAATCAAAGCCGAGAATATTCCGCAGGAAGAGGCGCCGATACATTACTAAGACGTTCATGCGGAGCACGAAGAGGACGATCCGCGCTATCCGACCCTCTACTTTCGTGGTGTTCACTTTGCGTTCGAGAAGGACCCGAGCCTACCAGTGGCGCCACGATGTACGGCTTTGGACGGCCCATTTTCGAGGGCGGTACTACGCTGTCCGAGTTCCGCATTTGCGCAATCCAATGGAATATTATGTACACCTGGGAAGGATTTGACCGATGGATTATGAGTGATGCTCAAGCTGCCCGCCTGGCACCCGTGCGTCCATTTTCGGCATTTGGACAGACACACAGCACGAGCTTTCCTCACCTAGCGTGCCTTTCACATACTGGCGAATCTGTGATGAGACGTTGAGGGAGCGCGATGAGGAGCTTGCACAGGCCGCAGCTGGAATGGACTTGTAATCAACCAATGCCCGTGTGTATAATACAGAGTGAATGTGTACTGTCATGTGCATACCAGCATGTCATCGATTGCCTCTTGGAGATAAGGCTGGGAATGGAAAGCCGCAATGCTCCTGAGGCTCTTGAGCCTGCGCAACGTCTGCATCCTACTGATCGTGAGCCCCCAAGAGCCGGAGCAATTACATTGCTTGGCCAGATTGTCGGCGCGGACTTTGCTGCACTTGTTGCATCTCAAGTCTTGAAGCGTATAGTTCTCGACGTACGTTTGTGCAATGGCAACGAGGCGCTCCTCAATCGCGGTGCGATCGTAGGGGTACTTGCAATTGGGGCATCGCCATTGATGCCTCGTTCCTGCCAGGGTAAGATCTGGGTCCCTGCACAGGTCAAAGTCCCGACTTTCGCTGCAAAAATTGCAAAAGACAAGGTGCAGTCGGAATGGCTCGCAGGGGTTGGCCCAATGAGCTTCAGGCGAGAATTCTCGAATGCCAATGTACTCGAGGAGGTTGCGCTTGCAGACCTGCACTTCAGCTGAGACTTCAGATGCAAGACTCAAAGCTGCGCAGACGCTCTTGATAAATTCAATTGCTGGATTTCGGAGTCGGAGGTGAGAGCCAGGCAGCTCTGGGAAGGCGTATTCCCCTTGCTCCTCAGGGTCGCCCGCAGCGAGTGCTGCAGCAACACCATTCTGGATGTCAGACACGTTTCGCAGTAATCGGCGCGTCATCCGATGGTTGACTGTGTCGCGCATGTGCTTGAGACGTTTCTCACTGTAGCTCTCCTCGAGCGCGCCGCGGGAGACAGGCCATTTGGCTGTAGCGGTCGAGATATCCTTCACTGGTTGGGCGGCACGAAGCGGCGTGCGCTCCAAGAGCGCAGCACCTTCGCGTTTGGCCTCGTAGAGGTTGTGAATGAAGCCTCCGATAGCGCTTGCAAAGCGCTGCTGAACGGCCGGCGGCAGGAAAGTCTCGATATTCCAGTTCATCTCCACGGTGAAAGAAGTGCTTGGTTGAGCAGCAAAGGGATCCTGGCAGATGACACCACCGAAATTCGCAGGGTCCATCCACAGTAGGTACTCCCACGGATTGACAATCTCAAGCGCGACATGCTTGAACAACTCGCAGCCACCCACGGCGGTCATGAGATAGCGGCCATACGCTGCAGCGCTTCCAGCAGTCGGCTTGTTGGTGCACAGGAAGATGCGGTTAAAATTTGCATAGACCGCGTCTGACCCAAGTCGCTTGAATTCAGCCAGCATCTGTAGAAGCGTCTTGCGCATGAGCCCGTGCAAGAAGCGCTGGATCGCTGGCTCGTGCATCGCTGACGACTTGGAAGAGACCCATCGCCAAAAGTTGTCCGCAAGATGCGCACTGTGCTCCGACTTGGCCTTGATTTTCTTCGTGTACCACATCCGCACCAATGCCTTCACCGTTGCAAAGACTATCGGTGTGAGAATGGAATCACCCAGCGCGGATGCACTGTGCGCTACGCCCTTCGAGTACTCATCCAAATTGTGAGAGGACGCATCGAATGCCATAGAGCCCGGACCGCTGCCCTCCATCTCATTAACGCTACTTGACTGCAGGACGGCATCGAGCGCAAGATGCTTTAAGGAGACTTCGAGGACGACGTTAGAATAGAGTCCCGGTCTGGAGATTTCCATGTGATCGTGCTCGTCCCATTTCTGGACTTGATGTGAGTCGTCTTCGCTGCCTCCGAGGTCTGGCTGGTCCGTTGAAGACCACCAGAGCACCATGTCCTGGCTTTGCAACGCACGTGCAAAGTCGATGTCGGCGGCAAAAAGCGCATGATCTCTCTCCAGGTTGCACACCGGAATGTCGTACTCTTCTGCAAGGTCGATCCAGCCAGCAAGCCAGGCAGAAACCTGGAGATAGTTGCCAAGCATGCGTTTGGCAGAGTAGACCTGCCAATTGAGAGCCGGTAGTTCATCGTCCATGCGGGACGCTGGCACCGTGATGACGGGTAGATCCATCGCCGCACTGCCCATTCCAGCTTCGTAGAAGGAAAGAGGGCGAGAGGTGCAGATCGCCAGCATGGTCGAACTCTGCATTGCGCCCTTTCTGCTGGCGAGTTCTCTGCCGATGGCCTTTAGCGCTCTCGCTTCCGTGCTATGCACTTTGACGTCGACTTCGATCGTGTCTGTGTAATCGAAAGCACCGTTTCCTGGGCCCAGCCTTCCTTTGCTCTTGCCATTGGCAACACTGATGGCGTACACATTCTCGAGACGGGGAAGCTGGCGCAGACCTGCGCTATCTACGATATGCACTGTGAGACGGCCGTCCGGCGAGATGAGAGTGAGGAATTGACGGCTGTCAGTAGCGCCGTGGTAGAGATAAAAGTAGCGGAACAGACGCCCTTGATTGAGGTACTTTCGCCTGTTGATCGATGACTGCTCAGCCTTGACGAGATCTTCAAGCTCGAATCCCTGGTCAAGAGCGCGGCTGAACTTGCTTTGTAGACCTGGTTTAATCATGCAGTGTGAGCCGAGTCGGAGCAGAGCACGCACATGGTGTGGGACGTTCATCTCGAAGATGCCGTCAACGTGCGGGTTGTTCGTAAGGGATGAGAACAAGGCCTCCTCCTCAACGAATGTCGATTCTGGCACCGTGAAGCGAATCAGATTGCGAGCGATGTGGCCGCGCGGTAGCGTTTTGCTAATGGCCGTCACTGTGACATCCTCTGGCAGTTCGTAGTGCTGAAGAGCACCTTTGAAGTTGACGTAGAATTGTCGCGGGACGCGAAGCTTGAGTCCCTGGATGCGACCTTCGAAGGCGATCCACAGTTTGAAGTCGCCCGGACGCAGACCGGGAGCGACAGAGATGACGTCCCATTTGGCGTTAGCCATCGAAGCAGATTGCCGCGAAAACATTGATCCCATCGTGCTGTTCAGAGCCGAGCGGCCAGCCACGCGATGTTCCAACTTGCGCGTCTTGCGAGTTTCGCGCCACTTCTTGCGCATGACGTTTAACCACCCCGGGTAATCAGCGTTGGGGTCTGGTGTCTTCTCTTCAGGAGACAGTGGCGGCGGCACGGCCATTTTGTTGACTTTGGTCGCAGCTTGCTCGCCGGGCACCTGATCTGTGCTGTCACCAGCATCTTGTTTGGGCAGTGGCGCAAGAAGGGCTTGCTTCTGGAAGATGTCCTTGATTGAATGCTGCTTGAATTTGTCCTGGCGTGCGGCGACGCGCTTGAACAGCCAGTCAGGATGACGGACACGCGGAACCGGGTTCGGCACCTTCTGCATCGCCGCAGGGATGGTGATGAGCTTCTGAATGACGCCGCCGAAGCGATCAATGTAGTACTCCCAGTCGAGGATGCTACGCAGATCAAAGTCGGTGAGACTGTTGTCCTTAAGGAAGCGGCGCAGATAGTGCTGCTTGACGCTGTGCTCGGCGCTGAAGATGGCCACCGGCACAGCGCGGTCGGTGACAGGAGCGCCGTGTGGTTTGGCAGAAACGATGAATTTGCAAGCGAGGCCCTTGTCTTTGACCATCTGCGCGCCAAGGAACTCGGCTAGTCGCTTCGCCGTCGTGATCGCGGTAGACTTTTGCGTGCCGTACTCGGCGAGCGTCTTGGACATGCTCTTGTTCTCGGCGATGAGGTCGATCAACTCATCGTCGTCGAGTGTGGCACCCTTGGAGTAGAGGACGTCAAGCCACTGATCGGCGACCTTGGCTACGGCGGCGTAGCACTCGACAAGCGTGTCGCCGAGGAGGAACTTATTGAAGATCTGCTTTTGGAAGTCCTTGATGAGCTGCAGCTCGCCTCGACGCTTCACCTCGAAGCCTTTGAGCTCTGCAAGTGAGCCATCATGCTCAAAGACGGCATAACGCTTCTTCAACAGCTTGTCCTCCTCCTTACTTGACGGCAGGATCATTGCGCGGTACGGTCCGTCCAGCTCGAAAAAGATGGAATTTTCGCTGTGCACCTCGTAGCGCCCGGTCTCCTTGTCAATGAGCTCGTGATACTGGTGGTTGGTGAACTTTTCGTGGACGAGATAATTTAGCATGGTGCAAGGGTAGGAGATCTGGAACTTTTTGCCACTGGTGCAGGTGAAGCTAAAATTTTCTGGAAAGACGCCTGGAAGCATACACCAGATCCCGTCCGTGTCGAGCTCAAGCGGGCGACCAATGTTGTCGACGAGCTCTTTGGCCATCTGGATAATCGTCGCGCCGGTCAAGCACGTGATGCCCCCCATCTCCATTGAGTACCAGCGTGCGCCTTTGCGCATGACGTACCCGTAGAATGAGTTGAGGATACACTTGTGCGCGAGCTGGAGCGAGTCGTATAGCACGATCATCTTCTTGGCATCAACAATCTCTGTCAGGCTGCCGGAGCTCTGCGCCTTGTCGAGGTTTTTCTTCCACGTCTTATGCAGACCTTTGTACTCGTATCGACGATCGCGGAAGCCGCGCACAGTGTTGATGTAGAACGGGTTCTCGCGTTGGCAGATGATCGCCTCGCGCACGACAGTTTGTGTATCATGAGTCTTCTTGTACACCTTGCGGCTGTAGTCCCCGAGGCGCTTGTGCAACAACGCATTCTGCTCGGCCGGGGACAGGTCCCAGTAGTCCCTACGCGGCCCACCGGGCCACTTGGGTGGAAAATTCTCATTGGTGAGCGCATGCTTGATCATGTTGACTTCATCGCGCTTGGCGGGAAAGTACTCTCCGCGCCAGGCCCAGTTCATTCGCTTGTCACACTCCATTCCTGGCCGATTGTAGTCGCACGTCGCGCAATCTGCCTCCGTGACGACCGAGTCAGGCTGCAGGCGGTTGGACAGCATGATGTTCGGGTACATGGCCGCGACGTCGAGATGGTAGATGAGCGGCGGGTCCTTGCGCAGCGGGTTGTCGCGCAGGACTTCGAGCATCGCCTGGATTTCCGCCTTGACCGTGCCGTAGTCGATGACGTCGTTGAGCGACATTTTGCCCTCCTCAACGATCGAGAATGCCAGTGCTGCATCTAAATCGTCAATGAGCTGTGGAGGACAAGTGCGTAGTCAGCGAGCTGAACGCCCCGTGAGCAATTCGAGGTTTGGACTTTTGTCCTCACCTGCTGTACACTCTCAGGATTGATTTTGAAATCCGTCGGAATGTCGCTGCGGAAGACGCCAGCTTCGAGTGCCTCAACATGACCACCGACGTACGTCTCCGACTCGAGCACATGCCCTTTGTACTCATTTCCTACTGGATCGACGTGCCGATTGGGAAAGATGATATTGGCGTCGTACGCTTGCACCTGATTGACCATCGCGAAGTAGATGGTTTGCACGTGTTAGTGGAACGCGCAACGCAGCTACATCCAGTCCTTCTCCTTGGGGATAGGGCCACTCACCATGAGCAGCGTTTCGCATAGCGTGCCGGTACCCTTGCGCAGCACCTCATCCGGGTTGAGCGGAATGATGTTGCAGAGCGAGAATATGAACGGGTTAACGTACTTCATGTACAAGTAGTACGTCGCGACGGCGTCCGAGACTGAGTACTGCGCGAGCAGCTGTGGGTGCTCGATCGCATACGGCGTCATCAGCTCTGGGTCTAGCTCGATGGGGTCGTAGCCGAGCTTGGCGACCGTGACGGCCTTGAGGCCCTGGCTACCCTGTGGGAGGTACGAGTCGCGCTTGACCCAGCTGCCACCAACGGTGGTAAATATCATCCAGTGTCAGCAAAAAAGGTCTGTGATGGTTCTCTGTGCTCGTTTGCTGACGCACCGGAAGCAGTCCATGTGCGCGCACGCCCTGCTCTTATACTCTCCCTCGCTATCTTTGCTGAAGCCAATCTCGCTGGCCATGTTGATGCCGTGCACGAGCGCTCTGGCTTCTACAAAGGGAAAGTCGAATGAGTCACCGTTGTACGTCGCGACGACCCTAGGCCGGGTCTCCTGGAAGTGCCTGAAGAAGCGTTCGAGCAGTGCCTTTTCGTCTGGCTCGTTGAAAATGATGAAAGGGCCCTCGTACTCATCCTTGGGCGTGTATTCGAAGTCGTCAATGTCCTGCGACACAACCTGGCGGTTGGTGATGAGGAAGCCCTGGCCGTCGATCATGTACGAGATCATCATCACCACGTCCGTCTCGGCGTCCGGGAACTTGAGGGGCTGCTTAGTTGTCTCAATGTCGAACGCCAGGACGCACGGCTCAGCACGCTTCACGCGCGACGGCACGCCGGATAGCGTCACTTTTCCATCGTTGAACTCGACATTGTACCACAGTCCGACACGGATATCTGTGCATAAAAAGGGGAGTCTCAGCGCTGAACCCGATTGTGGCATCGAAGAAAAGGCGTCTGCCAACATGTTGCGTGCACTCACTATTGTCAATGGCAACTCGCAGGTAGTACGGGACGTCATACTCGCGAATGTCGATTATGCAGTCTTGCGGATCGACACCTCTGCCCCCTTTGCCATCTTGCGCCTTGCCCTTGCCATTCCTCGCCCTCCCGCCCGTCCAGCGGTCGTCGAGGATCTCGTGCTGCTCAAAGTGGATATCGAGTGGCATGCTTCTCGCAGCGTTACCATAGCCTACTGCTACTCCATCCACACCCACGCCGTCTGCGGCGCCGTTCGCTCTGCCATTCGCGCCAGAATCCGCGGCGAAGAGGGCGTCGGCGTACGTGTCGAAGGCGTTGAGCTTCTTCTTCGCCTCCTGTGCGATGGGCAGCAGTTCGCGGCGGACGGAGAGAAGATCCTGTACTTTGTCAAAGGACAGTTTGAGCATGAGGCGCTGGTTGTTGACGAGATGGTTAGGCAGCTTGAGGTCTTCCTTCCACACACGCTCGACGCGCACGACCGTCCCCGCGTACTTGCGCAACAGCCACTCCTCGACGCTCGTCTCGGTGCCAGGACGGCAGGCGAGGAAGAAGTAAGGCTGGTACAGCACAGTTACCTTAAAGCTGACTGCGTCGTCCTGGATGAAGTAAAAGTCGACGCCGGCGTGCCCGCCGCGCGACACGCCTCCCGCGTCGTCGTCGGCGCGTACGAGCGTCGGGTGCATGCCGACAAGCCAGGCCTCACGCAAGGCGCCCTCTTCGAGCCGCTCAAAGCCAAGCGAGGCGTCGATGCGGTCGAGCGTGGCGATATCGTCGAAGCGCTGCTCCAGCGCCGTTGCGTCGTCCAGGCCGCGTGCGAACGAGGCGCCGTCGTTCTGCTGCTGGCCGCTGCCGCTGCCGCTCCTAAAAGCGTTGTTGGGGGCGGAATCACGTGAAGACCCAGCGTCATATCGCCCACCTCCGCTGCCACCGCGTCTTCGAAAGGTACCGCGTCCCCTCTGCGCATGTGTGCTGGACGTGAGGCCAAAGGTGCGCTGGCCCGCGCGGCCGCCACCGGCCATGTTGGGACGTGCTGTTCTACTTTGGCGCGCAGATGAGAGTTGTGAGCGGTGATACAATGGATGCGGCACCCAGCTGTGCCCCTCGCCTGGATACCGGTTAGTGGCAGCGCTTGATATCTCGAGGAGGAGGGACAAATATGCAGCAAGCAAGCCATGAGCAAGAAGCAGAGATATTCGGTCCACAGTCATCAACACTTTGGCTTTTGTCACTCTACGCGACGCGACGCGATGCTACGCGACGCGATGGGTTTGACTAGGTTCTACTCCAGAAGGCATGGTTCCGCCCTAGCCAAGCTAAGACGTCTTGGTTCGTCGGGCGCCGAGAGTCTTGGTGGCGTCTTATGCACTCCACCATTGAGTGGTTTTGGCATTGGCGCCAAGAAACTCAACTCGCTTTGGGCGCTTCCACTTGCAATGCTCTCGCTGGCCTTGCGAGATCAAAATATACGCATGGCTGGCTCTCATGGGCCTTGGCCTTGTTGGTCCTACATCGTTCGTCTGCGTGCAGCTCGCAGCACAGGAACCATCCCGATCTGGCCGCAGAGAAGCTGTCTCTCGTCATCAGAACGATGCAACAGAAAGCGGTCTCTCTCCTCCCATCCCCGCGTCCTGCAGCTGCAACCACGGCAGAGCAGGGATGGACGAACAAAGAACATGCTCGAAAGAATAAATCAACTTGACCCAAAGAACAAGACACTCTGCTGATTTGCGTATGCTCCGAACCAGGGCTATGGCTGTTTTTATAGCATGTCGCCCTTTACTTCGTTACCTCTTCGTACATATTCCAGTCATTCCTATTCGACTCCTCTGCCAATGGTGTCGATTATTCCTTTCTCTTCGTACATCACTGCTCTTCTCGCTTCGCCTGCCCTTCTTTTTGATCTCTACTTCCACCTTCCACTCCCCATTTTGCTTCTATACCACCAGCACAACTGGCATATCTAAGTGACCCAGGCCACGACAGCAGCAATCGCTAGGAAGAGCACTCACAGAAGGCATACGACAGCTGCATCCTTTCGTCCCACCCTCCCACGATGACGCTCCTGCACGCGCTCGCAGCCGTGGTCCCCCTGCTAAACCTCTTGCCCTTACCACACCTGGTCGCCGCGCAACTGACCGCCGCCACGACCGGCGGGCCCGCGTCCGTTGCCAGCGGCGTCCCCGCCAACCGTCCAACGCAGCCCTGGACCCAATGGCAGCCGAAGCCCTCGTACCCCGTCACCGCTTTGCCAGATCAATACATGGGCCAGGACCGTCTCGGCACCAGCAACAGCCCCGACCAGACCGGCTTCAACACTTGCACTAATGGGACAAACGCCTGGAATCAGCAGAGCAAGTGTCAGACTGCCTGGGTCAATAGCCTGGAAGACTTTGTGAGCCGCGAGTTCTTTAGCAGAGAACACAGATCCTGCGGTCCGTTCTGACTTGCATTCATTTTTGGCTCCTTACAAGTGCCTCTGGGGTCCACCGACACCAGACACGATTGGCTCCTCGGAGCGCCAAGCGGTAGCGTACTGCACGCGGCCAACACACGGTACGCGCCTTATCCCGGACGGCACGATCACCAGTGCTCATTTCGTCCAGACCAGCGAGTATGTCCAGGTGACTGGCGTAGGAGATTTTACCAGCATTGGCATCCCGCTTGGCGACGCGGGTGGCGAGATGGACTCAGCGGGCATGGACGATCTGAGTAATCCGGTGAGTACAACGAATGCGTTCCATGAATACTAATATGAAATGTTTTGCTCACACTGCTAGCCTCTGCTCGACAGATTGGAGGTGTGGTATACACCACCGCCAAGCCCTCGGCGAATGGGCGCTCCGTCATGGCGACCGAGTGGACCAACTTTATGAGCTGGAACCAATTCGTGAGTGAAAGTGTGCATACCCATTCATATGCTACCAATGCGTTGCTGATGATCCCAACCCTTCGCCTCGTCGCCTTGCACAGTGCTTCCGAGTCTGCTTTGGCAACAATGCTGAGCAGCACTGTCAGCACATTTACGGTGCGTCTGCATCCGCACGTCAACCCGCGCACTTTCCACAGCCCCAGGTTCTGTGTACCGACTGAACTGACTGTTCCTTGCTATGTAACCACAGATATCCTCGGTTGCCGCTGGAACATACCAGCCAACTACGACCCAGGGGTGTTCGAGACGTGCGACGGCGCGCTGGCGCCGTTCCAAGGCATCTACACGCTCGAGGGTGGGCAGGTCTCCACGTTCCAGCAGGGCCAGCCCATCACCCCGGACCCGCACCCGGCGCCGTCAAGCTCGAACTGCCGTGCTGGCAGCAGCGTCAACAATGGTGGGCTGCTCGTCGCTACCCCGCTCCACGCGCTCGCTTCGCAGCCGACCGGCAGTGCAAGCGGGATGACAACCAGCTTCTCGGCCAGCACTTCATCGCGAACCGGCGGAAGCTCTGGATCGGCGAGTGGAAGCGGAACAAAAAGCGCTGCGTCGACAAACTTCAAACCTATCTGTGTCGGTGTAGCTCTCGCTGCTGGAGCCGCTGGTGTGCTGGCTGTAGCCGCGTTGCTGTGAATACAGTTCTTGCTCAAGCCAACTGGTCTCATCTTACCCTTGAAATACGCGCTACGCCTCGGCCGAGCCATTCTGCATGGACACTCACTACGCAACGGACGGTCTAAACAGTCGTGTCATCAAAGAACCGTCCTGCTCAAGTTCGCTGCTATTTTCCAACTTTCTTTTTCAAGATATTATTTTACCTTATTCCGCTATCATCTCAACAGTAGTTGCTTCTTTCTCTACAGCATCGAGACGTAACGTACACTTGTCAACTTGAGCACATGTGTAACATTTCATCCATTGGAGTGACCGTGTATCTACAATATCGACAGCGGCACCTTGCGCTTCGTATCAAGTTTTCTCATTTGTCGCATGGCTCTGCCCGGCCCAAATACGTGATCGTCTCGACGCCCTTGACCTTAGGCGGGTTTTCTCACCCGCCATCGCCCCGTACTGGAAGCGCGGCGTCGGCTCCGCCAGGTCGAACATGTTTTCGCCGTGCATGGCGAGCAGCGGCAGCGCAAGCAACGCGGCGCGGCGCCGACAAGGTTGCCGATGAAGGACGAGATGACCGTGCTTCCAGCTGTACACGCCAGTGCTATGTGCAGGCAGGTGCGTTGTTAGGCCTGATGGGATAATGCCGATGTTCGCCACCCCATGGTTGAACCTGGCTTCCACGAAGTCAAAGGTTGGCTAGATAAAAAGTAGTCCCACAAATCAAGAGCAGTTGTGTGAGCTGGATGTTTTCAGCACCGCCTTCACTTGCTCTTTCGTGTTTCTGGCCACTCAAGAAATGCGCAGCGACAATCTTGGAACTTATCTACTTCATCAGCGAGGCTTGGAAGGCAACAATATTGACCAGCAATGCTAACTAGCAATGTTGGCCAGCAATGCCGACCGGCACATCGCAGCAGATACCACGCTAGAGCTAGCATAACACGAAAGCACGACAACGACTGTTAACGGCTGCCCTGCTTCCTCCACCCTTTGAGACCATGTATGACCAAAAGACTCACGATGGTGTCAAAGCCAGGCCCAAGCTTGGTATTGACCCGGGCCGGCCCTCCGGTCTAAATGCCGGAACTTGTAAGAGGACTTTGGAACCTGTGACCAGACCCGCAAAGAGCAGAGTGCCAGCGAGGTTGCCAACGATGCAGATGGTTCAGTCCACGAGGGAGGCGTAGATCGGAGCTGAGAAGTGCATGTCACGCAAGAACGGGTGAAGGCGGGAATGTGCTTGGCACTGCTTTTTACCCGTTTTCAAGCGGGCCCTTCGATCACACCTTTCGCTTCTACGTTGCCATAAGAATAATTGCATGAGAAGCCGTGATGAGGTCCACATGGAAGCGTGTAATCATAATTAACCCGACGGGAAAAACGACTATTCAAAGCGGATTATGTGAGTTTCAAGCGTCCTCGCATCCCTCATTTTCATGGGGTGTATACAATGGATTCTGATTTTATGGCCTGGTAAGATTGTCATTAAACCAAGCATCCCCGGCCCATTTTCCCGGACGAATATAGGGTCATTATGTACAGTTTGCAGAAGGAGATCGCCAAACGAAAGAAAGAGGCCTGCCATGAACGCTTTGATGAGACGCAAATGCATCGGAACAAAGTGGTTCTTGCATCTGGTATGGATCCAGGCTCAGGCCCAGGTGCTATGCTCGAGCTTGAGCATCAGCGCGTAACCTGTGGACACCACGATCGCTTCTTTTCCAGCTAGGACTCAAATTGGAGGTGGACCTACGAGGTCAATTGAGCACTTCTATACAGACTTGAATGGATGGATTCACGAGAGGAAGCTGATTGAGGTGAAGGAAAGAAATATTGATACCCCTGCCAACTATATACAAGTCAACTGCCAAGTCGCCCGACAGTTTCAATAATGCACCGTGCCGGGAAGGAGGTGGCGGCAACCGTCAAAGTGACCGGCTTATTTTTTGTACTTGCACTCCAGTGGGAGCAACCAGCAATGGTCTTATCGATGCCATTGGCCGCGATTGTAAACCGTCGTCTTTTTGAGATCGGAAAGCGACAAGGAGGCGTCAATGGTGGGGAGAGCATGATATAGTACAAACCTGCTGCTCAGCTGCTAGGCACCCTGTATCCTGTATCAGGGGAACTTTGAGTACCAACATCGCTTGGCCGATGAGCAAGCAATGGAAGGATGTGGAAACGTGCGAAGGCGCGTTAACGAAAGTGAAAAGCACGATCAATCAACAGGCACCGTGAGACCGCGTGAGCAAAGGGTACATACCGGCAGCGAGCAGGTCGAAAGGATACCCCCCAATACCTAGTCGTGGAGTCCCCTCTACTTTGTATGTATGTACCCTTGCTCTACATAATCCAGCTCGACAATGATCTAGAATCCGGGCGCAAGGATCTTCGTGTAATTATAAGTCGTCCACTTCTGCCGACTCAGATACGCTTTGCCTGTTTTAGCGTTGAAGGTGTTGAGTATGATTACGACAATCGTGCTCAACGCTTCTTCCGCAGAAGTCCAGGCGCTCTTCCGGAGGCTCTAATATATAGACTGGAGGAGGTATCTGCCTTCCCCCCCTCCCTTCTCCTCCCCGAGCTTCCGAAGCATAGGGGAAAGATACATTCACCAATTACAAGAGTAGAACTCGCAAAGGTCGATTCCCCGTGCAAGACCATTGCCGGGCGTTCTCATTTTGGTTACTTTCGAGGGCGTCGAGAACACGTCTCTCTTTTCTCGCCACCTGCTAATGAGGATATTTATTCCTTATCAGCAAGGCTGCCGCCCTCAGACGTTTCCTGTGCTGGAGTCCGGCCTATCAATTCATCCTTTTTTATTTTGCTAGCAATCTAGAACCAGAAAAGTAGCATGTGAAATAGTGAATCAAAATGGAATCTATGAGCTACCAGCTGGTTCTATTTCTTACGGAGCAGCCCCAAACCATCCATCGTCCTACGATACCTTTCCTCTGGTTTCCTCCAAATGTACAACCGCACTATAAAGGCGCGCTCTGCAAAGGGTATGTAAAATGCACACATACTCAGATCTCGATGCACATCTCTGACGGTTTCTATACATTTTATGTGGGAAACAATACAGGATCGGAGTCCAGCAGCGTCTCTTCCGTCGTCTGGGAGCCCCAATGAGTCGCGCCGGTGAGCGGATAGGTTTCTGTCATCCGTCACACATGGTAAGAAAAATAGGAAATTCGACGCCCTTCATTCGTGTATGTTGCTTTTGATTTCGCATGCAGAATCCTTCAAAGGAGCACAGGCAAGGGTGCTTCTCCGGCAGAAGGTCGTCCACCTCCTCTCGACTGTCATGGATACTGCAGACAAAGTCTCAAGAGCCAGAGCTATGCCCCGGAAATGAGGAGGGATGGGAGAGCTGATGCGGGCGTCGCTGGCTGCTTGGACGACGAACTTGTCTTGCGAGCAGGTGGAGAAACGTACGCCTCCCGACGGCGGCTAGCTGCGGCGTGGAATTGATCTATGAGAGTGGGTTCCCGCTTCCGCCGAAATGGAGCGTATGGTCGAGATTGAGCCTTCTGCGCCGGAATTTAGTCAGCCTGGTTTTGCGTCAAAGGGCTGCAACAGGTCAGCGCTCTTAATTACCAGTAATTGCCTGATGCCCCTAACCCTCCTTTCTGGCTGTTCAGACAACTTTTCCAGCTGAGGATAGCAACGAACACAGTGATCAGAGGGGCGGGGTAGATGTATAGTTTTGAATTTTCATACGTAAGCACCGGGATACACCGATCCAGCAAGTTAAAAGCACGCTTCACTGACTCCATTGGGGCTTTGTAATGACACGTTGTCGCCGACGACGATGTATGGTTTTCTCTCTAAAATGCTACAACACCGACCGTGTTGGCGTGCGCTCGGCTTTCGCGCTAGTCGACAGATTTGATGAGCATCGATCTCTACCTGCGAGCAGCTGCACGCTCCGAGCGCCCGGCCGAAGCCTGCGCGAAAGATGGATTGGACGGGTAAATATGCTGGGAAGAGAGAGACGATGACACCGCGGAGGCTGAAGCAGAAGTCGATGTGCTGTCTGGGCCAGCAATGTTCGCCGCTCGCCCCTTCATTGTTGCTGATGCCACCCTTTGCGAAGAGCCTGCATCTTCAGCATAATCTTTGACATGTTGAGTTTTCCCAATGCTACTGCTCGCATTGGCCCTATCCCTCTTTGCAATGATATCGTTCAATGTCGAGGTCGCTCTGTCAGCTGCCTTTAGCGCCTCCTCCCTAACGAAGCTTGGTACATCTCTCGGCCAGTCGCCATTCTTCGATTGTAGCACAGGAAGAATTTGGCTTTGGAAGAAGAGTTGCGCCATGTGTGCCCCATGCTGATGATAGATTGCCCCGACGATTGCCTCGAGGCAGATGCCACGGATCTTGAAGAGACCAGACTCTCGGGCCTGATTCGACTGTGGTCCCTGGGTCGAAGAGGAAGGGGGAAGTAGAGCCGGTGTCCACCGCATCACCCGCTCTAGTCGCAGAGACGAGCCAGCTCCCTGGCCTAGTGCTGAGGTGTGTAGCAGCTCATCGATGACACGAGCATCAGCTGCGAATACGAGTTCATTCGCTTTTGTACGTTGCGAAGCTGTTGTGGAAGAGCTGGACGCTGGTGGTGAGGCAAGGGCACAGTGGAAAAACATCATAAGGAACGCTTTCAGTGCTCTTCGGCCTGAAAAGAGATCAAGGGTCAGCAAAGAGTCTCACACATTCACTGTCGTCGAATGCACACTCACCCAGGAAGCTCAACCTCCGATTGTGACCTCCCAGACTTTTGCCATAATCCCAGCTCTCGTGTGATACCATCTGCAAGGCGACGCTATCTGGAAGTGGAAACCCAGGCAGAATACTGTTCCTGAGTTCATCCTGCAGTTCCTCCACAGACGTCTGCGGAGTGATGGAGCGGTCTGACAGACCGGGTGGTCGCAACCGAGTTTCGTTCATACGTGCAAGAGAAGACGAGGGAACCGAGGCGGGGTTGGCCATGTGTAATGAACGGAAGTGGAGCGGCCGCCGCTCTCGATTGTTTGACGAGCAGCATGAAGAAGAGGATGATGTGGCATGTGACTTTAAATAAACTGAGGCCGACGCTGTCGAAACGAGACGAGCAGTGGAAGGTTCGCCGCATGCAACTACGGCCCAAGAGCTCGCGGTCCCGGTCCCAGTCACCGCAGCCGGAGGGAACCGCCTACAAACTATGGAGCTGGTACTGCCAAGCATATTAGCGCCAGCTGGACAAACAGCCAAGCCCTTCGAATGTGCGTGAGGTTGAGGCGGACGATGAGAGTGATGCGATGACCCAAGAAGACATCGACGATTGTGGCAGGAAGACCGCTACTGGGAGAAAGCGGTCGTAGGAGCTTTTGCAGAAGATTTTTTGCACATCACGTGACAATCTGCTACCCCCCCAGACCCTCCTCTTCTCTAATTCCACCATGACAAAATCGGGCTCTTCGACACTTCTACTTCTTCCCCCTCATTGTCGTCCCGCCAGGTCTTCTCGCAGTGACTGAGCTTTCGAAGGCTAGCACGGTAGCTTATCAATACACAATGTCAGCAGCGGTGGCAGCACCTCCCTCGGCAGGATTCTCAAAGGCGTGAGTGCTCCTTGTGGAAAAGCTGCGCGCAGCGCAGTAATCGGCCCGTTATCACCTTCTCGAGCTGACCTCCCGTTCCTCGCCACGCGGCAACGCAGCCTCGACTGGGCCGATGAGGAAGACCACCAGCAGCAGCAACAACAACAGCAGCAGCAGCAGCGTCCAACTGCAGGAAAGGGTAGCCAACTTGTAGAGGAGAAGGGTGAGGGAAATGGTATCAAGGTCGTCGTCGAGTACCGGACCAACGAGGATGGGAAGCAGATCAAGGTAAGTATCATGTTTCGCGCGTGCCCCCTCCTCGGCTCCCTCCCGCTGCCCTTCATTGATGGGTGAGGCTCTGCAGAAGCTGATTCTGGTGTGTCATTTCCTTTCTGCTTATGTGCAGGTCACGCGTCGCGTTCGTCGCACGTTGATTCGGACGCAGGTCAACCAGGCTTCTGTCGCGCGGCAATCATGGTCTAAGTTTGGCAAAGAGAAGGGCAACCCGCCCGGCCCCCATATGGCAACCACCACAATCGGAGAGAATGTGCAACTGAAGCTATCAGCTGGGGGTGCTGGAAAGTCCAAGGAGCCAGAGGTATCTCCTGAGGACAAAATGAAGCAGGAGCTAGCAGGAAAGAAGATCCAATGCAGAACTTGCAAGGGTGACCATTTCACGTCCAGATGTCCCTACAAGGACACTCTCGGTGCTATTACTGGCGAGGGCGATGGTGAGGGCGATGGCTCGGCTACTCCAGACGCAGCACTTGTCGACCCGAGCAACCCAGCTGTCGCAGCATCTTCGCTAGCGTTCGCAGCCCGCGGTGGCGGTACTGGCGGCAAATATGTCCCACCCTCGTTGCGAGATGGCGCAAAGACTGGCGAACGCATGGGCAGCTCCATGAACCGGGACGAGCTTCCTACGCTCAGGGTCACTAACCTCAGCGAAGACGTGCAGGACGAGGACATGCGGGATCTTTTTGGCAGATTCGGCAGGATTGCGCGCCTGTACGTCGGAAGAGACAGGGACACCGGTCTGGGAAGAGGTTTCGCTTTCGTCAGCTTCGAGGTGAGCTCTCAGCCTTTCCTCATAGCTTGTTACTTTAGCTGATGTGTGCTCGTTCCGGGATGTGCCTTCGCCAGTACCGAGAAGATGCTGACAGAGCCAGACAAAGGATCGATGGCATGGGTTACGACAACTTGGTCTTGCGCTGCGCTTGGATGAGTACTCTCGCAAGACTGAGGAAGATTGTCGAAAAGCTAACATGTTCGCATCCTTTCTTCACAGCGAGCCCCGTGGCGAGCGTCCGGCATAAGTGCAATCTGGCTATTATGATTCGGCTACCCCTTCACCCTCTGGCAGCATTGGCTCAAGTTGGATTCTCATTCCTATGCGACCCGGCGTATCTTGTATTGAGGCGTTCCACTAGGCAAAAGAAAAAGAACGAGAAAAGAAATGGCTTGGAGCCTTGCAACACGTGTGATGAAGCTATGAGTTGCTTCAAGGATAAGTACTTGGTAAATTCATTGCGCTATATTATATTCAACCTATCGCTCCGCTGAGGACAAGATGGCCGCCTGCATCTGAGGATCTTGCAGCAAATTAAGCAAACGTGTCGTGACATCAGCATTTGGCAGGTTGCTTTTCGTCTGCCGCTTTGGCGGTGGGGGAGGCGGTTGTGGTTGCGAAGGCTTTCCCGCCGAGACCAGGCTATTCGCTTGCTGCTGCAATTCTTGCGGAAGCTTCGACAATGCAGCCTGCAGCCTGCTCCGCGATCCACTCTTCCTAGCTTTGCCTTTTGCGACCGAGCTCCCCTGCCCTTTGAGCGTCTGCTTCGAGCCATTCCAAGGCTCAGACGGTTTGCCTCCTTCAGCTGCTGGAACGATCGGCCATTTCGTCCGCGCGGGTGCCTGTGTCTGCGCATGTTGCACATCCTGCTGCAATGGCTGCTGGCTTGAAGCTCGTACGTGCGTCTGATGCTGCTCCCCAACGAAGCTGGGGCCTTGCATAACGACAGCGGGTTGCTGCTGTTTCGGTGGCACGTGAGCCGCAAAGCCCGGGGTGTTGTGCTGCATAAAGTCGGTGAACTGCTGGCCAAAGTCGAAGGACCCATAGGTCTCAATGTTGTTGATGTTGCTCGGATCAAAGTTCGATCCTGGGATTCCAATACCAGAGGCAGGTAACAGACCAAACTCGTCAAAGAGTTGGTTGAAAAGACCCTCGGGCGTGGGACCACCGTCTGGAGGTGAGCTGGCGACGGAAGAAGACGCGTCTTCTACTGTCGCGGGCAGTGGGCGACGAGCTGCTAGAGCTTGATCCGGTACTGACACCGCTGGCAAGCCTGCGCTACCTTGATTCGATGTGCTCGCCGCTTTAGCCCCAACAGGTGCGCTCTTGGTCTGCGAATGGATGCCAAGGCTGGCGAGGAACTTGCTTGGGCTTGCCTGGTTGGTGGACTCGGCGGGCACGTCGTTCATCCAAGACAGATCAAGGTTAATCGGGGATGATGCCGACATTTCTTGTGTTGCAGAGAAGAGCTTGCTCACGTCCATATCTCGATCGTCGTGACCTTTCGAAGGGCTAGATACGACATGCCGCAAGCCCTTGTGGATCCGGCTCTGACCCAGCAGTCCCTCCGCCCCGATGGACGGTGATCGGCCCATGAATGGCCCGACCGGCTTGGACGCCAGGCGTTGACGTGGACCTTTCGTCAGCTGAGCGTTTGACGCTGCCATTTCGGAAGATGGCTGGAAGTGCATATGACTCGCTTTGCGACGAGCAGGGCTGGGAGAGGCATCAGGTTCATCATCCTCGGCAGCATGCGCATCCTCTTCATCTGAGTCAGACCAATTGGTCAGGGCTTTCTGCAGACGAGCTGGTGTCTGGCCTTCGGGCGAAGTTAGCGAAGGTTGACGTGGGCTGATTCGGAGCTGACGAGTGCCAGTGCTTTGGTTTGGTAATGAAGGCGAGCTATCGGAGGTTTTTGGCATCGATGCGACCTTGGCCCGCTGTGACAAGGTGGGACTACCATCTCCAGCAGTCAAGCTAGCGTATGGATTGACATTGCTTTGGGTGCCGACGGGTTGCTTTCGTGGACTGCGGCGAAGAGGTGTCCACGTCTGAAGACCAGCCAGGATGGTACCCGGCGTGGCATTCAGCGGCAGATTGTTCTCCCCGCCATAGTCCATCCCTTCATCATTAAAGAGTTGATTGCGCGCGGTTGCATCGCTGGAGTTGGTCAGGTTGAGACGCTTCTGATGCGAGCGCGCGGGGCTTGACTGTGTCATATTGCGGCTGTATTCGAAGGGGGTATTAGTGCTGCTCGCGAAAGGAGATGTCTGCGGATTGGAGAAGTGCGCTTTCTTGCGAGCATTGGTGGCATCGACACCATACGCATAGCTATCGGGCTTTCGAGATGGCTCATATCCGCCTCTGGGCTCTGGTACGTGAGGTGCTTCAATATTGAAAGCGCGAGAGGGATCGAGCAGAGCTCGAGACGGGGGCGGAGGCATAACTGGAGCGGTTGCAGCGAGTGCAACGGGCGAAGATGCTCTTGGGAGACAAGCATCACCTTCATCTTCCTTCTTCTTCATCTCTTCCTTCCAAGCATTGTATGCCGGACCGCATTCCTTGCAAGCGACAAATACTTTGATACCAGACGGTGGTGTTTCGCCAGGCTTGACGGCAGCCGGGTATTTGACGATCAGACTAGGCGGTAGTCGCGACCAATCTGCGTCTGCGATCTCGACTTTGCGCCAGAATGCATTCGTGCCCGGGTCCTCGCGTCCGCAGTGGTAACAGTGGTACACGGCTTTGGGTGCGGAAAGTTCCGGGGCGGGCATGAGCGCAACCCTCACAGCTGGCGATGCCTGCGTGGCAGTAGTAGCAGAGGTTGAAGCTGAATCAAGATCAGAAGTTGACGCAGAAGCAGGTTTTGCAGGTGGTGGTATCTGGGTCGTCGGTGCCTTTGGAGAGACATATTGAGCTTGTGTCCGAGGCGATATATAGATTGGTGAGGGCTGTACAACAGGTGCAGATGCATGCAAGGCTGGTGAGGGTCCCGCTGCAACACCCACAGGTGAGGCTGTACTGACTGTTTGCGAGGCAATACATTTCGAGCTGCCACCGTCGCCTAAAAGCTGCAAGATGCCGCTCTGGCGAAGCTGCTGCAGCAAAGTGCGAGCTTGCTGGCGCGACTCTTCATTGCCACCTGAATTTTGGGACGATGCTGTAGATTGAAGAGCGTTGAGCAGGTGGAGAACCTGCACCATTGGAGGTTGGCCAGGGCTCGGCTTGCTTGCCGATGCCTCGCTGTTTCGTGCTGCCTCGTGCGCATCGTGATCCTCTGGTGAGTGCTGTTGTAGTGGATGGCCATGTTGTTGTATTGATTCAATGCCGAGCGGCGACTTGGATGCACTTCTACGTCGCTGCTGTGAGCCTGCAGGCTGCAAATGCGACGATGAAGAGGACTGGGAAAGACGCAAGGGCGATGGCATGGGTACAGCCGGAGGAGGCATGGCACTGACTACGCCAGCGCTGCTGCTCGCCTGACTATGCCCGCTGCTAATGCTCTGCACATCCTCGTTGGTGTCCTCATCCATCTCCGTCCCTTGCACTTGCTGACTAGCAAGGCTGCCCAACGTTAAAGTGGAAGCGGTCGTGCTAAGGTAGGCGCCATGCGTTTGAGGTGAAGGCCTGCTGCCAGGCAAGTCAAAGCTTCCGAACTGCTTGATGTCCCCGCAATCGATCGATACGCATGGAGATCGACTACGCTGCCTCGGAAGTTGCTGCTGAGCTTGCTCACACGGGGAAAGGCTGCGTGAGCGCTGGCCATGCTTTACATCACGTACGCGACGACGATGTGACCCAGATTTCGCCATTAGCGGATCCTCAGCCTGCTCTTGGGCAGTTGGCTCCGTCTGCTGGCGGTGTAGCAGCCGCTGCCTCTTGCTCGCTCTGTTTGACTCCCCCCTTTCCGCTTCCACCGGCATCGGCGAGCTTGACCTCTTACCCCTACCAGCACCGATGCTCGAACTCCTCGACTTGGTGCCAGCTTTGGCCGCTTTGTGCGCACGATTGGCCTCAAGCACAGCTTGTGCCTCTCTACGCTCACGCACACCTTCTGCGCGAGCTTGCATACGCATGCCATCCAGCTCTTCAGGCTCCATGCGCAGCACAACTTCTAGAACCCAGCGACGTGATTGCTGTTGTCGCTCGTATCTGCATTGTCGTTGGACCTGTTTCTGGATGTGTGGGATGGACTGCTTTGGGCGCTGCTGAAGTGACCCTGTCCGTAAATTCAAGCGTTGGTTCTGACTTGATGATGCTGACCGACTTAGATCATCTCCAGACACATCAGAAGCGGACGCAAACACGTCACCTGAGGGTGATTGATACTCTTCGTCCGCGTCGTCCTCGGAATTGCTGTCATGCTCTTTGTCATCGTCATCAGTCCCATCCTCCTGCCAGTCGTTGTTGTCTTCGTTGCTGTCATCTTCGTCCTCAGAATCGAATGAAGTAATCTGCCTGCACATCCCAGTCACCATCTTAGGCTTGAATGCGGTCCCTCCAACGACAACTCGTGCATCAGGGTCTTCGAGCGCACAGCCGAGGTAGCCGCACGCATCAAAAATGCCCTTTGCGCCCCCTGCACTCTCCACATGTTTTCCACCTGCTCTGGCAGGAGAGTCTGACGAGCTAACAGCTTGACGACTTAGTCGCACAGGGCCCGGCTTGGAAGGGCTGCGCACGAGAGCAAGCAAGCTGCCGGCTGTGCGGGTGATCGATTGGGGGGAGAGCAGAGCGGGGTTGGACGTGCTATTTCGACTAGCAGCTGGCGGCGATGAAGATAAAATTGCCTCGTGTTGCTGCTGCTGCTGCTGACGCATGGTATCTGCCGCCTTGAGTGCTTTGACGACATAATCGGTAGTGTCAGAAGGATACATCTTGGGGCTGTTCGAAGGAAGAGAGTGAAATAATCAGGCCAGTCCTTCATTGCAGACAGTTCCGACACGATTCACTCTGCTGCGCAAATCGCTTTCAGACATAGCTTGAGCGGCACTTTCCCAAAGATGGGCTCCTGCTTCTCCTGTCGTGTAGGCAATCCGCGCGATCCAGCTAGCCCATAGATGGGGATTGAGACGCGTCTGCTGAGCCGTACTGCCATGGAGTGCGAGGCATTGTTGAGCGCATAGTGGATTTTGACTGTAGCGGCGTCAATGCCAATAGAGGAGGGCCCGTGTCAGCTTGCATTTTCATACGCTTCTGCGAGGATGTTTCGCAAACAGCTGAGCTAGGCGTAGGGTGTACTCACCGTCCATTTCGACCTCCTGACGCTCCGCCGCCTGAGCTTTTGCCTTCCCATCGCGGGCCATCTTGTCGCTCAGACGTGCCTGTGCTCCCGAGAGCGGCGTTATGATCTATTTCATTCGCAATGATTGGCCCGCTGCAGATGAAGATGGTAGGAGGGAGCAAAGTACGATGTTGTCGACCATAAAACCCTGATCCAAACAATGAAAGCGATTCGATTCCAGCTCCAGCAAGCTGCAATAACGCGACTGCTGTCCGTATATGACGCGACGCGCCGCGTCGAGTAATAGCACCAACCCTACTTTTTTTATTCACACCGCGTCCCTAGGAGCAGCACCTGGTTCCCATTTCCATCTCGTCTTGAAGTATGTCTTGGTTGAGGGGCAGCAACAGAATGCTTGTCACGACGAAGTAAATGCGCACAGTCCACACGTTGGCCGGTGGAGTGCTCTGCCGAAGATCGTTGTGGAAACTGCAAGCTGTAGCCCAAAACTCGCTGACGCGTTTCCCGTCAAGTCCATCAGCAGCCAGAGATGGCCGCCGTTGCCCCGATCGCCGCACTGTGGTCGTGCGCGTTTCATGGGTGTATTCCTTCGGGCCCATCAAGCCGTTCTCCTCCGTCACGCGATACTGCGCATATGTACAGGTTGGCTTCAAAGGATTATTCTCACGCCACAGAAACTATGAGCGCATGTGGCGAAGGGTCCTCAACGTTGGGAAGGGCCAGCCAGGACGCGTCTTTGACAACATCGACAATTGGCCTGAGCGAAGCGGGCACCGGTGCTTTTTTTCCTTCTGGAGCGGGACCATCTACATCCAGAAATGTCGCACACGAAAGGTGGGCAGCATGGAAAGCACCACCGCGGTCGGGTTCCTTCTCCTTGACGAGCATGCAGTCTCATTCATTCCACTCAAGCTCAGTTGCAAAAGGAAAACGACGCGCCCAGCCCCAGTCTCAACTCGACCTGGCGCGTGCTTCGTCGCCCAGAGGAATCGCTTGGCCTGCAGACGCGATTAAAGGGCGTCCATCCTCAGTATGTCATGCTTTGGGTCGCTCTGGTCGAGCAGGCTTGGTGGCGTGTCAGCGAAAACTTGAACGGCCTCGACGCTTGAATGAAGGCGATGGCGGCGATGTGCCGGTTGACAGTGACGGCGATGAGAGCGATGGGGGCAGTGATATTTTGGACGAATTTCAGAAAGAAGAGCGAGATAATGAGGTGCGTGAAGCGATGCTTGTGCCTGATTGATCTTGTTTCGTGTGCTGATAGCGCGCTCTTTACAGCTTGCATATACCATCTGGCGAATTGAGTTAGCAGAACGGCAGGCTGCACTTACTGCCTCAGGGGAGACTTTTGCCGCAGGTCTGGATCCAGAACTTTATGAAGAGGATGTTGCCTTCCACGATTCAGGCTATGACATGAACGCGCCTCGGCCATACGCGACATTGGTGCATCGGGATATTTCGCCGCCACTACCATCTTCACCACCACTCGGACCCGCACCATCACCTGTCCAAAGACAGCTGTCCAGCGGCCAGCCTTGCAGGCATGTGCACTCCTCCAAGTGTTCAGAACTCGTTCAGAACTGCGCGATCGATGAAGATGACTGGGACATGACGGATGACGACCAAATGGACGAAGCATGGCTCCAAGAACTGGAAAGGCTTGATCCAAGCACTTCAGGTCTTTTGCCAACAAGTTCCCAAACACAAGGGCAGCCGCAGGCGCAAGGAAGTGGGGACGTAGACATGCAAATGTGAAGGACCTTCTCGATGAAATGCTTACTGCTGGCAGTATCCTGTATTGGCACAACTGAAGTCACGACGATGGCAAGTCCTGCGGATCAAATAAGTCCTGGACCGAGCTACATGGCTCCGCTTTGCCAGGCAGCTCAAAGGAATCGAATGACCTCCCTTTTGATTCTGTTTCGACCCGATGATTAGTTGTGATATCGAGAACGTTGATACAATTGCCCTTGTTACCTTCATCGGACATCGATCGTTTGAAGAGTCTGATTCAAACGTCACTTTTCGGCTGGTCTCCTACGCTCCTCGCGCATTGCTACTCGCTTGCACGAAAGCTACGGTGTCTTCTGGAGCCAGATCTAGAAGAGTGCAGATCGCCTTGGCCTCGATCGCGTTTTCAATGGCCTGCTGTTCTAAGGTGATGTTGATCACGGCATCCTTGCCCGAGACGATGGTTGGGACCTTGACATTTTATGCGTCAGGTACAGCCGACCAGACCTCGGGTACAAACCTCCACGGTTTCCTCTCTACCCATGGAGCAATTCTGCGTACGTCAGTCTCGAGGCGCCCACGAAGACAGGCAAATCCTTTAGATCTGCGGAGGACATAGCGACACAATATCAACCTTTGATGAAAGTGGGATAAGGTAGTGCGATTGGGTTAAGAAAGGTTAGCAGGTCAAGCAACATCAACCCAAATGTTGACCCCCACTTTGCTGTCATTCGCTCCGGCATTTCTACAAAGATGATATTTGTTCCAAAGAGAGTTCAGAATGGGAATATTCGATCGATGGGGTTGCGGAATATGGACCCCATACCAATCGGTATATCCCATCGGCCAAGTGCAGAGAGAAGCCACCATTGCAACCCTACTCATTGCAGATTCCTTTGGGTCGTCGTTTGAAGTCTGAATCGCCTTGCTCTTCCTGTGGAAGTGGCGACACTCGGCTCTGTGTCATCGTTCAATTCGGTTCTTCGCGCATGCATTTGGTATGTTGCTCGTCTGCAGAGTATCCCAAGCAAGCGGATGAGTTCATGCAAGAAACCCTTCTCAATGACTTCCTTTTCCGCGAGATCGCTTCGTACCCCGGTGGATGGCTTTTGTCCCCTGGTGCGTTGCACTGTAGTTGCGTGGTCTGTGCGGACAAGAGTCAGCGGTCAGCAAGGACGAATTCAAAGTTTCGCCTCCCGATTTACCCTTCACATACTGATGCCTCAGAAGTTTGGTTACATAGGGGTCCAGAATGACCCCACACTGGAGGGCAAGATCGTACCAAGACTTGGAGCAAACAAAATCACCGTGAACTGCATAGCATTCAGAATCGGCAGAACAAACACATGATCAGTCGCCGAACTGCCGCCGCCTTTTGGAGCCCTGATACGATGCGCAAGCTATGTCATATCATTTAACATTCATCGTATTTAAATACTCCTCTCATTGGATCGACTTCATTGGCCTGTCGCGCGCCCGTCTTTGTTCACCTGAACCCAACATTCCTCGTCACACAGTCTGCCAAGGAAAGAACGTCCGTCAGCATGGATACTTCACTCTTTACACTTCTCGTCTATTTCATGGTGTCTTCCAGCCTTGTCATCGCTCAGACATACACGGAAGGCCTCGTTACTGCTCTCAATGCCGCAAACCTGACGACCCTCGCTTCTCTCGCTCAGAACAACACCAACTTTGTAAGCGAGAAAATACCTCCTGCGAGCGTATAAACGTACTAACGCTATCCCTATCAACGTTCAGGTGACGCTGCTGGAGAACGGCGGAAACAAAACGCTTTTGGCACCGACTGACGAGGCGTTGGTCGTGGTCGCTGACGCGTCCGCCAGCTTACTTGAGGCTACACTTCAGTATCACATTTTAAATGGAACCGTGCGCGAATCGGGCATCAACGGAGAAAAGAATTACATCGCTTCCACGTTTCTCACTCTTCAGGAGTATGTCAGCTTGCCTGATGGACGTTCTCAAGCGATTGTATTGCGCAAAGCCAATGGCGACGGCAATATTCCTTACGTTGCGGGTGCGAGCCGGAACTCGACATTCGCGAACTCAACCGATGGTTCCACATATGAGAACGTTTTGATTCAGCCTATCGATGCCGTGGCATTCATCCCTTCCAACCTGAGTTCGACTTTGACAGCCATCAATGCCACCACTTTCTTCCAAGCGACGAATCTCACTAGCCAGCTCGCTGCTCTCAGTTCCAGCCGAGACGGCCTGACCATCTTTGTCCCCACCAACGAGGCGATGGACGCCGCAGGGGCCCAAATCGTCAGCGCATCAGAGTCGGAGAGAGCCAATGTTTTGGCGAACCATGTGCTTAATGGCACGCTGGTATACTCAACCCAGCTGCAAGGCTCCGGGGCAATGGCGTCTGCTGTTTCTTCTAGCGGCAACGTCCTTTCGTTTAGCTCTCAGAACAATAACCTCGAAGTGACTTCAGGAAATGCTACTGCCCGCATCACTCGTGCCGACATACTCGTGTCCAATGCTGTCATTCACATCATCAACACCGTGCTTTTCAATACCTCGTCCAACCCGGAGGCAGCTGCTTCTGCATTTCAGAGCGCTACAGGCAAACCGGCGCCGTCCGCTACACGCGCCGCAAGCGCTGAGAATGCGGCTGCTATCACCCATGTACATGTTTTTGGCGTCGCTGCTGCAGTTGCAGCTGCGCTCATCGGCGCCGCTGCCGTTTTGCCTCATCCATAAATTCAAACGGACCTAGACTTGTACATTGCCCATTTCTTTTTTCAACGGTGTAAATTTGTTAATCAAACGCAAATGCCGAACACTGATATCTTGCATTGAAAACTGCACCGTGCACGGTGGTGCGGGTGCTATATTGCTCACTAGCTAGCTAAGAGAATTTGGAGCTTGCTGAGGCTCCACAATGACGAAAAAATTGAATGGAGGCTGTCGACCATTAGTATTGAACCAATGAGTGTTGAATAATCAGATTCAAAGTGCGTTTTGTATTTTGTTGCCTTGTAATTTTGCAAAGAGTATGAATCAGTGATCGCCGCATGGCTATACAAACAAATCATGTCAACGCTCTCCAACATTGATCCCTCTACTCAAATGTTACTTTCACCCCCCTCGGCTGTGAAAGTGCCCATTTAAACGAATACGACTTAGCCTTTGCCAGAAGACGCCTGAGTTGTCCGCAAAACAGTTCGTTGATGGCCCTATTGGTCATGGCAGATCACATCCGCATGAGGCGACCATATGCCCAAACTGCGTGCTCTTTTTGCAAGACGTGCAAATGGCAATGTGCGGTTCCGGCGTGCAAGAACTACGAGTGCAAGTGGCTGAACTACAAACATAGTGAGAATGGCTTATCGTGTGCAGGGTTCTTGCAAGATCGTGATTCTCAGCAACGTAAACGACCAGGTTGCTGTCTCTTTCTGTGCGTCCGTCTGAGCTTGTCAAGTGCCTGACTGTAGCTAACAGCGCTCTCTTGTCCCAGGTATACCTACCCACACGCAACGACGATATAAACCGTGTTTCCACAAATGAGGCACGAATTGCGAAGAGCATCCCACCATGGGGAAGCAGGCTGTTTCGTTGGGATGTCTGGTTTTTCAATTCGCATGGATATTCGAGATAACCACCATGCTCTCTACATATGGCTTTTCACACCCATCAGTAGGTCTTCTCCAACCCGCCGGTAGGGTGGGCAGAGAGAGTGAGCGGGGGAAGCTCACTGACTTGAGCCACACGTGACAACATCACAGGATACCTCTTATCATTCGTCGATCCCGACCTTTGTTTCTTCGTTTCGGTATGCACATTCGCGTTGGGTGTTCCAAATGGTGGTCAGCAGCTTGACATGCGAGTTTGCTACTTGACTTGTTGGAAAACAGTCGGACGCCTTCATCGAGGTCAACTACTGCACTTGTTCCACCTGAGAATGCGGCAAGAATAAATGCGTCGCCTGGTAGGCGTGCGCGAACTTCGATACGCTATGTGAAAAATGCAAATGGACCACTGGGTATACTTTCAAGTCTTGGCCAGGACTCGGTCACGATGTTGTAATCGGGTAGGGGGATTTGTGTTATCCAGACCATGGGCTCAGTTGTGCAATCTGCTAATCGTACGCTCCAAGCGATTATTCTTGAAGGTTGCGTGCAGCACGAAAGGCTGCTAGCATGGTCGATGGCTTTGTTTAAACACTGTCACTTGGTACGGTGCATACAAGCTGGAAACGAAGAGGTAAGCGGCTTGGCAACGCCGACCAGCGTGAGTGGTAACGGTGCTTTTGGCTGTAGCGCAAAATCTGTAGTATTTGTCTGAACAGATATTCGTTTG